TGTCACATTTTTATAGATTATGTTGTAAACTAGCCTATTTGCAAGAGCATTACATGCGTTGAAAAGTTGATGCACAGTATGGGCACAGTAAGAATGAATGGGCCCCCCCCCCCCACACACACACAAAAATTTGAGCATTAAACACAATTTTCTGCATTCTGGAGAAATTTTCTGCTCCAATTTATGGTGAAAATGTCTAAAGAGAAATATATAATTCAGGTGGCAGGTGACAATAAAAAAAAGATTCAGATTCTGTAGTAGCTGACTACTGATACATTATCGTGGGAAAAAAAGGGCAACATACTGAATGATAATGTAAAGTAGATGCTCAAATGTGTATGAAAGGATTAATGTCAGAAGATAAAAACAAATAAATTACAAGAAATATTCTTGTCATTCGACTCCTCCATAACCACAGTTATGGTAGTAATGCACTTGACAAGATGTTTGCCGCCTACAATAAATGAATAGCAGAGAGGACAGGGTGGAGGGAGATGGAAGAAAAGAAGAACAGCTAGGTGAGGTGGGAACTGGCAAAACCAAATGACTCTGAAAACAGAACAGAAGCCATTCATGAGGTAGTAGTCTCCCTCTGCTGTTCAAAATGCATTAGATGACAGAGTAGCTGGGTCAATGCAAAAATACTTCCCTTCCCCTTTCACTGCCTGCTCGATTCTTTGGCTTAAACAACTGATGCCTCAGATTGTGTCTGAACTATTACAATGTTATAGAGATCACCATCTTGGACAGTAGTAGTTTTACAGAAGTTACAAATATTACAATGTGAGTGTGTTAAAAAGGGTTGTCTAATGCATAAAGAAGAAAACAAATAAGTAAGCGTGATACAAAAAGAACACTACAACCTCCATAAAGCATTTGTACAGTACATGTGATTATACAGCATATACAAACACATGTAACGGCAGCTACAGGCGCACATTTCCAGGATTTAAAAGAAAAGGTTTTAGGAGTAGATCATTTTGACTTGGCTGAGTAGGAAAAGCACAGGTGTAACTAATAACATTAATTAATGGTGGCTCAAGTCCAGCTGTGACTGCATGCATAATACCAAAGTCTTAAAACTGGCACACCCGATTTGCATGCATCATAATTATTTATCTTACGAGGTACACCTGTGTTTGAAAAGACAAAGGTGTGCTTTATATTAACATTATGAAAACATGTATTTGACTGTCTTTGACGTTAGGAAAAGCTGGGAGGTATTTAGCAGCACATTGCAGTCGTCTATCTGCTTCGTCTCAACCTGCGAACTGATGAAACTCATGTTTATCATAAAGTACATTTACTGCTCAGTTGCAGCAACATAGAGCTGCTTATATGTTATACCAAGACCAAGACAAAACCAATTACATTCGGTTATAAAAACAATAATTTTGACACCGACAGAACAACCATAAGAATTTAGCATTCAACTAATCTACAGCAAAGTAACAGTGTATCTTTTCCTTGTGGAGGAATCCAAATGTTCCAAATTGCAGAAAAGTCCAATTAATTAGACGTCTTAATAGGTGAAATTTATTTGCAGTATTCCTACTTTCTGTTTCACAAAACTTTAATTCATTTAACAAGAGTACAAAGTTTCGAGTCCACTTTGGTACAGATGGTCTGTACAGTGTTGTGAATCCTTGTGAAAAAGATAGTACCTACTTTTTGGACTCAGGACTTGGACAACAAAGATGTGTGTGTGTGTGTGTGTTTAACATACTCAATACTCTTACCATCTCAAACTGTTTTAACTCATGGCGTTTGCAAGGTAGTTCTATTAAAACCAAATTAGGCACAATATATAAAGAAAATTCCACACAACTATTGTTTCACTGAACTTACAGACACGCATGCATGTTTTATATATTTCTAGGCTTATAATGAATATAACTTTGCAGCCATATCGACACTGACTGATATGGATTCAACTGTTAAGATCCATAAAAGATAGCTTTAATAAGTAGCTCGGATCAGTCCAGACAGACCAAACAACACACACTGTCAAGTATAAAACAACTATTTTTTTCTCCTAGAATCAATTTTGGACAATAGTTGTCACATGGGGGCAGTATGAGTACCAGACTGTAAATTGCACAGACTCTGCAAAGCTGCATCTACACCTCATTTACAAAACTGTGGTGCTCCATTCTAACTGAAAGCTCTATCGTACCTCATATAGCCCACTGTAAATATGGCATCATAAGCACCTTATACGAGCATTACTAGTCCATTATGCATAATTCATGATGGTTAGGTCACAGACAACTGCTTTTACCGCATTAAAATTCATCATATTCTATTGTGCAAATACAAATGTTTCAAAATGCATCAGACTGCTTAACACCTCCACTGTGGCAGATTATCTGTCTTCTTCAAAAGCACATTGACTTTTGTTAAAGGAGAGCAGACCACTTTTTTGTTTTTTTTTGCTTTGCCCTGTGAAACCTGTGGATAAAACTATGCATTAAATAATTACCATCCACAGGATTTTACGTGACTCTAAACGTGTTCTTCTTCCTATTAGCTCTGACCATTAGTTTCAAAATAAGCATTAATCTAAGCCATTTTAAAAAAAACAATTAAACTCATAACAGCAACTTAACAAATAAAACGACAAAATGCCCAACATAGTGTCACCATACTTGCTTTTCTTGAGTGTACAGAGAATGATATGAGCAGAATTACTACAGCAACTCTGCAGAGGCAAAGCAGGTGCGGGCTGAAATGAAGCAGAAACAGCACAGCAAAAAATATTAATGGTTGCCTTAAATGGGCTGTTTTTCAGTCGAAATGTCTAATTGATGCGCATGCTAAGTTAGCCACCTGGATCCATTTCCCCTCCAGAATTAAGCCTCTTTTAATTTCTCCTTATTGCTGACCTTCTTCCTCCTGAACCAGCTGAGTAAACAGCTCAGCCCTCTGCACATCTGAAACTTCCCAAGCACTAAAAATATGTAAATAGGTCTGTATGTTTGCATGGTTTGAAACTTAATCTTAGCCTTGTTATGACAAGTTATAAGTTATAAAACTTAGGTGTGACTGCTTTGGGAGATGATGCTACATATATTGCTTTACACCTAAAAGATTATTAATATCCAAGGCCGGATTAATCCTCTAAAACAGAGATCTTCAAAGTGGGAGGCGGACCTCCCCAGGGGGGCTTCAAATACTTTCAGGGGAGGCTCAGTAAACAGAAAAAATTACATTAGTTATTACATTAGTTATTATGCCCGATGTCAGCTTGGGATTGGCTCCAGCCGCCTGCGATTGACAATGGATGGATGGATGGATGGATGGATGGATGGATTACATTAGTTATAATATACATATACAGTAGTTTTGGGGAAGTGTACTGTCATTCCCACTATCCCAGAGGCAGAAATTAATAAATGCCATAGGACAGACTGTTATTTATATATTATAGTCTGAAGCTATGTCAAACAGCAATATTAAGTTATCTTGGATAGCTCGACTGTCTATGGGATCAAATAACATACTCATGATTCTACTGGTATCCAGGAATTTAGGGGGTGCTTTTTTCCCAGCTATGTTTGAGGGGAGGCACATAGTCTCAGACTTTGAAAACCCCTGCTCTAAATTGATCTGGTGAGGGTCTGGTTGCCTGCTTTGCACTGTTGGCAATCCAACATTTTTAATATCCATTATTTATTATTTTTTCCTTAGTTTCATATATTAACAATCCATCCATATGTGTGGATTGTATAATTAATGTCATTGTGACTATTGTAGCTGGTTAGTTACATCTTGGAGAGTGTGGGTCATCATGGTATTCTTATAGTGTGTTTTCATATTCTCCTAATCCATCTCATTGGGCTGAATAGGCTACTGCACCACCAACTTAATTAGTAACCTTTTCCACTTTATTTCAAGAATAAATTGCCTTTACCTTCTTTTAGAATACAACAACTACCGTAAAACTTACAATTAAAAGACCAGTCCCAATTAGACATGCTAATAATTGGTGTGGTGTAGACAGATAAATGCAGGTCTCAATTAGAAGCCTGGTCTAATTTTAATATTTTTAATATTTTTTAATATATTTTAATATATTTTTAATATTTTTCTTTGGTTGTATTAAACCTCTGTGGACATGCTACATATGGTACTACGGTTGGATTCTGCACAATTTAATCATTCAGTTAATTTTACAGAAACGATGTGCACCAGTGTGTTCTTTAGGTTGGCCTATGTGCTGTCTGTTGAGGCTAGATCAAATTAATGATTTGTGATTGATATGTTATGCGATAGCCAGATTTTTATACAAGTAATATTTATACTAGTCGAAATAAATAAATCGATGATAGCCGTTTTGCGCAAAAGGAATTAAAGGCCTGTCGTGTCCCATAGTTCAGTGATTGCAACTTACAGAAGTTTATTTCAAAACAATGACATGTTAGTGACATTTCGGAACAGATTTGCAATTGTAATGCAGTTACACGTGTAATCTGTTACTTATGCCTGGCAGCCAGCGGCATTCCAGGTGGTTCAAGCGGCCCTTGGGGCAGGCACCGTTCTCTCGGCGCGCCCCGGCAGCAGCAGCAGGAGGTTGGAGGGGAGCAGCCGCTGTGGTCACATTAAAAACTGCATCGCCTTTTCGTGACAACTGTAGATCAGTGAGCCATCAGCTCCCCACTCGCTCTTGTTTCAGGGACTTGTAGTCTTTAGTGTAAAGAACGCCGCCGCGTGGTAGAGGTCATTGTGAGAGTAAAACTACAGTTCCCTCAGAGCTACTCGAAGGTGTTAGTTGTCAATATGGCTGTTGTCAGACAGACAAAGCAGAGAGGCAAATAATTCGCCTCTGATTAGAAATCCTTGGAAAGGGGACGGACAGGACACTGTAGTCAAATTGCTGTATTGTTCGACTGCAGTAAAAGGCACAGCGGGTCTTTGCTCAAGGTGTAAAGTTAAATGGTTAAGCGGACGATTTGAACCGAGGTAAGTCCTGTACTTAGCTATCTGCAACACTGAAAGTGATGTTATTAATATCAAACGTTCGCTAGCCCGCGACAGCAGCTAACGTCAGCTAGAATCAGCGTTGGTATTGCTAGCATGTTATGCTAATCATTCCACAACCTCGGTTCTACCAAAATAGCCCACGTCAAGTTGTTAGCCGTCCTCTGTGATGCCTAAGGACTGTTGTCGGTATAAATTCAGTTTCAGCGGCACTGGAAACGATAGGTATCATACTGGGTTAGGACGTGTGCAAGCTGGCTAATTTTAACACTAAAGTGGGCATTGTCCGGCTGCCACAGAAACATTTGCTAACGTTAGCTTTTGGGCAAAGGGCGTGAAAGCTGGCATCACCGGTGGCTTGCCTGCATCGCTGAAACGAGCGACAGACTTGTGCCCTCACTGCAGGCCCCCATAGTCAGCAAAACAAAAACACATGGAGGAAATAGAGATACCACGAACTACGGCCAATTTTAGGACCGGGACAATTTAGAGAACTGCGCTGCCAGAGAAACGAGTTTGGTTTACACTGGGAGTATATGATGCATGCAGCCTGTCTTTGGGTAAGAAAGCTTCTGTTTTTCTTGCATGATGAAAATACCCGGCGTGGTTTATCGGCTGGCGTTATCTCTGAAGCAGATCTTTTTGTATTCTTTTGTGAGCTGCTTGTTTGCACTGTTATCACGTGATAATTAAATAATAATTATGGTCAAAATGAAGTTTGCTCACCCATCAAAGACAGGACCACTTCAGTTGCTCTGGTCTTGTACTTTAGATAGTAGAAGTCAAACACTTTTTCCCTCTCTGTCTCCCTCTGGTTTATACACCTGTCCAGTCGGTCTTATGTGACCTACAGTAAACCAGTGCAGTGATTCATGTTAGGTGGACTTTTCTGCTGCCTTGCAGGGACTAACCAGTTCAACCAACTTGAGCCAAAGTGGAAAAAGTAAACTCTGTAAACACTTGACCAGGATGGATAATGATTACAAATTCCCTGTTTTGCTTGCAACACGCAATGAGCACACAGGGGGTAGTGGTTAGTGCATCCACTCACATGTTCCAAACAGAGGGATTCTAGTTACAGTAACCAGTCCGACAATTGTTTTATGCTCCCTGGGATGTGACCAGTATCTGCAGTGTAACTGGGCTTGATAATGATTGACAGCTTTAGTCGCTTTCATTTCCAGGTTCTTAATGACCAACTCAACTAACTAATGAATAACTCAGGAGACTAGTTAATGTTCAGCAGTGCTACAAAGCTCCCCTGAACTAATGCATTTCAGTGCCCACCCATAGTGACTATCACCTGTATGTTGTTCTCCTCCTTTTTAAAGCTTGTTGTCACAGACCTCTCAAGGCTTACATCAACCACGGTCATATTACTTGCCTTCACGATAACTTAAAAACACTGCACACACTTTCTCGTCCTTTTCGTTTTTGCTGTCCTCTGCACGGCTTAGAGTAACACAGATGTAGAAAAATGCCAGTGACCCCTTTTTAAACCGTTTATCAGATCGGCATAGGTCGGGCTGGCACAGAAGATGGAAAATCTGCCGCAGTCTGATTCCAGTTGCATTGATTTTGAGCGGAGCAAATTGCTTATGAAAAACATACAGTGTGGGTGGTGTGCAGAGCCGGGGATATATATTGTAGCTCTTAAAGAATGGCAGTCAGAATGTTAAGATAGCATCAGCTGTCAAGGTGACTCTGGCACTCTGCGTGTGTTGCCTGCTGGTTCCCAAAAATAGCAGATTTTTATGCCCTGCCCCTCCCTCCCCTTTTTCTTTCACACTTCTGTCTCTCGCTCTTGTCTTCCTTTTCTTATTTGCTGCCTCTTTAGTCTCTTCCTGCAGTTTTTTTTCTCCTTTCCCACCCCTCTCTTTCTACTTTATCCCTCTAATTCTCCTCCACTACCTTTCTCTCCCCATTTGCAACTGCGTTCCTTTTCACTCTTTCCTACTTAATCCTCTCATTTCGTCTTTGCCTCCACTATCCCTTCATCTGTCTCATTTCTGCCTGACTTTCCTCCTTGCTCCTCCTTTTCCCGTTTCCCTCTGAGATCTTGGAACATCCACTTACTTGCTTTTCCTAACTTCCCCCTGCATTTCCTGTTTCCTTTCCCCCTCCTCTCCTTTCTCTGTCTCACAACCTGTCTGTCTTGTCTCTCATCCAGCAGCAGGATGTCTGAGTTCAGTGAGGAGCCTCGCTTCACTATTGAGCAGATAGATCTGCTGCAGCGGCTGCGTCGCACCGGCATGACCAAGCAGGAGATCCTGCACGCGCTTGAAACACTGGACCGGCTGGACCGGGAGCACGGGGACAAGTTCGGCCGCCGCACCTCTTCCTCCTCCTCCTCCTCCTCCTCCTACGGAGTAGGCGGGGCAAACAACAACTCTGCCTCTAATACTACTACATCATTCATCAATAACAACACTGCCTCGGCAACCACCACCTCTTCCGTGTCATGCAATGGCAACAACGGCGCCATCACCAGCGGTGAGGGCAGCGCCGGCGATCACTCTGCGACTGCCGCTTCTTCCACGACCTCCAAAATCTCCACCGCCACGCAGACACAGTTCGGCAACGGAGGGGGACTCTCACCGTCTCCTAGTAACAGCTATGACACCTCCCCACCTCCTGGGCCTCCACCGCCTTCCGCCATCTTGCCCTCGCCGGTCTCCCTTGTGGCTCTGTCACAGAACGGCCGGGATAGCCTAGCTGCCACACCCAACGGAAAGCTGTCTCCTCCAAGATACCCAGTGAACAGTGCGGCTGCAGCACGAGCGTTTGGGTTCGAAGCTACAGAAGAAGACCTGGATATTGACGATAAGGTGGAGGAGCTGATGAGGTCAGTAGTAACGAGGTGAAGTGAGCTGCTCTAGAACTTTGTTTGGGAAGCTTTGCACTTATAGCCATTTGTGCAACTTTTAGTTTGGTGCTTGTAGACATGGACACTATATTAACATTAAGTAGGCTATGATGATGAAAGACTGGCTCCCCTGAGATTGTGGATCTTATTATAAAGACATAGCTCAAATGTGTTGACTCTTGCTGGTTTAAAAGGCTTCATTTATTCACTTCATTCAAGTGTGAACCTACTGTAGTGAACTGTACTTGCTATGTTAACTGAACTGTGTGACTGAATGAGAGAACGAATTTCCATCATCTCGACAGTACTAATGATCCCTTCATAAAATGTTATTTTGTATAAAGCACACAAGAAAGCCATTAAAGGGGCTTCTAAAAGCAGCCTCAGAGGTTAGTATCCATCTTTTCTGACTGATGCAGTTCATCCTTGGCGTTGGAAACAGAAATTAAGAAAACATTTCTCCCCACAAAGTCCATTTAGTAGCTCTGCTGGAGGTTTTGCTAAAGAAATGTCTCCAGTGTTTTTAGCTCCTTAACACAGCGAGTTCATGGTTGGTTAACCTGGTAGTGTAAATGGATTGTGTTCCCCAGGATTTGACTGTTTGAAAATGGTTTTGCCATCTCAGTATAACTTCCTTTTTTATTGCATTCATTTTCATTAGTGGTCAGTTCTGTAGATATGCTTTTTATCCAGTCCTGTAATTATGCTAGGTGATATAATGAATTGAACTGATTGTTGGCGTATTCCATGTCATCATTATGTGTTTCGCTGCACTGATTCCACTAATGCAGATGAACTTTGGAGAGCCTTATAGTCACTTCTGTGAGAGAGCTTACCTTTAAGGTGCAGTTCTACTTTGCCTTGAGGTGTTGTTGTGTTGGTTAAATTGTAGATAAAATAAAACCTGGCTTGCTCTTAGCTTGTTGGCATGTCCTACATTATCTGGCAGTGTTGTTCATTTGTGATTTTTTTTCTTGTGGCACTTCCAGTAAAGCAAAGGTTTGCACAGGCAATATCTTTGCTAGATATCAAAAGCCAGTTGGAGGTGACCAATCACATTTCTTCGGTTTTCCCAGTAGGCTGTGTAGCCCTGATGTGCAGTTATATCTTCGAGGAGATGAGGCTACAGCGAGACCCTCTAGATAACTACCAAGCTGGCCTTTTACACATGCAATAGGCACCACAACACCTTGACACTAGGGGGTATAATGTGCAACTGTTAACAGTTAATCTGCCCATCACAGTTAAAATGCAATAGACATTTTCACACTTCTTCTTACGTCAAACCAAGAAGACAAACCCCAGATAATCAAATCACTCTCACATAAATAAAATAAAATAAAATAAAAGCAGCACATCCTCACGATGGAAAAGCTGGACCCAGTAAGCGTTTGGCACTTGTGCTTTAAAAAATGGCTTGGTGAATTGGTGCAAGTATGGATTACCTTTCTTTTGACTGACTAATCGATGAATCAGCTAATCATTTGCGCTCTACGTGGCGCATAATTAACTACTGAATAGTACTTGTTGTGCAGACAAAAAGCAAGATAAATGACAACTAAAACTGCGTCGTCTAACAGAGAGAGAAGAAACGGAAAAGGCGAAGTGTTGGTGCAGACATTTTCTTTTCAAGAGTGTTAGCTTGGCTTCCAAATTGTTTTATTTATTTATTTATTTTTTTAAGCACAGCGGGACCACATAACAGCTGTGATTAGTACATTTGTGTGGTACAGTGTGTACCACACAAAGATGTATATTCTGTGATGGAGTGTTAAAATAACAGACACTGGCATAAAGGTGTTATTGTTGTGATTATTCCTGCAGTCAGCAAAGACTTTATTGCATAAAAAAGTATTCAGTGGCAGTCGTATCGAAAGCCCTCAGGGTTCAAGATGACAAACCTTTACAAACGTGCACCTCTGGAAACATTAAATGAAATCACGTACAGTAACGTCAAGTAACATTAGGTGTGAAATCACATGCTCTGTAGTTACTAAGGCTCATTCATGAGAGAGTTTCAGTGTTCATAATCTGTCACAGTCCACATGGTAGACGGCTCTTCTCATCTTTGAAGCACACATCGGCCCTCTCCCCCTGCCGCCCTAGATGTCAGAATAAGAACAGACGTTTGGAGCTCAGGCTCTGTCCTCAGCGCTGTACTGGCTGTCCCGTTGCTCTTTTACACTGCTTCTGCATTATAGAACACATCCTGTTCGACAACCCAAGAAGTTAAGAAGCGTTCAAAAGCCCTCGTCTGCCTGTAGGACTCTCCAGCATCTTGCTCAGCATGGTGGCGGCGGCGGGGGGGGGAGGGGTGTGACACGAGGTTTCCGCTTGTCAACAATCCCACAGAGCGCTTCTGATTTTTCTCTCTTTTAAAGTGCACATTTACGTACCTGCAGGGGTTCGGCCTTTGAGTTGGCATCAAACACAACCGCCCGCCCTCCTGCCACCACCATCACCCCCCTCCCCTCCTCAGTCTTGTACAGCAGCTTGTGCTACATTGATTCACTGGTGTCGATACAAGCAGCGTTTTCGAGCTCTAATTTTAGCTGCGCCGCAAGAGGCTGGTGTGGAGGATATTGATGCTGGATGTCAAGAGTCGTGACGCATTTTCATCTCAGGAATATGCTAACAGAGCACTCAGGACCTAGATGCGTTCTCCATTTTGACTGTCTGGGATACTGACTGGTTCAACGGATGTTTGAGCACCAGTGCTGTTAAAGTTGGGTGGGGGTAGGCGCCCCCTAGAAGTGCCATCCAGTAAAGAAAGCAGAAAAACAAACGAACTATGCACTGTTAGCGTGGATGAATGCACCAACCAGTTTACACATTTGACAGGTTTTCACAAACTGTACCAGGATGAGGAATTTTAAGGCATAAGCTTGTGGCTGGGTGTGTATGTATGTGTATGTTGTGTATGTGGAGGGGACTGGGCTTGAAGCCAGAAAGCAGGGTGGGTACACTGTGTGACTGCACATGTTCACTCACCGCCCTCCATTCCTGCAAGTATGTGCATGTTTTATTTCCCCCCCCTCTGAGGACTGAGATAGTGGGAACATGTCTGCCAGATGCATTCAGAAAACGTAGATGACTTGATTGCGGCTCACTTCATGCCTTTGGGCATAAATAAAAGAACAATGCCTCGATAATGGTGTCAAAATGCACCTCAGATTAAAATGGAGCCTTGGGTTTGTAGTTTTCCCATGAGCCGGTAGAGTACAAAAACACAGATTTGATTATCTGGCATGTGAATCAGTTATTGTTCACAACACCAAACCAATGGTCTGAGTCTGAGGGGTACAGCATCAACAATGCTGGGTAAATGATGATACTGCAGCTTGCACCACAATTGAACATGTAAATCCATGTTGGTTACGAAACACCTTATTAAATGTATGAAGAATTCAGTGGTTCTTCAGATTTATGTGCTGACAGTGTATTAGGCAGCACTGCTGTGTTCTTACTTGTGCTGTGTGTGTGTTTGCAGGAGGGACAGCAGCATGGTGAAAGAGGAGATCAAAGCGTTCCTGGGGAACAGGAGGATCTCTCAGGCAGTGGTGGCACAAGTTACCGGTTAGTAGCAATTCTGACACTCTGAAACTGTGTTGTTGATTTTAAGGTGTTTTTTTCGGTTGCAAACATGCTGTCATTTTGTACATCGTTCACATTTAGTTGTTGTTAAATGTGCGTTGCTCCAGTTGAAATTTAATTTTACATGTTGAAGCAATGCAAAGAAGGTTTTAATACAGAACAGTGAGAAATTTAAATTTGCATAATATGTGCAGATAAGGTTTGGACTTAAACAGCTCCCCTGCTTTTTTTCATTGTGTTACTGCTGACTTATTCGGGAAACCTAATTTTCTACGGTTTAATTTACATTAGAATGCTTCTCTGAAGGTTTATCTATGTTCACTTTAAATCTCAGTTTAACACATGGACATGCTAGAAGACATTATAACTAGTTTGGAAGTCCAATATGCAACTTGCACAAGAGTGATGTGGAAACCTGAACCTTCCAGTGCACATACAGTGAGAATTGACTTTTAGGCCTACAGCTGAAGTCAGACATTTACATACACCTTAGCCAAATACATTTAAACTCAGTTTTTCACATTTCTAGTAATCCTAGGGAACATTCCCTCTCTTCAGGCCTGTTAGGATCACTACTTTAATTTAAGAATGTGAAATATTAGGATAATAGTAGTGAGAATGATTTCTTTCAGCTTTTATTTCTTTCACCACATTCCCAGTGGCTCAGATGTTTACATACGCAGATTTAGTATTTGGTAGCATTGCCTTGAAATAGTTAACTTGGGTCAAATGTTTTGGGTAGCCTTCCACAAACTTCTCACAATAACTTGCTGGAATTTTGGCCTATTCTCCTGACAGAACTGGAGTCAGGTTTGTAGGACTTCTTGCTCGCACACGCTTTTTCAGTTCAGAAAAAACATTTCAATTGGATTGAGTTCAGGGCTTTGCGATGGCCACTCCAATACCTCGATTTTGTTACCCCTAATTTTGCCACAACTCTGGAAGTATGCTTGGAGTCATTGTCCTTTTGAAAGAACCATTTTCGACCAAGTTTTAACTTCCTGGCTTATGTCTTATGATGCATCCTTATGATGCGATCTCTTTTGTGAAGTGCACCAGTCCCTTATGCAACATAGCACCACCACAACGTGCTTCATGGTCAGGATGGTGTTCTTTGGTTTACAAGCTACACCTTTTTACCTCCAAACATAACGATTGTCATTACGGAGAGTTAAATTTTAGTCTCCATGAACATTTGCAAACTGTAGTCTGGCTTTTTTAAGGCTGTTTTGAAGCCCCTTGTTGAGCAGCCTTTCAGACTATGTTGCTATACATATGCAATTGCAATATGAGAGAGATATAGTGGAAAGACAGCGGCGTGTTTATACTTTATACTTGCATACTGTTGTTTGTACAGATGAATGCGGTCCCTTCAGTCGTTTGGAAATTGCTCCTAAGGATGAATCAGACTTGTGGACAATTTTATTTCTGAGGTTGTGGCTGATTTCTTTTGATTTTCTCATAATGTCAAACAGCGAGACACTGAGTTTGAAGGTAGACCTTAAATACATTACATGTGACTTAAATGATGATTAGCCTCTTAGATTAGCATCTAATTCCATGACATGCGCAATCAGTGCTTATTTTATGGACGTGTGATATAGTGAATTGTAGGTGAAATAATCTGTCAGTAAACAGTTGTTGGAAAAATGACTTTAGTCTCAGACAAAGTACATGTCCTAACAGTCATGCTGACAGACTTTGTTCTCATATAATCTGTGGAACGGTTAAATAATGTGTTTAATAAGTATATGTAAACCTCTTTAGCTATTTGTCTCCAGTAGTGAAAAAGTTATATCAGACACAGATTAGAGTAATTTCAAAGGGGAACTTTGAATAAATATTCGGCACTCATCAATTGTCAACGCCATAGACGTTCCTCGCTGACAACAGCTATTTAAAAGTGCTGTAAAACTTTATTTCAGTTATTTAGTTGCTCAAACTGTTTGATAATGTTTTTTTAAAACAAAAACAGGTGCTGTAAAATCAGGACAGAAATATTGGTCCAACGGTGTGGCCACAGCTTGTGCGATCGTAGTGGACATAAATTCAGAGCTAAGCGGAGAGGAAACACTTTACCCCTCCAGTAGTCCCTTCTGTCTCTCTTGAAGTCTTCCAAGGGTTGTCTACAAACTGCACCCGGGGCTTGATGCAAAACACTGTTGTAATTCGATGTCTGGCTGCTTTCCAGGCATCAGCCAGAGCAGGATCTCCCATTGGCTGCTGCAGCACGGCTCCGACCTGAGTGAGCAGAAGAAGAGGGCCTTCTACCGCTGGTACACGTTAGAGAAAACCACACCAGGTACATCTGAGTCTTGCACTCCTGACTCTTGTGTGTGTTGGTCAAGTTTGTGTGTATAGCAGATTGAAAGGCTATGGGTAATAATGGGAGGGATCCCGAATTTCTAACTCTGAGAATGGACTAACGATGCAAGCGTGGTCATTGTAGTCATTACGGTCATAATTGAAGCTAGTTTAATTTAGTCGCTCAGAACACTAGGAGTTTTTAACTTGGATGTAAAGTTAGGAGAAGAGTTGTCACAGTAGGTGTGAACTCCAAAGAAGGAAGCTTAGTAGGAAAACACTCTGCAGCAGTTTGTCATCAGAAAGTAGTTTTAGCCCGAGTCTTTTCACAAAAATGTATATTATTTTTCATCATTGTTTGGTCAACAAAACCTAAAAACAGTTTTACTTTTATTTTAATGCAACAACTAAATGACTCTACTGAGTAAATCCAGTTATCATTTCCAAACTCGGGCTGTTTGAACAGAACCACTCACTACCTTCGTTCCTGCTCACCTAGCATTAGCATTGCCACTGCTACCTGTTCTCTCCACTGCAGAGCAACAAATCACAAAATTACTGTTCACTGTCTGGGTTAAGCTTACAGGATAATTTTGGTATTTTTAAACCTGGGCCCTATTTTCACATATTTGGTGTTGAAGTGAGTTGTAGGTACAAAAGGTTTTGGAATCCATGCAGTAGATGGCTCCAGCCGGCAATGGCTGTAACATATTCCTTTGGGGCAATTGCGCCTGTCAAAATTATTATGTCAAGAAAAAGTGCTTCTATTGGCCTACAACAGGCTCAGAATGTTATACCTGTTTCAGAAAGCAGGCTCTGAGCTTATCCCTGAGCTCTGAGCTGATTGAGCCTGAGGTGGGAAACTCTGAGTTTTCGGTTCCAGCTGATCAGAATAAGTTTAATCAACTCTGAGTATGTTGAGCCTGATGGAAGCGCGTGTGTGAGGGGGATGAAAAAAAGCCATCATCAATGGAGCTCTGATACTACGATTCACCATGGCAACGGGTAAATAAAGGGCAGAGCCTCCATTTTAATCGGATGTTGCTAGAAATATGAATGTGTGCCAATGCGGACCATGATAGGCTCTAAAACACAGGAGTGGAGGAAGGATCGATATGTCAACATTAGTACTTTTTATACAGCGTTGCTCATTCATCATTTGCCAAACTGGACTTTCCTTCATGAATGATAAAGTGCTGGAATTCTCCTACAGCCCATTACATTCATTCTAAATAGGAAGGCTATATTTAATAAGCTGTACAGGACTAAATGCCGGTGGCAATCGGCTACCTGATTATGAAAATAGGTATAGATCAAATATAAGACGCAGTTTACTCATGAACCTGTGATTGTAAAGTCACAGTCACACCCAGCAGGTTAGCCTATTCATTTATTTTTCCAGCAGTGGAAAATGTGTCTATAGGTTCAAACTGACTAAAGTTTTAGACGTCTATTTTACATTCAAAAAATCTTGATAATTTCGCATTTTATTAATGCTGTCAAAACACATTCAGAATATTTGCCGCTAATAATGAAAACCTCACTTAAAACTACATTTAAGCCTGCTTGCTTCAGCTGCACCACAGTCACCCTCACCCGAAATATTCAGATTATGACAGATTGATCATAAAAGCGGTCATGTTCAAGATCATGTTTGGATGAAAAACTAATAGCCTATCCAACCGCGATTTTAGTTTTTAAAGATGTAAATGCGTTCAGATATGTGCTTTTGATATCGACAGTATGAATGAGGAAATGGAACGGTGTGTCATACAACTGCCTCAGGCTCCGCAGGAGGGGAGGAGTCAAATATAAACTGACGGTTTTCCAACTTATGAATCCTGTTAGGTTCATAGGATAAGTTGCCGGAGTTACTGATCTAGGGATTATCTGATCTCTGAAACAGAAAACAGAGTTCCCCTCATTTCAGGCTTAACGTACTCACTAATCCCACTTTCTGAAACGGGGACCAGGAGTCTTACAACATCATGGAAAGGATCCGTATGAGGAACAGATTGTTTTTAACAAGAAACAGAAGTCTCGCTCAAGAACAATTCTCGCTCTGAAATCTTGTGTGAGGCGAGTTGTTGACGGTGGAAACCTGAGTCAGAATTGGAGAGAGGAGTTTGTTGTTTTGGAGTAACTTAAGGCAGTTCCTCTATGCACACAACAAACTATTGGTATATGAAGTTTTGAACTGTTGATTGGATAAAAGAAGCAACCTGAAGATGTCACTTTAAGCTCTGGGAAATTGGATGAGCGTTTCTCAAATTTGTTTGACATTTTATAGACCAAATTATTAAAAACTTAATTATGTAAATTATCGTCAGATTGATCAGTAATGAAAAATATTGTAAGTAGCAACCCTACCTACTAGCCATAAAATTCAGTAATATAAAGCCATACATATAGCCATCTAGTGTCAAGTCCAAGTTCAGTCTCAAGTAATTCAAGACGAGTCAAAGAGTCTGTCCCGATAATCACATTTGCAGTACTAGTAGTCATGTGCCTCCTTGTGCAACGTGTTTTCGACAATTATAAAGTCACTAACCTGAGTTATAGAAGAAGGTAGGCCTACTGTACATAAGAGACATAATTTAAAGAACCTGAGCTGTCCTACCTCTACTCTCTTCTGCCATGTAAGAGACACCGAAGTCCTCAAGTGTGGGGGGGAAAAAGTCAAGTCTTGAATCTCTAAGAAAAAGTCCCACCTCTCTCTCTAACCCACAACTTAGCTAATGTTAGTTACATTACTTGCCACGTTGTTGTTCACTAAGTCTACGTCTCTGAAACCTTATTATGCACTAGTCTTGCTTACTGATGAAATCTGATCACATGCAGAGGCAAAGGTTAACCTTAGTTTTGATCAAGTAGTTTTAATGTTGGTTTTGCTGCTGTGAAGAGAGACGCATAGTGAAAACATGAGCGTGTTATCTAACGCAACCTCAAATCCACACGTCCCTTTAAATGGTTAAGAGCAAGAACAACCGGCCTCATGCTGGCTCTGGATATGTATACGTGTGCTAGAGCTGGATCAACCTATAGCCAGGCAGCAGACATCCCACGCCTTGTCCTCTGCGGCATGTTCCTCGGTGGAGCCTTGCCAACACAGACAGCAGCGGAAACTGCTCTATGCTATTTATGGCCAGACTGTTAGCCTGGCCCAGCTCAGCTCAGCCCAGCCCAGCCCCGCGCACACTCCTCCATCACTGCTGCAGAGAAAACCGATGCCCCATTCAAGCCTTTCTGATAGATAACCTGGACTGTTGCAGGGCAAGCCAGTTAGACCTTGTTCACAATGTCTGTGTCAGATAAGGTTGTGATACTGCAGGTGAGCTTTAATGTGGCTGGTTTTATGAGTTTGACTGCAAATTTAATGTTGGTTTTCTGTTCTACTGTGGTCATGATTTGAGATGAGGCAGCACAGTCAGTCGAGTGAGATTTACAAAAGGCAACATATATTTTTGCATGACTTTCCATGAACAGATGGGCCTTCTGGCTGTTGTTTGCTTTGCTCAGTTAACCTGTCAAAACAGCCCCTACACACATTATTACTCCATTTCTATGTTGTTGTTTTTTTTACTTTTAACTGGCACAGTTTGTGGCTTGACTCTTCCTGACCGATGTACCGTCTTCAGTTGTAGCTAACCAGTGATTGTGCTACCTGCTCCCAGGTGCCACTCTAAACATGCGGCCAGCTCCGTTACCTGTGGAGGAGATGGAGTGGAGGCAAACCCCTCCCCCCATCACCACTGCACCCGGAACCTTCCGGCTGCGTCGAGGAAGTCGCTTCACTTGGAGAAAAGAGTGCCTGGCTGTGATGGAGAGGTGAGGGCAGGGGGGGATTAAAGATGAGAAATAGGAGTTTGTTTCATAACTTATCCTTTATTTCCACATGGAGTTGTGGAAACATTGCAACCTGTCCAAGAAAACGGCTGGACAATGAGCCAGTGACTCTTGTCATATAGTCTCACTATTGACTTGGTTTTACATTGTTGACATTGTCCTTGTGTAGAGAAATTAATTTAATCAGTGCTCCTCTGCTATTTATAGCTACTTCAACGACAACCAGTACCCAGATGAGGCCAAACGGGAGGAGATTGCAAATGCCTGCAATGCAGTTATTCAGAAACCAGGTAAAGTGCATAAACCAGGAATGTGTGTATTGTGATGTTAACATTTTTTTACATCTTAATTTGCTGGTGACAAGTATTTATGTATATTATGCAAAGGTTTTGAATGTTACCATTGAAATATCCCCATCTATACAACCTATGTAAGCTGCCAGCCATGCATTTTTAACATCGATATACATTTGATGTGTTACGAAAGTTTTACAGAGCTGATTTATTGATTAGTTGATCAGCAGTAAATTAATCTGCAACAAAAATAAAAAAATTCCCTTGCTTCAGCCTCTCAAATGTGAATATTTGCAGCTATTCTTTTGTGACCAAGGCATTTTGGGTCTAATGTTTCTTGGATTTGATCTAAATGTTAGAGACCGAACATCTGTGTGGCAGTTGTTGTGTCATTCGCTCCTTTATGCAATGGAATCGAATTAGTTCCTTTCAACAGATATTTAACCACTGTTCTGAAACAATCGTGCTTGTAAAAGCACAAGTAAGGGTGGAATTCACAGGATCAGATGTATTGGAAAAAAAAAAATGGGCCATAAATTAAATACGAACATTAGACTGGAAAAAAAATCATAAAAAGTCATAATCATTGTGACCGTGGAAGAGATCTGGGTGAGAATGTGGGTAATGTAGAAGATGCAGTGATCAGATTGTCATGTGATTTGTTTCAGGGAAGAAGCTGTCTGATCTGGAGAGGGTTACCTCCCTGAAAGTTTACAACTGGTTCGCCAACCGTCGCAAAGAGATCAAGAGACGGGCCAACATTGGTAATATGGCTTTGGGGAGGGAACACAAATGTCCATTAAGAGTTTTGATTGCAGTGAACTACACAGTTAATTATATCCCCTTGTGTTAACATGACCATTTCATATTTAATAACAACAATTCTAAAAAAAATCCTTCTGGCCTGAATGGCTCATCATTAATTCATTTCATCACTATAATTAGGTTAATCAGTCACCTGATGTTTGTAATGACCTCTGGCAAAGTATCCCCATAACTGCTGTGAGATGAAAAGATTCCTCTTGCTGCTTGCATTAACCTACTGTAGCTGCCCTTTAGATTTGTAAAATAGAATCTAGCCAAAACAGCAGTGTTTCCCATCCTTGTTCAATGTGCCCCAAAAAGCCCTGTCAGATGAACACCCCTAATCATTTTTCATGTGTGGTCATTTGGATGTTTGAACCATTTATCCACACACACTTTTTCACCATTTATCTTCTAAACTAACTATATATCCATAACTTTTTGTAACTACTTAATATGTGTAGCTATCAAAACTATGTATCCATTACGTTTAGCTATCTCTCTAAATCACATACCATTTAGCTAACTATTTTGACCACGTATCCATGACTTTTAGCTAACTATTTTGACCACGTATCCATGACTTTTAGCTAACTATTTTGACCACGTATCCATGACTTTTAGCTAACTATTTTGACCACGTATCCATGACTTTTAGCTAACTATTTTGACCACGTATCCATGACTTTTAGCTATCTATTTTGACCACGTATCCATGACTTTTAGCTAACTATTTTGACCACGTATCCATGACTTTTAGCTAACTATTTTGACCACGTATCCATGCCTTTTAGCTAACTATTTTGACCACCTATCCATGAGTTTTAGCTAACTATTTTGACCACCTATCCATGACTTTTAGCTAACTATTTACACTTTGGGGTTCGCTTGCTAACTAGTTTTCATGCATTTTCAATTGCAACATGTTGTATTCAGGTGTTACAGCTGAATCAGTATGTCAACATACACACAGTGGCCACTTTATTAGGTACACTTGTACAGTCTAGCGCAATCCAGTATAACTGTTCTGCCAAAAAGTTTACTTTTGTGAAACGTAATTTTTTTTGACAATGTCATAGAGGTCATAGTTAATTGTGTTGTTGTAGTGGCCTGTATATTCAGCTCTGTAATTGGGAAGGAGTAAAAAATGGAAACTCCTCTCAACATATTGTAGTCCAGTCCTCTATAGACCTCAGTAAGAAACATAATTGAACTGACACATTTCTGACAAAGTCACCAAAATTGAACATTACAAACTTAGTAAAGGTATAATTTATGGCATAGCTGTTATATTTATTTTAAATATTAAACAAATCTTAATCTTTCTATTTTATTTATTTTTCAAAGTAGTTCAGCTTGGGAATAACTTCTCTATGTATGTAATGAGGGGTATTATCATTGATCCTTCGTAAATCTAATAATCCATCCTCTTCCTCCAAGAAGCCACAATCCTGGAGAGCCATGGCATAGACGTCCAGAGTCCAGGGGGACACTCCAACAGCGACGACATCGATGGGAACGACTTCTCAGAGCAGGTACAGAGGATCCCAACAGACACATAAAACCAGATTTATGTTTTAGACTTTACTGTAAACGAATGGTCTGATCAAAGAGATAGAGGTCACTTGTCCTTGTGTTACAGTGTCATGTCTTCATTTTGTATTGTACTGTGTCTGATTTTTATTTATTCATTTAAATTCTTTTATTATTGTGGATCAGCCCCTTGCCAACCATTCACATCCATCCGCTGGTGAAAGGCACACTGTTCTTGGACAGCTCTCAGTATTTCAGCCGTTGATCAGATGTAATCACGCAATTTACATATCTTTCATTCCAACTAAACAACACATTGGTTGACTTAGTACGAATTACTTTCCCTCTCTTTTGTTGTGTTAATAATTGAAATCAGCAGCTTGTCGTGGTTGTTTGGAGATGAACCCTATGGCTAATCTTTATAAACAGATGTCTGCTTAAGAGTGCAGAATCTGTTGGCAAAGGACAAGAGTTTGGTGTTGGGATCGTTCTGGATTCCATTTGTAGTCAGGGTAGTATTGACCAATCAGATTAAGTCCGCTATTGACTGCAAAACATGCAAACCCTTTCGTCAAGTCAAAGCTGCTGAAAGTGATACAAGTCAGTTAAAGTTAATCATTCCAGCTAATGAGTAATGAACACATGGTGCATTTAATCGGGGGGTGCTAGCTAAATGGCTAATTTTATTTCCTCCAGGCATGTGACCTGCCCTATTTTGACAAGAGACCTCTCAGCCGACCTTTTGGCCTTTACCGACTGGAGCCCACCTCGCCAACACAGGTACAGCCACACACAGAAACATGCCAATAACTTAACCACAACACGGCATATACATTTTTTGCGAAATGGAATCTGGTTGTTGATTTTCTCTTTTGCCATCATGCCAATCTATTCTGATCAGCGTTTCATCAATTATGTTGTTGCATATCTTCATATCTGTGGTTGCATGGAGCACTGATCTCCAGTACAGTCCAAAAAGAGGCCAAGTAGAGGTTCCTTCACCACAATTATACTCTGATTGCATGTCTTTAATTAGATGTCAGGATAAAGTAATCAGGCTGCATATCACTTATAAATTGATTTGATGCTTGATGTCATTGCTCATCCATTTTTTTGGTTGCTCCTGTGACCTCAGCTTGAATAATGTGTTTAACATCCACAATAATCAGCACTCCCTTGTAGGATCAACATCATAATGGTGGCAGATTTATCAAGTTATATTTTGAAATGATGGGTCCTTGATTTCAGACAGTGATAGACAAAAGCCAGAATCTGGCAACTGTTGATTTTGCTAGCTTAAATAGCTGCAATAGGTGGTAGATTTGACTAGCTAGCCAGTTAAGCTAACTTTGGCTGCATGAGTTGGTTGAAGATGCAGGGGCAATATTACACAGTGCATAGCGTGTTATCTGTGAATGGAGAATTTTAAATATAATCCACTGGGTTACTACTGCACTAGTGGGAGTAGGTAGTAAGCTAGTTAGCCGGACATGGCAGCGATTACAGCTTACATTATCATGTTTATCACACACTGTTTAATTCATTCTTTACGCTTTTGCTCTTGTGTTTTCAGTCTTGGAAAGGCTGAAAAAGACACTATCACTACAGCCTTACACACACCACTTGAAGGAAGCCAAAGCTTGACAGGTCTAGTTAAGGTGGCTAAGCTATGACTGGACAATTGCTGTTTGTGGGAGTGGTTTGGCAAACCGTTAATTGGTCAGCAAAATGGCAAAAAATTAGCTGGAAAACACAGTATAGGTGGAAAATGAGCCCTATCTGTAAAAGTAGAATTCCCATTTCTTTTCTTTCTCCTGAACTACACACATTCTGGAGGCTTGCTGTTTCATCTCTTGACCTTGGTCCTTGGTCTTCCCACTTTCCCCCCCTGTCTCAGGATGACAGCGCGGCGCACAGCGAGCACCAGGACCCCATCTCTCTGGCTGTGGAGATGGCCGCCGTCAACCACACCATCCTGGCCCTGTCCAGAACCGGAGGGGTCTCCAATGACATCAAGACGGAGTCCCTGGAGGACGAATGAACTGCATACGAACTGGGATAGAGGAAGCGGATGAGAGAAATGAGTCGAGAGAGGCAAAAGGAGTAGAAAAGGTGGGAAATTTGGGGGGGGGGGCTTCAAAAAAAAAAAGAGACCAAAATAATGCTACTTAGTAAACCTTCTGAATCTGTCCCTCAGCCAGCCCCCTGCCAGCTTTTCCTTCTCTCTCGGCTTCCCTCCTCCCACAAAGTCCATGTAAACAGTAATTACCCCTGCACCCCACCCTACCCAACATATTCAGACAGCTGGCGGAAGTGGGTCACTATACGTCCTCTGATGTTTGTGAAAATATTCCACGGAATGAAGAAAAGGGGGGCTATTCAGGCCTTTAACCCCCAAAACAGGTGGTCCTCGTCTGGGATTGTATCTCCCAGGTACTCCTTACCCTGAATACACTCTCTCCTCACAGGATACCTCTTCTCTCTCCTCTCCTCTTCCTTATTCCCCCTCTCCTTCCCTCTCCAGCCTGGTTGTCTGAGCCGATTCCTCAGTCTATCTCACCTCAGCGTCAACCTCAGAAAAATAACGTGTACTGTATATATAATATATATATATGGTTCTTATGGTTCTCAGTCACACACTCACCTCATGGTGTGCTACCTATCTACCTACCTACATACATACCTAAATTCACTATTGCAGCCTCCAGCCATTGTCTGGGGACAGATGGATGGGGAGAGTTTCCTTCTCTCCCTCTCTGGCACCAAGGCGGTCAGAAAGGATAATATCGGCAGACAGAGCTGTCCAGTCACTGTCTTCTACCCTATCATTCCTCAGTGGAATAGCTTTTTGTTTTCCTAAAGTAGACCTGCTTATGGATGAAAACCACAAAGAAATCAGCTAAAAAGAAGTAGCCTTAATTTCATACAGACAGCAACGCCTTTTACTTTTTGCAGTATACGGCAGGTATTGTCCTTGACGTCAAGGCACAATAAGTAAGTTTTTAGTACACATACAGAAAATGCCAGAATTAATGTTAAGGTCTATATCCAATAGAATCAGTGGTTTTGGTTCTTTCACCTGCATTTCCCTCTGGATATACAATCATTTTGACTTGGTGTTTAGCTTCCCAGTGACACTATTGTTAAACACTGGAGGGTACGAGGATCAATTTAGGGTCAATGTGATAATCAAGCAAACTTAAGCTATCTAAGAAGAGGGATTGTGCTTTGTTTTAAATGTCGTCCATGCCAAAGGAAAAGACGTTATGAGCGAAAAGCTAAGAGGCTAAGCTAAGAAAATGGTGTTCACGATCATCCAAAGCGATTTCTACTAACTCCTTTGGCGTACGTAGGTTGTTCCTCATGCTCAGTGAAGCCTTTTGAGCCCGTGTGGCATCGTATGTGGGCTTGACACTACAGCAGGCCTGTATCAGTAAAGATAGGTATTAGCTGCCAGTTATATAATGATAAAATACCCCCCAAGCTATTTACTACTTGTTGTGTGACGCTGCCTCTTTATAATAGCCTAAAGAATGTGCTTTCAGAAGTTTTTGTTAATATCAGTGGTATCAAATTAGACTAAATCCACACTGGAAAAGTTTTAGAATATCAGAAGGACTTTTGAGGCGATATTTGTTTTTATTTCATCTATATAGCATCAAAGGTTAAAGCACCACTTTGAAGGGAATTGAAGACATTTAAAGTGGTGATATCGGAGATAATTTGCCCCGGTTGGAACTTTTCCAAAACCATCTTTGACTGAAGATCATCACAATGTCATAAGCAGAGACAAAGTGCTGTGTTCCTTGAAGTGTAGGTCCTGTTTCTGGGGGCTCTCTAATTGTCAACTATTAGCGCTTTTCAGTGTAGGACTGTGATGTTTAAAGGAAGTTAAATTAAGAAGACTTTTTGAGAAATAGGTCTATTCACTTTTTTGCAAGTGAATACGCCTTTTACTCATTTCAACGAGAAGATTGATACCACTATGTCTGTATGCGTAATGCAGTGCTAAGCTTAGCACAAAGACTGGAAGTAGAGGGAAATTGCTAGCCTGCCTTAGTCCAAAGGTAAAACATCTGCCCTCTTGCAACTCTAAAGCTCACTAATGAATTTTCAATAAAGCCATACAAAAAAGTCAAGTTGTGGTTATACGGATGGTTACGTGCTGAAAATCTTTTTTGGGCCAGACACGCCGACTTCCTGTCCTTTTTTAATACTTTTACACAAAATATAAAGTGTTAATTAGTGAGCTTTTGAGGTTTTATTAAAAATATGTTTCCACCTTTGGACGGAGGCAGATGAGCTGTTTTCTCCTGCTTCCAGTCTGAATGCTAAACTAAGCTGTGTCCTGGTGTTACAGTTAATTTTTTGTAGGGTTTAATCATACAAGGTACAAAGTGATAATTAGTAAGCTGTAATGTTACTAGGCGGATTCCTTTATTTACCTTTGGACAGAGTCAGGCTAGCTGCTTCCCCCCCGTTTCCGGTCTCCTGGCTGTAGCTTCATATTTAGCATGCTGACATAAAGAGTGGTATCGATCTTCTAATCTAACGCATAGCAAAAAAGCAAATAAGCATATTTCCCAGAATGTCAAACTATTGCTTTAAAGGAGCCCCTGCCTTAGTGATGGTTTTGGAGAACTGGGAGAACATTCTACAAAGCAGGTTCAAACAAAGCAGTTAGACGGGAACTCTGAGACAGAACTCTCAGGTAATTCCTCATATATTAAACAGTCAGATACGGACATTGGTGACGTATCGTAATCTGGGATCTGGATCCTGCTTGTAGAATAGCTCCCAGCCCTGGGCTCTAGTGTAGTAAAAATTTAAATCTATTGCTTCTGTGTGTACGAAGCTGCAAATACAGTCACTCAGTACTGGGATATGTGTTTTAAAAAAAAAAAAGGGTTGAAAGATAAAAACAATAAATATGTATTTATACTCATTTTTTATGGTAATGTAAAAAAAAATGACCTATGTTTTGAAATGAAACATGCTTTTATTGTTAAATTAATCATGCTTTTTTAATTTCTCCTGACATATTTTTATGTTATCATTTTAACAGTTTTTTGTACGTCATCCCTTATTTGACTGATCAACAGTCTCCCCCTGTTTTTGTCCGAGGTAGTAAGCTATTTTGTGAAATATGAACGACGATGCACCTTATTTGAAATAAGAATGGCTGTTGATAAGCTGAAAATGTAACCTTCCCTCCCCCGAGCCTTCGTTTGAAATGGCAAACATCCAATATACAATTATGGGGCTGGTGTGCAAAAAACCTTTCAGTACAGCTGCTTCACACACCATATCATATTAAATGCCCCAGTGTGTGCTGTTCTCTCCTTGAAATAACACCACACCAAACTCTATAGTGAAATCTCTCATTTTCAATATGGCTTAAAGGGGTAGTTAAATTTATGACAACTACAATTACATTTTCTTATTACTAGATACTGACTCATTTGAATGAATGAAAATGCAGTGTTCCATTTTTGTTCTGTTGCCTTACTATTGAAGTTATTAGAAACGTAACATTGTGCTTAGATTATGCATTTTGACATGGAACAAAGGGGCTAACTGTGTGTTTGGCTACTGACTAGGGCAGGGTGATATGGCCAAAAATGTTATCACGATAAAAAAAAAATTAATATCATTTTATTTCAATAACTGTCAAATCATTATTTATTTCAAGTTTAAGAAACCAGATGAGTAATTCAGTCCTGTTTCCTGAACAAAATAAATCTTAATATAAAGTTAAGTGCTAATTTGTCTAGATTCTAATGAATTATATGAATTACATTTATTGAACATTTGTTATATTGTTATTAAGGGAAAATTATCACAATAATTCTCATCGTTTTATTGCCCAGCCCTACTACTGATACTAAAATACATTTTAAATAAGGAGGTGAATTATTCCTTCAAGACATGAGACCAGAGATCTAAAGAGGAGCAGAGACTAATTCTTAGAATTGACTCACGCTATGATGTTGACAAAACATTATTTTAAATTAACAGTATTTAATACTTTTACTCTTAGTTAAAGGATTTTTCCTATGGAGTTTGGTGTGACATTCTATCTCTATACACGAATTATTGTATGTTGGAATTAGTGTAATAAGACGTCCGTGGAAGGAAAAGAGATCATTTAGAGATTATTCTCTCTATAAGACACTTAAATGAATTGCCTTAGTGTTTGAGAGATGCCATGGCCCAATTAGCAAGTACAAGTTTTAATCCTGCAGTATTTTATGTGAGCGTTCAAGCTTGACAGAACTGTTCATAGGGTGAAGAAAGAACCCTCAGGTGCTCAAGGAGTAAAGATTCTGTGCTTTTCCAAGAGAGAACTGAAAACAGATGCATCTGAATTACAGACTGACCCCTGAAACAGGCTTTCCCCACCCAGTGTTGTGTGTACTCCAGTGGTAGTGTTACTCTGAAGGGGTGTCCTCCTGTGGTGTGTCGGGGTCAACATGTCTACATGTCCTTCTGTGTCCCCAGTGAAAACACCATCCACTTCATCCCAATATAGCTCAGAAAAAGAGGACTGAATGCTGTTGTATCAATCTCAAATCTAGTTATGTTCAAAATTACTGTATTGCCCATTTCAGAATTTAGTGCCTTTTTTGGACAGTAGACTGTTCTGTAATTAAGATGTAGTATATATACATTTTTTTGTACAGTTTCTTTGTTCATTTTTTAACTTGTGTTTATTTTAGTATGATATATATAATGTACAAGAGAATAAAGCTATATCAATGAGACTTCAAGGTTTACTTTCTTGTTTGTTACGGATATCTGTACTTGGATTCATCACACATTGGTTGACTAGAGCAAGAATGAAGTTTATTTAACAATATAAAAAGTTGATTTTGCTTTTCATTATCAATATCATGTCTTCATCTTTAAATAAATACACATTCAGGCAGTCATATTAAGGTCTTATTTTCCAGGGGGGAAAATGTATACTAAATGCATTACAACCAAAAAAAATCCTAATCCGGTACAAATCAACAGGTTCCCAAATGCACAAAATTCAAAACTTGCATAAACTCATCTTGCTTTAAAATTAAGTAACTTCCAATCAATCTTGACACACTTGCTTGGAGACAAAGCGTTAAAAAAGGAACTAAGTTTTATCCTAAAACAGTAGAAATACACATTCAAGAGCTAAAATAAGCTCCAGTTAAACAGTTTAACCTACCAGCAGCACAGAATTTGGTGATATATCACTAAGGCACATTCGCTGAGTAGTAGTCGCAATATTTCAAGGCACAATAATTAAAACAGTCATACAGTCCAATCCAACAACACCAATATGTATAAAGTAAGTTGATGCATGCAAACATGCATAATATATTTTGAACAGTAGAAATATGAGCACATGAAGGTGTTTAACCTGGTTCACAGTGTACAGTAACACAGTGCACTTTAGATTTATGTTTAATAACACATAACCCCATCTGCAAATATACTTTTATTTATAACTTACTAAGAAAAAAATAACGTGCTGATTTTGAGACAGTCCTTTGATTGTAATCTAATTTCACTGGAATAAATCCATTACAAAATGAGACGTCTACCCTTTAACATGGAAGAGAAATTTGCATCTAAATATCTAAAAACATTCACATTTTCTGATGGTAATTGAAAAATATTGTAAATTCTAAGTACATTAGGTAGAGAAACCGTCCTTTAACAGATGATGAGTGATGAACATCTGATGGGTGAGATGGTTCCCTTTGTCAATAGGAGTGTGGAGTGACTCTTGTCCCAAGAATTTGCCCAAATAAAACACGATTATATTGTCACTCTTTCTAAAAGCTTACCCTTTCATCAACCAACTGCTGCATGTGGGTAATCCAGCAATTAGCCTTTTAGCAGACACTGAACTTCTCAAGTGTTCCATGACTTGCGGTTCTCTCCTCTGCTGCGGACAGTTAGTGCCGCACCACCTTCACCTTTGGCCAGAGCGGTAAGGGCTGCCAGGTTCGGGCTGGATCCAGACAGGTTGGCACTACGGCGCTTTTGCTGCTGCTGTTGCTGCTGGCGACGGCGCTTGCCGCCACCCCGGCTCACCCTGTCTGGCTTTACCAGCACGCCGTAACCAGGGTTACAGCGGAAGTAATGTTTGCCACCCACTGAACCGTCATTCTTCCCTGGATAAAGACACAACGGATTGTTTAGAGATTCCGAGTGGCGATCGAAGTATAATGTACGTGACAAATGCAATAAGGTCAACTAAAATCCATCAAATAGCAACAGGATTGGGTGCTTTTGTACTCACCTGCTGGTACCTCCAGTTCCACTCCCACCCAGGTACCCTCTGCAAAATCCGTGGGTCCAACATAACGGACGATGCCGCTCTTATTGGTTCCCACAGTCACAAACTCCCCTTCTTTCAACCACTCAGGAAGAACTGCAGAGGCAGCTGAATCCCCTTCCTCAGAGTCGGAAATAATTTCCAGGCTTTCCATCGGCACAGAGAGGTTAAGTCCTGTCCCAAGGCTGCTGGCCCGGCCCACCTGCGTAAGCTTATCCTTCTCCTTCTCCTCCTCCCCCAGAATACGCTGAAAGGACTTGAGGCCTGAAGACTTCACTTTCTGGATCTTGAAGGGGTTTGCCACCGAGGCATCAGGTTTGGAAGGCTGAGCACTGGCCAGAAAAGGAGCTGGAGAGGCTTTTCTAGATGCAGGTGCTTCCTCTTGGACTTCATGTGTGGTTGAGGATAAAGTTGGGATGGAGGTGCCATTTGGGTTTGAGTCCTCAGAAGTGGCTTGTTCCTCAGATGAAGCTAGAAGCATCAGATCTCCAGATGGGGCAGGAGCTGGAACCAAGACATCATCGGACACAACTGAGGTCAAGTTTGGAGCTTGATCTTGAGCGCTGCTGAAGGTTGTTTGGTCTTGCTCGGGCTGCTGTGGGGCGATTGTTTCAGACTGGCTTTGACCTTCTTGTGCAGGCGATTGTGTTTCAAAGTTAACTGACAGTTCTGGTTTTGAGTGGTCCGTTTCTGAAAATTCTGTCCGTTTGGTTTCATTCTCTTGTTCTAACAAGGAATCTTTAGGTGGCTCAGAGTTGTCCAGTTCTTCTGATCCAATAAGGCCAATTGTCGAGTCTTGCTTTTGTTTGGTCTGGCATGGTAAGTCTGATTCTGCAACTGAATCGGGCTTTACTTGCTCCTTCAACTGGACTGACGGAGCCTGATTTGGTTCTTGTTGACTCAGGTTTGTATCTGATGGAGTACAGTCAAGTTTGAACGGTGGCAAGTCGGTCCTCTCTTGAGCTGCGTTATTGTTCAAAACCAGCAGTGACTCCTGAGGCTCTGATTGGTCCCTGAGAAAAGATTCAGGATAAGTGTCATATTGTGTCACTTTATTGTCCTCTTCCTCTTCATTTGGCACCGCCTCAAAGCCGGACGACGGAGGCAGGTCCCAGCTCAGTGTGTAGACTTCTGACAGAGTGGCTGCAGATATGCTAGTCGAAATGTATCCGCTCGATGCTTCGCTGACAGGGCTGGGGGCGGAGTCTTCTGTCTCTGGGATGATTGGCGGTGGGAGGGGCACAGATCTGGGGCTCTCTGTTTGGAGGCTGGGAGGAATGATTTCCTCAATGGGAACCTAAAAGGGAAACCATGGCAACAAAGGTTTCGGTGACCCAAAATGTCAAAATCTCCAAAGTTAGGTCTTAATTCTGACCGTTCCCTTGCATTAGACCCACGCTCTTCTTTTATTTTACAAGTTGAAGTGTTCTCTGCCAGACCAAACCCACTTATAAAACAAGTGGAAGTGCATTACTGTACAATCAGTTAGATTTACTGATTAGAACGTATTTAAATCTGCACCTGATTGCAAAAACAAGCTGTAAAGACAACAGCGACGCCACCCTAGCATTTATGTTTGTCGTGTCTCTGTCTGCCTGGCAAATGTTTTGGTCTCAACCAACTCCTGAAGGAAATATCTGGCTCTTTAGCTGCTAAATGCTCAACTATGTTCACAAACTAGTTGCTAACTTTGTCTGTCTGCAGTTTGGTGCTTAGCCATGTAGCGTACAGTCAGTTTATCTGAGATTTTTCACTGAAATAAGCTGCTTTCAAGTGTTTTCCAACAAATATGCATGCGTTACATTTTTTTTGTCCTTTTTCCCCCCTCAACAAAACAAATCTCTTTATAGAAAAATGAAGTGCTGATTTGTTCGTGATTCAGATTGACTTAAACTTAAACATTTATTGAACATTAATTATTTTTCTATCGAGGAAAATTACATCAGGATAATTATTGTTATCACTTTCAAGTACAGCTGAGAATTTGGTGATGATTCTTTGTGGGTTCATCATTACAAGTGACCTCTTTCAAATTATACATAGCCTTTGATCCACTGTTAGCATAAAAATATTGATAAGAGCAGCTTTAAATAGATCTCTACCAACCTTTAAAGACAACACAAAGACACATAACTATGAGTCTAATTGAAGCAACTCAGTGGATCGTTACCAACCTTCTCTCCCAGTCACTGCGTAACAAAACGAAAGTGCGAAAGTCACACACAGAAACATAAAAGCAAATAACTGACACCATCTCAGTGGCGACCGCAACCCATAAACCCCATTTAGGCTCTCAATTAAATCTGAAGGACATCATAAATACAAGAATACAACAAACTAGTCATAAAAGCAGTGTAGTTATGACAATTCATCAACTTAAAAGTCTGATAAACTGCCTGTGTAGTGTGATTCTTGCACCATCAATTCTTCAGAATATCCTGTTTACAAATGTGTTTGAGTGTGGAGGCTTTTTTTGTTGTTCCTGCTAAGAAAATACGCCTTTTCCAAGATAACAAATGCATGGTGTGGTCACACCCAGCAAGTCAGATAATCAAGAACACACCATATTTTAAATATCGTTTACATCCCTGGATTCCCAGACCATATAGATCCATCTGGGGTTGGAGAACTTACTGGCTGCTGATGTTTGCTCATGCCTTCTTCAACACTGGCTGACTGCACCATGATGCGAGGCAAACTCTGTGACGGGAGAGGAATTCAAAAGATGTTCAGTTAATGACGTTTTAAATAAAACAATCTTCAGTCTGTAAATTGGCACTGCGCATTTGTCTAGCAGAATTCAATATGTAATCATGAGCAAGTCTGTGTCTTTTCAGTCCAGTCCAACCTGGAGATTAGATATTAATATAAGCCTGTAGAGTTCCAAACCTGTTCATTACACAGTGTGCACGACGTGGTGATTAGCTGCTGTGAGGGAATTAAAAAGCTCAGACTTCAGCATGACAGTAAGACAGAAAACAGAGCCTGTGGGGAAAAAGTTAATCCACGATGCTAAAAAGATGACAGATTCTGTAGGCTGAACATCATTCTGTACTGCTTTCTCTGGCAGCCTCACAGAATACTAAACTGGGATAACTAACTAGGCCAGTTGGCCATCTGTTACAATATACTGTATTCGGACTGCACAGAACAGATATATTTGCATATAATCAGTTTAGAACGTGATTATATTAAAAAAGGAGAACAATATTAAATTTATTGCAGTGATCAGCAGTCACGATGTTGATATGAGATGCAGGAAGTGTAATACAAATATTTGTTCATCAGATCACTCAGACAGATAATCATGATAAACTGGTAAAACAATCAGGATAATTGCACCATAATTATAATTGCACCCATCATCATTTATCCCTATTCAGTATTCTAGTTACCTCTTTAACACTCGCTATGATCAGGCAGATTAAATATTGTGTGTGATGTGCTTCTTAACATTTGTTTTTTTGAAGAGGGTAAAAAAAAAAAAACCCTCATCTTACTAATACTTGAGATATTTGAATATGTTTAATAAATTAGACAATTGTTTGAGCGTGGATATTCATCAGGATGATTGTTTGAGTCATGCATCACATTCAGAGGGAATTGACCGTCATCCTTCATTCGGTTCATTTGATTTGGGTTTCTTTGTACTTTTGCTCTGAGCAGAACGACAACCTACACGGACAACATGTCTGCCATCAGAGAGCAGGTCAAACACATCTATCCTATCCCTCTCCGGCCAGTAAACCTGTAAGTCAACACAACACGTCAGTTGCACAAGAACAGACGCCTCTTCTGTCATTTTATATGGACAAATACATGCTGTGTTTTCATTATACAAAAAGCTTTAAAGGATTTATTTATTTATTTATTTATGCTTTTCCGCATTTTATGTCTTATCTACAATGTTACAATGTTGGATATTCATGCTTCAAATAATGAGGTTAAAGTATTTAAAAGAAATCCCTGTGAACAAAACCCTCAGATTTCCTCCTGTTCTGAATGCTCTGTTTTGAACTGTTATTTCTACCAAGAGCTCCGTTCTACGACACATGGAGCTAGACAGAGCCGTTATTCCATATATGGTCATTTGCTCCGCACAGCAATGGCACAGCAGCGCTCAGTCTGTCTGTACCGCTCAGGGCAACAAAAGCCTGCTTCAAGTCTTGGACAATCAGAAAACAGTGGGCTTTGACAGGGGGGGGGGGCTTAAAGAGACAGGAGCATCTACAGCTTGTTTCAGACAGAGGCTGAAATGATAGAATAGAAAATTATTTTGTTGAACTTTTGAATCATGCAAAGCTGCTATACAGGAGTCACAGAACTACAATATAGGACTGGAAAAGCAGGTTAATAGGTCTCCTTTAAAAAGGGATCACAAAATACTGTTTATCTGTCAGACAGATCTATCATATGTCTTCTGCAACCACAACAAAGTCAAAATTCAAGTCATCATAGGCACATTGCTGGTCAACATGAGAGTCTTTCTGGTCCCTGAATGGTGACCACAAAATTTTCTTTCAAATCTGTGCATTATTTCTTAATATTTAACAACCATTGCCTATGTTGCCAAAGCCTGGTACAGCGTACTGATCTGTGCCAGAGAGCTCTGTTGTTGTCCAAAAACACTTCATTGAGACACATCGTGGCTGACGCCATAAAAAAAATACTGTCTAATGTCCATAATGCATTATAAACAAACTTATAATGGGTTATTCTGTGCTTATTGCTAAATGTAATTATAGTTATAAGCACCCATAAACATTAATAGTGCTTTATAACAATAATCATAACACATTATTAAGCATATTATAATGAGTTATAAGGTCAGGTATCTTTATAAAATGCTTATAATAATTATACATAGCTACAGTATAATGCATTATAAGTATGTTTATAATGCATTATACACATGGGTGTCACAGAAAGTGTTACCAAATACTCACTTACTACTGCGCTCCTGTTTGATTAAAGTAAAGTAAAACTATAGTACCTAGCTGTTTTAGCAAATTACCCAGCAGCTCTGTGAGGCCGTACTGTAGGGTCCTCTGAGCTAACAACATGCTAACCTAATCACGTCACCAGACATGTAGAACTTTGTAAATGGGATTTGTTAAGTGCAAACTGCAATGACTCACTCATCTAATTTATGTCAACAGCCTGCTAATATTTGCCACACTCGAGGCTTTTTGTTTGTGTGTTGACCTTTCTAAACATCTGTGGCGGGCAGGGTGGAGGGGAGCACTAACTAGAGCGATGCCCTCAAACAATGCACCAACAAGGCCCGACGGGTTTCCATTTCACCCAAACACCACGGCACACGAGTTCCCTGATTAGCTTCCCTCCGCGGTTCAAAGCGCTAATCAGTCAAATCAGATGCTGTAGTGTTTGGCTGCAATGAAAAAACTGCAGACTCCCGGGTCTCGATGGCACATGATTGGGGATTCGTGGATGAGGAGGTGGAGAAGGAGCGGGGGCGACAAGGTTCACCTGCTCCTAATTAACCCTCCTCCACACACAGTGTGCTCCTGTCTCAATGGGGGCTGTTTGTGGAGTGTCAAACGTTATACAGCATGTCAGTCACTTCGGAGACACCAAAAGCGTTTGTTCTGTATGTGCAGACAGTTGTTGTCTAAACCAAGTTTTGATTTAACAAGCATAACGTGATGACTCAGAACAGTCACTTTTCTTCTTACAAGTGTTGGAATATTCCAATTTTAAGATGTTTACTGGAACATTTAAACCAAGCAGGGGCAAAACACAATAATGACTGATATTCATCCATGGTGTTCGTGAGAATGCTGTTAACAATTTCTTCTTTCTTCAGTGTTTTCATAGGAATATTTTATTAATTTATATTGATTCATCCACAACAACATGAATAATCAGTTGCAGTGGTTTCAAAAGGTTTGTGTTCACAGCTTAACCAAAAGAGGCCTTAAAGGGGCCCTCCAGCAATTTAGTATTGCTCTTAGTGTTGCGTATCGAGAACCGGTTCCAAGCTGGAACAGTTACCAAATTTCCAAGAACCGACACTTACTTATACACTTGCTTATCAGTTCCTAAGTTCTTGCATATTTCAGTCACGCTCCCGATTGACCTGCAGTGAGCATTTTACAGTCCATAAAAGTGGCACTTATCTGCCTGGACCTGCTACGCGGACCTAATCTCAGACACCGCCCTGAGGAAGGCAAGATGAATGAAAAGGTTTGGTGAATAAGGTGTACTTGAGAAGAGTTCTGCCTCAAAACCTTGACAACATGATGAGGTCTACACAAAAGTGCACTTCTTTTATTCCTCATTCCATGATTATGTTTATCACTTCCACTTTTGTAAACTTCTGAAAACCACTCATCTGGGGCACTGAGGCATTTATACGCTTTATCTAGTTATTATTTGTGTGCCATCTACATACGCTCTGTTTCCATGGCAACAGAAAAAATAGGACTAGCTGCTGATGAGCAGAGGGGATATTTAGATTCAGGCTGCAGTGATGCATAGAAACTTTAAATCCCTGATAAGACGGCGAGCAGAATACAAGCTTAAATCCAGAGCTGACTGAAGGAGCGTACCTGCTGATGGACAGCTGTCTGGTCTCCACTATCTTCCTTCCCACCAGGAAGCAGAGACTTCAGCAGCTTGGGTACGGCCTTCACTGGAGGGAGATAAGAGGCAGCAAAGCCTGAATGCGCTGGTGGAGAAAAGAAGAGAAGAAGAGCAGGAGGTTTCAGGAGCAGAGATGAAGAAAGCGAGGGCAGGAGGAAGAAGGAAAGCAGGAAAAGAGGCAGAGAGGAGAGAAATTGAGAAATGTGCTGGCAAAGAGAAAAACAAGTGCCAAATTAAGATTCAGAGCAAATGGACAGACAGATATAGTTGTCCCCAGGCTGAAACAAAAGCAGAGCTGATTCTGACATCAAAGGCAGCAAATATGGAAAGATAATTCAAAGCCAGATAAAGAATCCATTTGAAGATAAAGGTTTTATCAGTCGTACCTGTCTCTGTGTTCAGGTTCTGGGATAGGGCGCTGGGCAGAGTGCGTCTAGACAAAGGAGGCGCCACAGAAAGGTCCTGGTGGCTCTCCCAGCCCTGCACACACAAGAGGGAAAGACACAGGAGGATGTCACACATGTGGCTTTACAGAGCATTTCAATAATCTGTGACCTTTAGCAGCCTCTAATGGTGACCAGAAACATCTGCAACAACACTGCAGCAGTTACAACAACCACTTATTCGCTACCTGTTGCTTTTTTTCACCATTTATCCAATACCTATATCAACAATTTATTATGTTTAGCTGATTGTTTCATCTGTTTATCCATTACTTTTAGCTATTTTTTACCATTTATGCACTACCCTCAGGTTTTTCACCCTTAGTCCAACACTAACTACTTCAACTGTTTCTTCATTACCTTTAGCTAACTGTTTAGACTTGCTCTCTCAATTGCAACATACAATGTTACATACAGTTGACTCACCATGTGGAAATGTTTTCTCAACAAAATCTTAACTTAAATTTTTTTCAAATGAGTGTAGCTTTAACCTTTCCATACCCCCTGGCAACCGTAACCCCTGGTGTATCCTGGTTGCAAATCACCAATGTGCAGTGTTTTCAGTTGTTGTCATATTTTTAGTGCATCTATGGTAAATATGAATGTTATGTTTTAGATTTATTTTGCTTTACATATAATTTTACATATACTTAAGCCTAAATATTGAAGTTACTGACTGCTTTTCTACGTAGATGACACTTTATTGGATCTTCTTTCTATATGTATTTGAGTTATGAGTACTACTACTAAAGTGTGATGTTTCCTTGTGTCAGGTAAAACTTGCCAATATTTCACAATAAAAAGCAAAGAGTAGAGAGAAGTCATAACAAAGAAATAACTTGAGAAGCACGTATATTGTTTTCCTTTTTCCTATCTTGTATCTCGTGACCCCTCAGGTTTCTATTTGGACTCCTTTAAAAGGGGTCTTTTCTATAGGCTGAGAACCACAGGATGGACTTGAAAGAATTAAAATGAGCATTTGGACCATGGTGGAATGATCATTTTTGTTTGCTAAGTTTTGAAGCATCACCTCAGAAAATCAAGTCCTGCTATGGAATATTTATAATATATAACTACTGGACAGAATTAATGCATCACCCTGGAGACAATCTTTGAAATGAGAAATACATAACTACATAAACAGAAAACTCATATGAAAAATAGAACTGTAAGAGTAAGACATGATAAATAAATGGCTGACATGATTTATGTGTCTCACCTTGTAGTCATTGAGCTTATGAGTGGAGCAGTAGAGATCCAGACTGCTGGCTGACAGCTGGTTAAAGGGTTAGAGCCAGGGTGTTAGTGAGACAGATTAACACCATGGGAAGAAGGAAATTTATTAAGATACAAAATCTGAACCCCAGAATACTACACTGTCTTGTGGTTAGCAGTGGTATAAAAAGTGTGAGGAAACACCAGCTCAGTTCAGTGTGGTTAGAAAATGAAGAGTTGAGTTTCTGTGATCTATTCAACAGAGAGACTTTACTGGAAACACATGGAATAGATGGATAGTTAGCTAGTATTCTTATCTGGACAGGTTTTAACCGCCTCATGTTAATAAAACCTGAACTATTCCTTGAATAGGTTTGGGCAAAAAATTGACTTACCCGGTCTCTTAACCGGTTAATGTTTGGAGAGCTCAGGCAGCGTCTGGGGCTTTCCCTCTGACCGCCAGCTGTTCCCTCACAGCCACCTCCTACACACACACACACACACACACACACACACACACACACACACACACACACACACACGCACACACACAAATTATGTATTTTATGGAAACACTCTCACTCAGTATTTCTAGGTATATGCTTTGTATTGTGTGAATTAAGCAGCTCTGTTTGTTGCTTGTTCATTTTTTTGGCAGGGTAGAAAGGAAAATGTTCCCCTTCTGACATTTTCCAAAATTGCATAAAGAGTGAAAATAGACAATGAGGATTTAATAGGCTCATGCGTCGGAGAAATATCAATCAAAGGAACGTGAATAAATGAGAGATTGGTCAGACATTTAGATATTCTGAACTAAATGATGCTAAATACCAAATTACTTAATATGGTTGCTCCAACGGCAACGGTGGTGCGTGCATGCATGCAGATACCCTGTTTTTCATCCGTTTTCTCCAGCTTTATTGCTGAAACACGTATTGCCTATGACAGAAATACAGTCATTGGAAAAAGAAGCCATGGTTTCGGATTAAATAGCAGTGGACCTTAGACGATCCACCGGACCAGGCACCACAGCAGGTGCAGTGATCGCCTAGAGGAGAGGAATGACAGCCAGGACAGGAGCCATGCTGGCCCAACTTGGACTTAAGACTGCTTCTAAAGGTCTGGTCTAGACATAATGGGACTCAGGTTGACCAAGCAATGGAAATCAGAGACTGTTGTGCCCACATCTTTAAAGACACCGACTTATCAAGCACTCTTGGGCAGACCGTCAGCAAGATGAGAGGAGGCGGACTCTGTGCTTTACATCGATGATGTTTGGTGCTTACAGTCAAAATGGATGACATTGGATGTTTCCCAAATGTCAGACTTGTTTTTATGTGAAGATGAAACCACATTATCATATTGTTGCTGCGGTTCACATTCACCCCACACGCATATTTAAATGTTCTGGGTGAGTACGTATATGTACATATGTATAGAAGTGGTTATAAATAATTATTTTTAACTTGTTTTATTTTATGTTACCATATTTTAATACCCATTTGTTAAGTTCTGTGTGTGTAGCATGAAGGAACTACAATCTTTTCGTTGTACAACCCTGTGTTGTATAATGATAAATAAACTACTCTGATACTTTGATGGTTTTAATTTTTGGAGCTTCATGTCACAGCTACACAGACGAGATTCACATGTGTTAATGCCCTGTATTTCCCGACCTGTCTGAGTCTGTCCAGGGTGAGGATGTTCTCCACAGCAAGGACGCTGCGGAGGTATTTCTCTATGGCCGCCTCACTGTCAGCCGACTGGTCGTTCTCGGTGCTGGCAGCCAGCCTGGCCAACATCTCCCTGTCCTCTGGACCATGGATGTCCTGTGGGAGCAGGGAGACAGAATGTCAAGGGGCAGGCACCTCCTAATGTGCTTATGTCATAACATGACTGCAAAGCTGGAAATGTAAACTACAGTACACCGGCATCCAGCCTCTGACCAGCAGAATGCTTCTCTGGTTATTTAGAAAACCGATCCGATCAGCATGAAGTATTCAACGATGCTGATTCTGATTTAAAAGCAACTCTCCACATCAGTTGGACCTGACTAAGCTCTCTTTGTTTTCGGGACCATTTAACCATCCATTGTTGAGAATATGACTAACCACATTAAATGTTTAACACCTTACTAACATGTTTTCTTTTTAATATTAACCTAGGAGGAGGCTAATAGGGATTCCGACTATGCTCATCCCTGCTGTAACTTTATGACTCAACACAACATGTTGCAATGCTGTTGATGGGCTTTCATTAATAAGGGAATCAATATGGGGTTGTTCTATATAATTTAAAGTCTAAAAAAATAACATTTGCATATTAACTTAGTGGCCAATCACCATTCCATGATATTTATTGTAGTAATATATTGATGAAAGATGAAATTCACCTTCCAACAAAGTCAAAACAAAAAGCAAGGAGTCATTCTCCTGCATAAAATAAGAATTTACAGCATTATTTGCTGTAGTTATGGGGCACCAAAGTTTTTCTAATTTGTTCACTGGTCAAACAGTTTGAGTTCTGTTTCTGCTAGCAGCTACTTTGCATCCATCTTTCAAAGCGATAGATGTGTCCGTTTTTACAAATATGCAGTTGCAGACATACCTCTGGTAATTTTCTTTCTTTGTAACAAATAATTTTGTAGCCCTGTACTTACCCCTGGGATGTTAGAAACAATTTCAAAGGTGACCCCACAGCCGGGGATGGTGCTGCGCTGAGACATCCTCTTCAGCAGGCTCTGAGCAAAACCCTGTAACATAAATACACGACCACATTTTCTCCAACCACCTGATCTCTTTACGAGTGGACATGCTATTATATAGGCAAGAAAGCAAACGGATTGTGTCCTCTTGCTCCTTGCCATTATGTCCCGGGGCCACTCACCTGTTTCCCGGTGACGTTAACGCAGATCCGTTTCCTGAGCACCAGCTGCATGTGGGCCGGGTGGCTCAGCTGTACCACCGTGCTGACCGTCAGGTAGGCCCTTTGGTCAGCCGACGTCACGCGACTGAGCTGGGGGCACTCGTGGACCGTGGAGTCCCAGGAAGCCTCCACCTTCACCTGGACAACATTAAAATGTATTGGAAATGAATGTCTAGGGCAGAGGTCACTAATAGGTGGACCGCGACCCGGATCCGGACCCAGCCGCCATCCTCTCCGGCCCGCCGACCTACAGCTAATCTATTATTGAGACTTACTACCTCGTGACGGAGCGTTTCTATTTCAACCCGCGCAGCTTCTCTAGCATTTACTGTACTGATGTAGCAGCAAATGAAACTCACAGACAAAATTAAATAAATATTCTGGAAATATTATTTTATTTGACAGTCAGTTGTTGACTAAAAACATATGTTGATACAACTATATGTTATGGTACTGAATGATAACGCAAGTTAGTCGTTATGAAGTTCCGGACGTTTGCTACGGGAAAAGTTCTCTAACTGGACCTCTTTGAATTCTAATTGAATACCCGTGGTCTAGGGCAAATGGTTCAATCCGCTATCCAGGTGGTACATTTGAGATATGCAAAAGAAAATAGAGGGATAAGAGATTCTCTCTCTCTCGATTATATATATATATATATATATATATATATATATATATATATATATATATATATATATATATATATATATATATATATATATATATATATATATATATACACACACACACACACATATACACATATACACACACACACACACACACACACACAGAATATCAATCGTCACCTTACCGCTGAATCATAGTGTCTAACAATATGAAGGTCAAAGAAGTCCTCCTCCTCCTCCCCACTGAGTAACGCATCCAGCCCCCCAGCCAAAGGGGCTGAAAGACTGGACTGGAAATCATCAGCTGGAGGGGAAAAAGAAGGCAGGTTCAATAGTTTTTGGGACAGCAGAGGATTTGGCCAAATTACGAGTACAAAAGAAGGCGAGGAGCAACATACCACTGAGATCTAGGAACAGGACAGGAATGTGTGTTTCCATTCCAGGGACAGGAACCCTGTGGAGAAACAGTACCGTCAGCACACTGAACATCTTGTCTGTGATCCAGAGAGGCTGACAGCCCCCTCCACTCATTCTGACTGTAACAAAATAGCTGTCCTCAAGCAACGCCAAGCATTTAACATCCAACTGAGTGCAACTGAGTTACTGATGGTGTGGCAGGTTTTTTGACACAGACACACCGATCAAGCACCATTCCCTTAATTCCACTGCTGACGCTGTTAAAAAATGATAGGCTTTCCTTTATGGATCCCTGAAAGCAGAACTTAAGTCTCTTAAAGTTCTTCTTTTTACTCTTCACTGTAATTTTCATTAATGAAAACTTCCTAAAACATGGGCCAAGGATGCGTTTCCTTTAATCATTTAAGGCATTCATCATGTTTACGCAGGTCATTTACACAGTTATCTGAAGTTAGGACCGTTTGCTGAATCTGACAACCATCCACAACCATGTATTTTATCTTACAGGTTTGTCATATCTTTTACAACTTATCTCTGTAAAGTAACTAGTAAGTATAGTTGTCACAAAGATTCAGTGGAGAAGAAATTACAATATTCTCCTCAGAAATGTGGTGGAGTGGAAGTATAAAATGGAAATAAGTGACAAGTATTTCAAAACTGTACTTAAATACAGTAGTTAAAATGCACTTAATAGTAGTGATAGTAATAGTAGTTGGTTGATTTCGTTGGTTAATGTTTTTACAGGGAAGCTCTAAAGTGTGATAAGGAAGAATTGTGTACTTAAAGCAAACCTTTCCTAGAAAATAAAATAAATAAATAAAAATTGCTGTAACAATGAATTTTTCCTCTCACACAAACACACCTCTCCACCGGCGCTCCAGGGATGCCACTGCCAGCTGATGGCACCAGAACGGCGTTGCGTTCTTCGGTGAGCGTCAGACGACACTCCAGCAGCTGGGACTCCCTTTCAACATCGTCCTCCGACTTATCTACACGCACATACACAGGTGAACACCAACACAAGGAGAACTAATTAATGCAAAAAAATAATCAGGTATAGACTACATATGAACACTGATAAATGGGATATATTTTCCTGTAATTAGACAAACGATTTATAGTTTTAAAACACTGGAAATTAGGGCTGGGGGATAGTTCTTTATCACCATATCAGATGTGTGTTCAGAAATGCTTGTTTTATTTTTTTTAGGATGCATGTGTTCCACTGCTGTACCTGGTTTGCAAACTATCTTCTGTAGATGCTGGTCCAGATACTCCTGTCTCTGAGTGAGTGTGACCAGCCACTGTTCCCTCAACCTCTCCAGGTCTACCTCCTACAAACGCACACACATTAGTTGTATCAGTTGTAAAGAAACAGACTTGTGGATTTCACTGTAAACATGAGAGAAACACTCCCTAAGTTTAGCTACTTGCCATTTTGTCTCTGTTAAAACCAAACTATGATGCATCTTTGTCACTGATACTTACTTGGTAGCTGTCCATTTCTTCATCCCGTTCCTGGAATTTCAATTGAGAGAGAAACAGTTGGAGTCAAACATTAGATAAAAATGGAGCTATTTCAATGAGAAAGAAGAAATCATTCTCACACATACAAAGTAGGCATGAAGACCAAAGAACAAGGTCATTTTATTTCCTTTAATTTCCTTAAATCTCTCATCCAACAAAACAAATATCAACAACTGATTATGTTTCCTCCTCACCCATTGTGATTCGCTGCCTCTGGAGGGACGCGCCTGTCGAACCTTGACGTCTCCAATGGACACAGAGAGGATGGAGGTGGCAATGAGGGGCATGGTGCCAGAGTCTGGTACAGAACGCACTTCCACCCGGACCCGACGGGACTGACCCTGGGAGGTACAGATTTACATGAGAGGATTGTAATAACCTTCAAAATTTATTCCCCATTGATATGGCTGTTCACATAATCAGTGTAATAATACAAAAAGGCTCCAATTCTAATGAAGAAACCAGAGCTCCATGATACCTGTCGGAGCTGGAAGATCCCTCCTGTGCGCACGTCTTTAGCAGGAAGAACCTCGACAGCTGTGAACTCTCCTGCCTCGTTCAGCTCCATCAACTGCACCCATAGCTCCAGCTGGCGGGTCACCTCACTCCACCTGCAGGTACAGCACGGACACACATCAAAACATTCCATTAATACATACCTCACCTTTATATGTTATGCCACATAGTGTGTTTTGTAGATGTTGATGTTTTCGTGGATCAGCTTATTGGTCAATTTTACCATTCGATGGTGTAACAGACACTAAAATCATGCTAGCACTTTAGCATCACTGATAATATGAGACTCCACTTACCTAAAGACACCTAACCTGACAGTGAAATGTGTTGAACTTCAGTCAATAGACTTTAATGTCCTCAAAGAGGCAATTTGTGGTATAGCACAAAGAAAACAACAGATCATATAAACAGAAGCAACATTAGTCTACGATCTTCTATAGCCGCCATGATAAAATGATAAATAAAAAAATATGTCTTTATAGTCAAGCAGCCACTTAAAGTGCATGTCAATAACTGTATTCAATCAGATGTCGTAAAAATAAAAAGTAATTTAACTATTTATCTATGTGTCAATGTGTCTTCTGTATACAGTACTAACTATAACCATGTTTAGAGTATGTAGTACATTCATAGTAAGGAATGCTACTGTCCCACTATAGCAAATCCCAGAAAATAAATTTTTTTTCTAGCTATTTGGGAGGTAATAACTTGCTGAGATTGCCACTCAGTACATGTCTGTCATCCCTGTTAGTAAAAAATATACCCACTGACAAAATTATTTACAAACAGATGTAACCCAACCTTTATGATAACCCACCTCTCGGGTTTACAAGGCCTCACATTTTAGAAAATACGACACATAGCTTTGAGCGTCTGCAGCGGGCCAATCTCACCAAACCTTTGTGCGTGTTTTGTGTGCTCTTTGAATCAGTTTTGATGACTGCATGGTTGTGTGCGTTGGCGCCACTGCACCTTTCTCTGAGCGATCGGGTCTTGGCTTGAATCACTCCGAGGTCCCACAGTGCCAGGTTCCTGCGGTGGTTGGCCTGCTTGTGGCCGTACACTTCAATGGCCACCGCCCCCTCGGCCAAAAATTCCACAAACTCCTCCGACACTGGCACAGACAACTCCTGATAAGTTATAAAAAGTAAAACAGGAAGTGACATTTTCTTATACTGACAACCATCTCACTATTGTTGTTTCATCTTTTCCTTTGTTGTGGTTAACCTTCGGTGTTGGTAATAAATGAAGATTATTGTATTGTTTGCTTCTCAAATGGTGACAAAAGCTTGTTTGTTTTTTTTAATTGGTGAAGACTGACGCAACAAAAACGTGACGTTCTGTGGACCACAGAAAATTCCATTGTGTTACCTTGGCGTTGTCAAAGACCACGGTGCACTGCGGGTCTCTGGAGTCAGAGGACGAGCTGGATGGCGCCACCTCTGGAGCGATGAACACCGGCTCCTCCAGCCCCCAGAAATGGTACTGACAGAAGACAAAGTTGGACAGGTGGCGAGGCAGACCAGTGGCCTGGAGGATTTTCACCTGAGAGAGGGAAGACGAAGAAATGCACATTCACCTACACGGACAATGATAAACAAAACACTATGATTTGTAATTCTAGTTTGAATCTCAGGGTTCAAGGAAAAGTCGCAGATCGGACACAAACAGAAATGTGATGGTATCATATACTTATTATTTTTAGTTTAGTTTCATTTCTACACACTTTAGGTCAGTACATATGAATTCTTAGCAAAGACCTCCTGACTTTGTTTTTATTTAATTTCATCATACAGAAAAAGGAAGCAACAGACAAAAAGGATATAGCCAACCCGGAGTTAATTAAACTTGTTACATTTCACAGTACAGTGAGCTCGAGAAACTCACAATAGAGAGAAGACAAAGCAATCTGACTGCCTGCCAGATCCATTATTAATCTGGAACTATTGTCCCACTGGAAATACTGAAGTCACTTATTGAACAGCCACTGCATGTAGGATTCCTGGCTTATATTAGATTATCAGGTGGCGTTTCCCTGAATATCTTCCTGGATTTGGCTCATTCATAACTAAAACAAACCTGTTCATCAAGCTACATTTGCATGTTCTCACCACACAGTCCAGCTTGCGCTCCTGTGGATCTCCGTCCGTTATGCTCTGCTGAGTAAACTGTCCTGGACCTTCCTCCTCAGTGCTCTCTGTACCCCGCCACAACTCCACATGCAGCCGACCTGCCACCTGCCACACACACACACACACACACACACACACACAGCAGTGTCACTTCTGTTAGCCACTTTGGCAGGAAGCTGGCATGTCTTTCATTCTTCTGTCCTTTCTAGGGTTTAGTTTTGTTACCAAGAAATTGAGGTTCCTGGTCAAATTTAGCATTTCGTGGTCACCGAGTCATACTGTAGACCATAATCAAAGTAATCAAAAAATGAATTGTTTAAAGTTAATAAACAAACAGGCTACAGACTAACAATTTCATCTGTGTGTAACATACAAGTTTAAGAATGTGCACCCAGTGGGCTCCTACCTCTCCCTTCTGGTTGATGATGGGCACTGCATACTGCAACTTGACATCATGCAACAGGCAGGCCAGGAAAACACTGGCCACACCGATCAGACTGTGGTTCTCCTGTTCATCGAAGAACGGGTCGGCACGTTTGAAATAGGAGCGCATCACCTGCGTTAGAGGAGAGTTAGAAAGAGTAAGAATAGGCAAATGAAAAAAAACAAGACATCTGGCAAAAGTAGAAAGCTAATGCCCCGTCAGGACTTTTTGGTGTGCATCTCAAATTATTTCTCTTCAACAAACTGAGTTCTGCATCTTTGCTTTATCTGCTTATTTGTTGTTTTCACTGTGCCTATTTTGTATCCCTTCTTTTAATCATTTAATCAATCTGGGATGCAAAATGGCATAAATGAAAACAAGCACATAAAGTCTAGAGATTCAATGTAGCTCATTAATCTGAACCGTCTGTGTGTCACTCACAGGGTTGTCCTCATCAAGGTCCTTCCACTCCTGGTAGAGCTCCCTCATGTCCACCAGCCTGTTCTCCATCTTTTCCAGAGCCCAGATCTGCTTCCCTTTGCCTTTACGGCGAACCTGGATGGCCGGCTCGCTCAATACTACATCGCGCTGTATGGAGGGGGAGAGGATAAAAACTACTTTTTATTCATGTTGGCATGAATGAACAGGACACTGACATATTCTGTGTGATTTATCACTTGTAATTCTGCCAACCATTTCCAAATCATACTCTGGGAACATACGAGAGTTTTTTTCAATAACTGAAAGTGTGCAAGACCTCTTTCTAGGCAAAAACTGGTTGACATCAATTTCCCTACAGCAGAGGTGCAGCAGTGGTTATGAGAAGGCAATTAAGGTACTTTAACACCCTTCGTGCAGCAATGTGTGTCAGAATTCGTCATAACTCAAGTTTAATCGTATCACACAGACATGATCCAAATTTTTTTTCCCCTCACAGTGTTAAGACTTGAAAACTCCCGCATTACAGTGTGAAAACAAACTTACACCAACAAGCACCTGGGGTCTCATTTATAAAACTGTGCGTAGAAACCTCACTAAAAGTGTACGGGCACCCAAAGGCCAAAAATGGCATACGAGGGAGCTCCATGTCCGACCCTTCAAACGGCCATAGTTGCCTTTAAATGGTCAGTGAAACGCCCCTCATTAATATTAATACGTGCTGACTGCAGGAAGAAAAGGAGGCAAATTCTGACAGAAAAGCTACAAAACAAAATTGAACTCAGTGTGAGACTGACGTTCCTTTTGGTGAAGCTGAAGCATGTTGTTTGGTGGGTAAAAAAAAAAAATAACACTTTCACGCAACGCAAATTTTTTTAGGCTACAAACAGTCCACTCACTTAACGAGGCTGCTGATGAGTTAAAAGAAATATGACTTGTTGTAAATGACAATAAAACAGTTTTATTTTTGCCTAACGTGTTTTTACAAGCAGCGCATCACATCCACACACTGGCGCACAGCGTTTGGCTCGATAAGGCAATGAACATGTGATAACAACATGAAACTAACACTGCTATTTCCTCGATTGACACATTGAAAACAGCATCAATTTAAATGTAATTTATCCTCCTGCTCACCTTATTTATGAGAATAAATTGCCCTGCATGCAAGTATTAACTAATATGATTCCTGATTAAACTGTACAACATATTTGAGGTGTTCTTCTGCAGAAACAGATATCTCCGTTTCTTTTTGTGCGCTGCAAATGATCTGAAATTAGGTTTTTTGCGCACTTCAGGGAAAATCAATCAAGGCTTTAAGCCTAGAATACTCAGAGGTAATATTTAGATTTATTTTACAGAATAATAGGCCTATTCATTTCAAAGCGTTTCATCCTTCTGCCATGTGAGTCGCCGTTTCTCATTTCTCCAGTTTATGTGCGTACACATGGTTCAGAGTTTGCGTGGATGACTGCACATTCTTTTTTTTTTTTTTTATAGATCCCAACCTTTGCTTTGGAGGTGGCGTACGCACGTTTCCAGCCCTGTTTTGTTCATACGCACAGTTTATAAATGAGACCCATGAACTTGTACAATCAACCAAACAAAAAATGTCTGGTATCTTGTTCCTTCGCTGTTCTGGTGATTAAGTTCAGGTTTCTGTAAGTGGCCTTTTTTGCACATTTTCTTTCCTTTAGACCCGCTCAAGTTTGCACGCCCTACCTTCCTGTTGGCATCCAGGTTGGCAGCAGGTATCTGCAGAGTGACCAGGTACTCTGTCCTCTTGTTAAGCTCCTCGGCTATGAAGCCAGCCTCCTGTGCCAGCAGGTTGGCCCGAACTATCTGCTCCCTCAGACGCCGCAGGCTGCGAGTCATCATTGCTTCTCTGGTCCACAAACACACACGCATGCAAGTTTCACAAACCCTTTTTGAAATCTTTTTCTGCCATCAGGGATCAGTAAAAACTTTCACACCGTCCCATTGTATCTCACCTGTCCTCGCTCCAGCGCCGCATGCGTTTGTGGGTGCTGGGTGACGTTACGGCTGCGCTGGGCAACAGGCCTGACGGGTCCAGGAGGTGGGAGGGTTTCTCAGGAGTAAGCCGCTGGCGGAGCTGCTGTAGCTCCTGCTCATACATCTGCCTCTGCCGCTCCAGGGCGCAACGCTTCTCCTCCTCATGCTGCCTCTCCAGGGTCTGTAGCACCGACTGCAGGGGGTCTGAGGAGGAGGTGGAGGAGGAGGAGGAGGAGCCGCCAGAGGATGGGTGGATGGAGAGAGGAAGAGGAGGGAAGAGAGGAGGAGTGAGGGTGAAGAAGCTACATCACCTTCAAATTAGATGGGACGCCTTCACAGGACTGCACTCAATGTTGGTCCAAAAGTCCAGTATTTATCTCATTATCTCTATTTTGGCAAGCAGAGTCTCTTCTGAGAGCACTGCAGCGTTTACACAACCAGAACATTGTGGACTATGGGGTGAATATCGTATTGTGGACCCACATTTTAATGATTAGATTAAATATATGGATTATACTGATGTGATGGACGTCTTGTACTTTTGATAAAGCTGTAAAAACAAGCCTGGTTTGAGGATAAAGCTATTCTCTATTTTTATTAATGTCAAAAAATAACCAAAGCTCTGTGTATCCAAAGCCTGCTATATCTTCTTCCTCTGTGCCATTGTTGTACAAATACTATTAGAACAAATCAATGAGTCACACTGTTGCACAGGGTGACAACGTCCTTCATTACCACGAACACGCTGCAGTTTATTGTGAATCGGTCCAACTAACAATGTGAATCCTCAAGTCGAAATGGTAATTTGCCCTATACTTCTACGTCAATGCCTGCAAATCTAAACAAAACTAGCCTCAGTTGAAAATCGGTGCTAATTAGCAAATGTTAGCTTATGAACAGGCTCAGCTAAGTAGGTGAACATGGTCAACAACATACCTGCTGAACATCAACACGTTAGTATACATTAGCATTTAGCTCCGAGTACTGCTGTGTCCAAGTACAGCCTCGCAGAGGAGTATAAAAACATGTTTTTCACTCCCATGACCCCTTTCAATGACATGTCCCACAGATAGACATGATGCAGAGAGTCAAGGAGGTAAGAAAAACACTAGGTGGAAATTCTTCGTTTGCAGAGTTCCACTCCCATGTCAGTATTTTTAGATCATGCAAATATTAATAATTTTCAGTATGTAGAATTTATCCAGTCTGACAGTCTGGACTGTGAACAGTTTAACATGGTACAAAGGACTAGATTACAGGTGCCTGGATGGACATTTAAATTGTAAAGTCCACAGTAATATAAAATGTCTGTGTATGTACACATTTTCATAGCTTTTAAAGTGGTCAATTTATGCTCATTTTAAGGTTCATCATTTTATTTAGGGGTTGTACCAGAACAGGTTTACATGGTTTCATTTTCAAAAAACACCATATTTTTTGTCATACTGCACATTGCTGCAGCTCCTCTTTTCACCTCGTTTCGTTTTAGCTATGGAGTGATGCATCTCACCTCTACAAGATCTTTGTTGGGAGTTGCACATGCACAGTTCCTAGTTAAGGACAACTAGCCAATCAGAAGCAGAGTAGGGCGGGCCCTGAGAAGCCTGTAAACACAGCTTCAGTTCAGCTGTACATGTTCCCCTTAGCAGCTTAGTAACATGGACTGGAGCAAGAGTTTCAGAGTGGTGAGTTATTAATCTGTAACAAAAGCATCTTTCATCCATAAAGTTTTAACTGAGCTCTGTCTCTACATCACAGGAACAACTTTCTGTCCATCGACTGCCTGGAGGGTAGCTAGTGTTTGGAAGGGAGAGGAGAGGCAGCAGGCGGACGTCTTGTCACTGTGTGCTGCAGCTCAGTGTTTTTCCACCGGTGTTTTTGAGGGTGTGTCTGACTAGCTGCTAGGCGAGCGTTATGATGCGCATTTTGCTGTCTCGTCACAGGGATCAAAGGGAAAAGGCTGGACTACAAACGAGCTGTTTTCAGGCAGTTCAGAGCAGAGTTTTCTGTAGGAGCTGGGAACTCCCTTTGGGCTTTTTCACTTAACAAACTTATTACATGCACAAAAAAGATATATCACTCAATAAAGGAGACAGAAAAAGCCAAAAAGCAGAATGTGACCTCTAAGACATTTAAGATCCCTTTTTTCAGAATTACAGTTCATCCACACAATAAGTGCTTCAGCATTTTAATAAAAATGCTGAATAATTGTCACTTTTTTTCACCACAACTGCCAAACTAAACATGCTCTAAGGAAGCTGCTTGCCTAAGCATGTATTTTACTGTAACACATTAAATAAACATAAATCCATCTGTTTTCTTGAAAGAGCGCATGTTTGACTTGTTTGACACTTCGGTTGGACTCACCGTTGTTGCCCATGCCTTTCATCATGACTTCGGCCTGGGCAAACTCATAGCCAAAGTTCAGCTCGCTCGATACGTCGCTGGACGCATCAAAGTCCACATCCAGCCGGTCGGCGCTCAAACACGTCTTCATCGCAGGGGCGCCCTCCTCATCCTCACGCCCTGCGCGGACCATATGCCTCGGCAGGCTGATCCTGTGTGCGTGCATGAGTAGGTGTTGGTTGGTTATGAACGGATGTGAGAAAGTTAGTGAAAGAAAGGGGAAGTGTGATATAGCGAAAAATAGGAAGAAACAGACCTGAAGAAGTGGTTGTTTCCCCACAGGATTCTGTCACCGTGATGAAGCTGAACTGGACTGGTGACTACAGCACCATTCACACATGTTCTACAGGTGGAAGAAGGATTTATACAATATTTAAGTTCACTGATTTGGCTTATTTTCTTCTTTTACTTCTTTCAATGAAACTAATGAATGAAATATTTTAATTATAGTTCTCAAAGTAATGTAACAAAAACTGTATCCCCTGGTATTGGTACAGTAACTAAAGGTATCTTATTGTCATCAAAATATTTGAAACAATTACCAGCCCTACCCACCTGATGAAAAATACCACCAAATACCATACCTATGTATATGTAATATCTCAGTTGAAGATTATCTGTTATCTGAAAAGAGTATTTCTCCTTTACATGTGAAAAAGGTCTAAAGAAGTAAATGGTCTGGTGAACAAAAACAAAACTAGCTAATGCAATTTATGTGTGTGAAACAGGTTGTTTATATTCTTTGTATTCTTTGTTCTTTATATTCTCCCTGTATAACACTGACATATACTGTATTCACATAAAGCCGTTATGTCAAACGTGTTAGCAAATACTTATCCAGCAGGCACAGAGCAACATTAGCAGGAGAGGTTTAAAACCAAAACAATGTGCTAAAAAGGTCAACAGAGCTAAAGGGAACTTCAGAGTCTGGTGATCATTTTCTGTTGGTTAGTCACATGGTTTGTACTTACAGAATGTCCATTTGTGCAGTTTTAAAATATATTGTTTAATATAAATACATGGCTTGCGGTATTGCTGATTTAGGTTGAGAAAATACCGAGCGTTACGGTGAGGACTGAGCACCACGCCGCTGATTTCAGTGATGTCGATGACGCAGTGTTCAGCTTGGATGGCCATCCCACACAGCTGGATGTCCTGCGAGTTGGCTGAGCCCACGCGCGTGTGCTCCTGCACACGAGACACAGAGGGGAGATGGTCACAAAATGCACTGATGCAGAACGGGTGAGAAAGTGTTCATCTGCGTGCCCCTGCGTATGTCAACCAGCCTCCGCGTGTACAGTGAAACAGCGCCGGACAGTATGTGTGCGTCCCGTACCTTCAGGTAGTAGACCAGCAGCTCGTTGAGGGCAGGGTCAGCGTTAAGGTTGACCAGGAAACACTTGTCGTCCACCACTCTGATTCCAGACGACTGCAGGGAAATGCCCAGACTCTCCAGCTGCTTCTGACGCTCCTACATGAAACATATTCAATGCATGAATTGATTAGTTGATTAGTCTATTCTTTAGCTGCTCGAGGGGGAAAAAAATGTGAGGGTAAAAAGAGAGGAAGCTGAGCAGAGAATACTGTGAAAATAACCTCCACTGAATCAAACTTGAGTTAAACCTTAATTAAGTTACACTGAATGAAAAGGAAAAAGAAAAATCAATTGACAATGACTCACATTTTAATTTGGTCTCCTTAGTTTGATTAAATGTGTCTATTGCACTTGTGCAAGAAATCAACAAAAACAAAAGAAGTTCTGTTTAAGTTTAACAAAATTAACTTTAAATCTCTGCAGGGAGTGTATTTCTGTCTGTGTTACCATCGCAATAGCCTCAGTCTTCCTGAGTTTATCCTCCCAGGTGACCGTCATTTCTTGGATCAGTTTCTCTGATTCCTCCAGCCGCTCCTTCAGCTCGGGTGCCTTCATAGACTGGAGAGGGACAGAAGCTGCGTTACACTCTCCACATATTACAAAATTCAATATTCCGAGAACTAAACCATGCTGAAGAAATCTGAACCTCAGCCTCAGTGAGCTGCTCCCTCAGTTTGTCCACTTCCTCTCTGAGCTCTCGGATGATCCTGGCGTTGGGGTCTTCGTTGACCACGGCGTGGTTGACGATACTCTTGGCCCTGTCGGCATAACGCAGGGTGGACAGCGTCTCGTCGTAGTTGTCCGCAGCGGGGCTGATGGTGGCGACCATGGCCGTGCGGCTGTTCCCTCCCAGGCTGTCCTGCAGGTGAAAACACAACTTTCACCTCAGTGACAATCCCAAACCTCTGAGAGGATGAAAACCGACCGACTGCACTGTGTCAAAGAAAGAAAATCCACTGCTTTGGTTTAGAGAAAGAATTACTATATGTGTGAAAAGCATATTATTTATGGGGATGTGTTTGAGAGGGGATGAGCAGGCATGTTTTGGAAAGCTACATTTAAACACTATTATAACGCTACATGGAGCCATATTAAAGACTAATTTAAAAAACCCAAATTAAAGAAGCTGACAAAAGGAGGCTTTTTCCAACTGAGCAGAGCTAATGAAAATAAATAGGGCAGAATAAAAGAGCACACCTGAAAATGAATTCCTCAGGGACTTAAAAAATGCAACAATGCAATATGCAAAAGTAACTGAAGCTGAAAATGCACATCAGTGATTGTATTGTTTATCTGCTGTGGAATCTGTTTGTTTTACGACTGCTTACACACTAAAATGAAAAGTATCACACAGTAAGTAAAACTCGAGGAGCAAAATGCCAGCGCTCATCTATAAGCACATTCTCTTGCAAAACACACTTCTCACTACAGTGCCTGTCTTCAACAAAAATGGAAGTCAAAGTTGGAGGAGTGATGATGACAGCGGGGACCCCCTATCGGGTAGGGGGAGGGAGAGAAGAGGGAGACCTGGAGGAGGATGTGGACAAAGACGACGAGGACCACATTTATCAGATAACAATCAAGCAACATTGGCTGACCATGTTGTAAAGCACGGACTGACACTGACCGCCAGTTCAACCCAGCCTCGGCACAAATACTGTTGCAAGAGTAATTCGGACATTTCGACAAGAGCAGAGGAGGCAAACAACTTTTCTCTACTGTCTTTAGCTACATTTTGCCAATTGGTACAATGTAGCCTACTATATGCACAACATCAGTACTTGTAGTACCCATTCACTGCATTCTATGTTTGAAACAATGCCCCTGCACGCTGTCCTCTGACATTTTACATGTTTTTTGATTGGCTTTTGATTGAGGTTGAAAGTCAAGGAGGACATTTCCCTTGTAATCATGGTTTGGACCAATAAAACAAAACATCACATACAGATGAAACAACTTTAGCAAGTTGAAAGAAATTCCAACACCGCCATGAAAATGTTGAGTGAGGTAAGGAATGTATTGTGCACACAGTACATGTAGTTCCATGTACATTCATGCCAGGCCTACATTGAACTATACATCTGTCTTTTTTTCCCCCCCAGAGAGTTTTGTAAATGGAAGCTGATGCAATACCACAGTAATCTATCCTGACAGATGGGGCTGGGTTTAACCTGACAAAAGTAAGGAGAGAGAGAAACATCACTGGCCACAGAGCTACTTTGAATGTCTGGGGTCCTCCATCGCCATGCCAACATAGGTCCTTACAACACAACCCACATAATCACATTTTGAGACAGACTACACAACATCTGATCAGCATCCACAATACCTCCCCACAATACTCTCCCTTCCTTAACCCCATTGGGGAGCTTTTTTCAGCATGGCGGCGGAAGGTTTAAAACTACTACGTCAGTATATCCCGCATCCAGCCATGGAGGAGGCCTGTGACCAAACTGATGCAGAGTCTGTGCAAGGATCGGCAAACCCTAACCCTGTAAAAAAAAAAAATCAATCCCAGAGTGTTTTAGATTGATGACAGTAATGGGTTACTATTATCCTGACCAAACAGAGTTAGATCTTATGAACCGTGTGTGTGCGCCATAAGGTGGCAAACTGGGTCATTATAAATTATTGAATAGTTTTGAATGAAGTTTAGAATTTTGCAAAAGATCTGAGCTGCTACTTGTGACTGTGTACATTGTTTTGAAAAAAAAGAGAGCCCTGTTTTCAAAATGGTGCTAAAGCAGTCGTAAAAAACTTGTAACACAGTTTGTTCTTTTCTTCTTTGTACCTTGAGCAGCCAGGTGAGCACAGAGTCTCTGTAGGGAACAAACTTGCTCTTGTTCTTCCCTGCTCCCTGGTCAGCCAAGGCCGAGATAACTAAACCCAGAGTACTGAGAGACCTGGAGGGAGGGATAGAGAGACGGGAGGACAAAAAGAGAAGAAAACAAAAAGCCCACAAATCATCAAGGCAATCTTGGCCTGGAAAGGCTGACAACATTTCAGCCAAGCTCACAGGGGTGCAGTATAAAACCAAGACCAAAGCCACTGTATCTAGTAAAACCATGGACTCAAAGTCAAAAATCCAACTCAAAAGTGAGGGGAGACAGAAAAGTCAGTTATTCCTTTTGAGGAATACTCCTTGGCCACTTCATTTAGTTACCAAGTAAAAACTGGATCACTGAGAGTCAGACATCTTTAGTGTCGTGCCATGCATTTATTTTCTGGTGACTCACTTATTGATGTTGCTCCCTTCTTTGAGCCGTTCCCCCGCTGCTCCAGTCTTCGCTGCCCGCTCGCTGCCAGCCAGATCCACCAGACTCAGCTTGCTCACCTTCTCTCCTCTCGTCTGGAGCGGATGCACAGCAACACACAAATATGCATGATATTTAAGTCAAGTCAGTGTTATTTATATAGCCCAATATCACAAAAGCACCAAATTTGCGCCAGTGGGTTTTACAATCTGTACAGCATCTAACGCCCTCTGTCCTTAGTTAGACCCTTTATATGAAACCTAATACAGTACGCAATATTGCATTTAGGGTAATTTTTAAAAAACACTAAAGAAGAAGCCCAGTAAAAGTGTATTAACAGACAATTAATGGACAAAATATTAATAATTGGTAGACATTTGTCAAGCAAAAATGCCAAACATCATCTGCTTTTAGGATTACATCTGCGAGTTTTATGTCACAGTAAAGTCACTGTTTTTGGGTTCTGTACTACTGTTTGGACAAAACAACAACTTGCCTTGCTGCCCTTGAACCTTGTGAGGGGTATTTAACCATGTTTTGCCATTTAATTCAGTTGATCAGAAAAAATAATCATGAGGCAACGAGTGTCAATAGACATCTTATCTAAAAGAATCGCGATCCTGTCAATAATCGATGCTGATGAGTGTGTGCGAGTGAGTGCGTCTTACCCCAGACCGTAGGTCCATGAGTGTGTGTGTGAGGATGATGTTGAAAACAGCGTGAGATCTGCTGCTCTCTTCATTCATATTTGTGGCTGCCACTGTGCGAGATTGATTTCCTTCTGACATCAGAGACTCGATGTCCTGTCAGAGACACAGGCGCCACAAACAATCACACGTCTTGTACCCAGACTTTAGGAAATAAATTGCTTCCTGTGGCAACACGACGTAATGAAAGAAACATTATAAACAAAAAAACATTATTAGTAATTACATAGTTAAAGTTAAGTATTTTACCTTATAGCTGGCCACAGCCAGGCGAGACAGGCCATCAACGTAAGGCCCAAAAACGTTGTGCTCTCTCACTCTCAGCGCTTGTCGACTTCTACACACAGAAGGAGACAGTTATTAACCCTTTGTCCTTCAGTCCTATTAGGGCCAACTAATTTTAAACACATGAACAAATAAAAAACACAGCCAGCCCCAAGTCTTCAGCCATAATATGTTGAAGATTCATAGCACTGTAGCAGACTGAAATATGAAGGCTAACATCTCTCTTTGAGAAGTTGTATAAATCAAGTTTCTATCAAAGATAGTAGTCTGCCACAGCTTCAAGTTATAAACTATATTCAAAATGTAGGTGTCCAATAAATAAATAATAAATTCCAAGCATGCTGATATTTTCTTAAAAAATACAGGGTCACCCAAGATCAGGCAAATGAAATATGGACTGTTCAGTATGTGACTCACTCCCTGTTAAAAGTCAACTAGACCCAACAGTTCTCACCCTTTGGGGTCGAGCAGGTCTCGGACCTTCTCGTTGTAAATCTCCATGTAGGAGACCTCCACTGTGAAGCTCTCTCCCTCCCGGGCCTCGTGCACTATCCTGCTAAACAGGGAGCTGCAGAGCCGAGGGATCAGACCAGGTTGTTCCGCTGAGCCCATCATGGTGTACGACTTCCCAGAGCCTGGAGACACAGTTACGGTTTACAACTCCAAATATCAAACAGAAAATAATCCAAGCGATGTTAAAGAGGAAATAGGGAGGGGGGAGGAAACAGAATCCAATTCAGTTTTATTGGCTAAGTAAGTCTGTAAACACAGTACAACGAATAAAGCTTCATAAGCTGCTCACATATTTAGAGAGCAAAGATGATGCAAACTGAATTTAGGAAATGATCCCAAAACACACAAGTGGAAATCTCGAATAAGACACCTGAAAAGGTCAACACACCTTGTTGAAAGCAATTAATGTCCTATTTAAGCTTGTGAACAAACAGACCTTTCTCTCAGAATTTGACTCATCATTGCAGTCCCATTTAAATGTCCCAGCAAGCCATGCCAATGAGCACAATAATAGTGCAGTGAAGCTGGCACACTTGAATGGGGTGCAGCCAGTACTTACACTATTATGTTCACTGGGATAAAGGTCTGTTAGGTCCTTTGCTGCAGCTAAGACAGTCAGCAGCTGACACAGAGACCAATTCAGCTTACAACAAAGAAAAGTCTGATTATCCACTCAAATTCTAGTTTATTATACTACCCTAGTTTATATGTAAATGCGGTGGACAGAGTGCCAGAGAGAACCTTTATTTTGGACAGGCAAATATCAATTTATAAAAGAAAGGAGCATGAAACGTCACAAGTCTGCTCACATTGGAAAAACGAATTCACTCCATTTATTCCAAATTTGGTAGAATTTCTCTACTTGGTTCCTCAAAGAATACGTCAACTTGCTATTTTTCCAAAACTGTTCAATACCAATCATCCAATGTAGGTGGTACTGGACTTAGCCACTTTCTAGCGATTGGTTTTCTGCTTGCTGTGCACCCATCCTCTGTTCCAATACAAACTCAGTTTGGGACAGTGCCAGAATATATGGAAATGATTTGCCTCCGTTGAGCCACACTGTCTCCAACACATCAAACTAAATGGTTGAGGACCACTGAAAACTGCATTTCCCCACAAGCCTCCTCAGAGAGACTCATTCCTGCTTCTTTTTCCTCGCTTTTCTTTAATGTACAAGGTGTTTATAGCAGAAAAGAGAGCACTGTACAATCTAGAGATGGACTTACTAGAATATTATACAGTATTATATATCTAATATTCAAATTGAACTGAAGGACAAGTTCAGGACTATATAAAAAACTCACATTCTGCTATTTCTAAGTCTGTAGGTCTGCACTTCTGATTGCACCAGTGTTGTACTTCTACTGCTCAAGGCGATGTTTGTCCTGCAGAAACTGAAAACTTTGCAGTGCACTTTTGTGTGAAAATAAAAGATAGGTTTTAAGTCCTTTCCTTATCCAGGATTCAAATATTTTATCTCCTCTGTTGGGAAGAAATTCTGTGTTGTAGGCACACCATCTGAAAACGTTTCACCATGTTGTGGATTCCACATGACTTAACCACCCTCTGCCACATTTTAATGTGGGATTTATCCAGGGTTTTTAAATCTCTTAGTCCTTCAATAAGCAAGTGTAGCATGTAGAGGGATATTAGTAGTCATTCCAAATTCTAATTCCTCCCATTTGGCCTAGTTAACTGTGAAGCATAGAATTTGTTTCGTAGAAAAAGTGCCATTCTTCTTCTTTTGCGAAATATAAGATTAAATCAGATTCTTGGTTTCTTTCCTTGAAAACGAGAAATTTATTTGTCCCTTTCCTTAAATTGATTGTCATTTAGCTCTAATGGTAGAGTCCGAAAAATGTAAAAAGTCGAGGAACAATATTCATTTATATGCAGTTATCCTTGAATTCAGGCTTAGAAAGTGGATTCCATATAAGCATCTCTGATTTTATCTTTTGTAGTTTTGACAAAATATTCCCACTGGAGGTTGTATTGGTCCTGCAGTTTCTTGGGAGCAGTAAAATTTAGAGACATAACCTGTTTTCCATATGCTGAGCTATAGATTGACACTTTCCCAAAATCAGCAATTAGTATCATCAACCTTTAAGTGATTTTTCTCAGTTCCTACAAATAAACTAGTGATCTGGAGCTGGAACGTATGGCTCCATTATTTTATTAATTATTAATATTTTTTATTATAATTATTATTATTATTTTTTTAGGTGGCAGGGATTACTATGCTTATCTGCAAAATAATCACTAGTGTGGCCAAAAATATTATCGTGATAAAAACCTTTCATATCATTAGACATCGATAATTATCGCGATAAATGTCAAATCAAGTTTAAAGGCCGATTTTTGCTCCTGACTGAAAACTGAATAAACCGGATGGTTAGTTATGTGGTTAAACTTTTCTTTATGGTCAACATTCAATACTATTATTCTGTTTTAACAAATTTGATAATTTTTTCTCAGTCCCTTTTCCTCACCAAAATAAATATTTTAATAGAAAAATTAAGTGCTAATGTCTTTGCGATTCAAATTAATTAAACCAAATATTTATTGACGATATAGTGAAAATTATTATATTTTTATTGAGGAAAATTATATATTGCAATAATTATCATTATTGATTTATTGCCCAGCCCAGCTGAGGGGCTAGCAGTTAAAGCTAACCAAAACTGTCATCACAAACAAAACATTACTTATTTACATGTATTAATCAAAGCATTCACAATAATCATTCAAAATCTGCAGTGGAGAAAGCCGTTTATGGTTTGCAGCTCTCTTTCCTTTCACTTCCCTGTCGTTTCCCTTCTGTCTGTGGCTTGCTGTTACAACTTGAGGAAATGGAATAAGGCCTTTTTTACAACCGAAAACAGCAGGCAGGCTAAGAAACCGAACTAAGTGACATGTTTGGTCTGCCTATCAAGCTCCTCTCCTCTGTTTCAGTACTGTGGACAGCGCTTTCCTCGTAGCTGTGCTGCTATTGCCTGACTTCTCTCTCTTTTTTCAAGTCAGATTTTAAATGCATCTAAAATAGGCAAACAAGAAAATTCCAAGTAACTTCAATGGGAAATAAAGGACAACAGAGCAGATAACACTGAATATCACACGAAATTTATTTAGCCGTGCTAATATTAGAAAACGTTTTAACTCCGCCCAGAGGATGCAACACTACCGTAGGCAGGGAAAGTAATCAAGTAGACCCACTATTGCGCGGTAAGTCACAGACATTTTCTGACCATAGTGGTAATGTTTCTGGTACACTGTTCATGTAAAGGGGAGTGGATTTAGGGCAGGACATTTGGGCACACAAAAAAAAAAAAAAGAACAACTTGGTTCATTTGGACCAAAGAGCCGTTGAACGGAATCTGATCATTCGTGAACATCAACACCATGAATGAAACCAGCAGCAAATGGTACTACATTCTGTTTAATCTCTGCCACCTTATCCCTTTGACTGTTCACTCTGTCTGATTAATTGGCCTAAGGTTCAATAATAAAGCAAAGAGGAGAGGGGAAATTAGGCAGCCCTGAATTGTCCCCGTCTCTAAAACAAAAGAGTCAAAAAGGTCTGAGTTAATCTTTATCCGAGGTGCAGGCTAGTCACAGAAAGTCTTAAGAAATAAATTAAATAAAGCCATCTTGAAAGATTTTCTCAAAACTTTCTGTCTGGTCTAAATGAATGAGGTTAGGTAAGAGTTTAGTTTTAGTCTGCGAGCTAAGATAGATTATATAGATAACTACTAATTTGTAATACAGATTGGTCGATCGTTGCCACATTCTTCCCTGGGTTAACTGAGAAAATTGCCTTCATCCAAGAGGAAGAATTTCTCCTTTCTGTACAATCCAGTTAAATGTGTTATGTAATAATGGAGATAATTGTGGCTTTAAAGACTTCCATCTGAGCCTGGGGACTTTCCACTTTTAGCTTAGAGATGGCTTAATTCAATTCTTTGGCAGAAACTGGTTATACTAGATTTTCATTTTGTGAGCTTCTGAGTATTGGTAGAGAGTGACGATAAGCGATTCATTGGAAGCCTGGGGCTGAGAATGTATTGCCTGGTAAAATGTTTCCAAACTCTAATGAATTTTTTCTGTTTTATTCTCGACAATTTTCACTCTGTTTTTTTTATTAAATGGGATTTTATTTTATAAGTGTCAGCAAATTGTAGCTGTTTTAATTACCCCTGAATCTGTCAATCTTTGCCCGTTAAGTTTATTCATAAATGTAGTGATGATGAAAAATCTTGTGTGAGAATTGATCAATTTATGGTATAACATTATAACCTTCTTTAAGGTAGGATTTCTCTGAAGGCCGGGCACCTTTAGATGCATGAGAAAATATGCATTCACATTGCAGGACTGCTGTAGATTTAGCTAGGTGTACCTGACTTGGCCACTGAGTGTAGTTTCATTACTCAGAATGTTAGGCCTTTTATTGAAAACACTTTGAGCACTACATCTGACAAAATGAAAAGGCTAGGTTGAACTGCAACCGCAAATTATAAACAAATAACAGCAGGTGTGATTGCACCTTTACTGAACTCAATAGTCTGTGAATTTAACAAGAACACAAAGTGGTACTATTAATATTACCAAGGGCCCACAATTCTGACTTCTGTATGTTACCTGTTTGTCCATAAGCAAAGATGCAGGCATTGTAGCCCATGAAGGCATTGTTCAGCAGACTCTCCCCAAGGCACTGGAACACTACATCCTGACCTGCACAAACAGCAGAAAACACACTTTCACACCTCAAAGCCCAGACTGTAACATAAACTATTTTTTCCAATGTAGAGTGGAGGAGAAGCTCAGACTCACAGCCCTGAATAGACATGGTAGCCATTCGGTTCAGATTCAATATATCTGGCCCAGGCTGCTGAACTATTAATACCTTGCATTGTTAAGAAATCCCCAGGCAATGCTTTTGTTCTACCCCTTTGCAATATACAGGACCACAAAACCAATCTAGAGGTAAACAATGTGTAACTCTTCATCTCACATACCCCAACACTCCCTTTCCTCAACTCTAAAAATAGTTCTGAATATCATGAAACATTCTGTCAGGAGATAGGTTTGAGAAATGAGTCACCAGGCTGTGACGTTACACACAAGCTAAAAACAGAATGCACCAAATCAAGAGGAGCAGAAAACACAGCCACGCTGGGGCAATGCACGAACCTGCAAACTTGTCTTTTTGAGATTCATCCATTGACCAGAAGCAGTAGTCATAGGCAAAAACCTGAAGAGACGGCACAAGATACAAGACAGAGAGACAGTGGAGGTAAAACAACTAATGCATGGATACTAAGCAGGGTGAGTCAGCAGATGTTTACAATGAAAAGCGTATGGTTACAGAAGTAATTTCTGCATTGAAAATAGCATTGTGTAACTGATTTTTAACTCACCTTTGGCTGACACCTGACGGCGACAGAGAGAAAAAACAAAAACATCAGTAAACAATTGGTGTTAAAATAAACATGAACATGTCAACCAACCTGAACTATTTTAAATCTGACTGTCACTCTATCACAGGCCTGTGGATTTACACACCAGAGGAAACAGGTAGTTAGTAGCTACTCCAGGTAGCAGTAAAAAGGTAGGGTAAGAGTTACTTCTTTATTTTTCCCACCAAAAGTTTCCCAGCCTGTATGGGGAGTCTTGGGACATCGAACCTTTGGTCACAAGATTGCTTCTCTAACCTGTAGGCCAGTGGTTCCCAACCTTGGGGTCATAGGCTAATTTTAGATGGTTGTGAGATGGCTCTGGGACAAGAGGAAAAACATTTCTACAATACAAATGTAATATAATGTCCGATTTGCAGATTCATATCTTTTTCCATGTGAAATACCTAGTTTCCTGCCATTTGTATCCTCTTATAATTCATCAAATTAAGCACATTGAGACAATAAAAACTAGCTTTTGGCAGTTACTGGCTCCTAAGCCACATGTATGAAGTAACATTTCTTGTTGGAAAGACAAAAAGCTAAGTCAAACATATGGATTTCCCATTCTTTCGCCCCCTGATCTGATTTAAATCCAAGTCCTTTAATATTAAGTATCTGCTCAACAAAAGTCCAATATATATATATTTGTATTGTTGTTAAATGTTCCCTTCATAAAACAGCTGCACAGTACATACAGTAACTTGTCCAAATAAGTGTGACTTGCTGTGTCTTAACAGATAGTTGACATTCACAGACTGTTCTTTGGCAAATCAGAAAAGTACAGCAAACACCACTGCAGTGCAGAAACAGCAGTGCTAGCAAATACTGAAAATCTGACACGACTCCAGGTCAAAGTCAGCCTAGTAAGAAGGAAGAGTTTCAAGGATATGGAGTCAAGGGTGTTTTTAAAATCGGTCAAGGTGACTAATCCTCTTTGGCTCATTGCGAATGGAGCGGGGAATGTGACCTTCAGCAGCACGAAGAACCTCACAGCCTTCCAGTGTCCCTGGGTCTGCACTCTTACCATAGCACTTTTAAAACACGTCCCTGTGTTTTAGGTTCATCCCAGTGCAGCCAACAATAGTATCCCATGCATCAGTCAGCAAACACATCAGCACATTCCAGCGGGCCAACGTCAAATTTAATAATCAAACATGTTCTATGCTCCAGTGCAACTTCATGGTGTTGAATGGAGCAACGGTCATGTTAAAGTTAAGTTAAAATCTATTTAACATTGTATTATGTGGTTTAATGATTACACATAAACTATACATAATAAGGTTATATTGGACAGTGATGCTTGTGCGCTTTATATCTAGGAACCTTTGACAGAATAATTAATGAACAACCGTGGTTCAGATTTGATGAACCAATTATGTATTTATTCTCTATCCACCATAGGCTGAACCAGCTCACACTGCAGTGCAGTTCCCAGCAGCTCTACGAAGCATTTTGGCGTCTTCCAGCTCAAAGTTTTGGTTTTCCAGCTCTTCTTTTTGGTTCATTGTCACCGCTGCCATTGGTGTGGTTTCCAGCACACAAAAAAACCCGTATTACAACTGTTCCCTGTCTTCCTTTATCATACAGCACTACGACAGACAGCCAAAGTTAGCAACAAGCTAGGTTAGTATTTAGCAGCTAAAGAGCCAGATATTGCCTTCAGGAGTTGGTGGAGACAAAACAAGAGCTAGAAGGAAGGGGAGGGAATATTGGACTTGGACATGTGACACCAAATGCAACACTGAACACACAATGAATGATAATGATGCTCTGTAAATAGGTTAATATACCATTGGCTAAGAAGTTCGCCATATAAAGATTAAAGTTGATAAAATTCCAGTTATGTGTTGGCCATGGCAGCAGTCCATCAGCATTTAGCTAGTTTCTGCCTTCCTTTCTTCTCATTACATTCATTCTTATTCTGCAAGCTCTACTTTAACAAGTCGTTTGCAGAGGCTGTCAAGAATTTAGGCTGATGCTAGTTCAGTCCAAACAGTCCTGATATTGGCCAGTGAGCATGGAAATCGAACCACTATACAGTATTCATATTATAATAATAAAAGCATCTGGAATAAAGATCAAGGATTGAGGATTACACATTTCCTTCTTGGTTGCCATGTATTCCACAAATTGAAAATGTAGTTGTTGTGGCTGCTCACTGAGGAGGCTGGGGCTACAACTGCACTCAATATAAACACCAGCTAACTAACAATTGTGCATGGATGCACCGCTCTGAGTTTCCAAGCATTTCAAACGCATTCCACACAGCCATTTAAAAGGAAAAAATATTAACTACAAAAACATTTTGCCACCCAAAATGTGAAACACATATTTGTTATGGTGAAATCAATCATACCTAAATAGGCACCCAGTCTCCAGGGAAGCCCCCTTTGAAGTGCTGTACATGACTCAGAACACACAGTTTTCACTCGGGCAGAAATATCAATTTGGGGTTTAAATGAAGGCTGTAAATGTAGTCATGGCCACACACATGGGGGGGGGCTGTAATGGAACAAGGACTCCCTATGTGAGACTGTGAGGCCGGTCCATGAAAGAGCAACATTAAGTCCTGTCCTGGGCTGGCGAGGACATTCCTGAGATAACTGACAGAGTCTAGCAGCTCCAAGGAGTCACTAAAGGAAGAGGGAGGCAGGTCCGCAAGTCTCTGACCATCAACATACAGGCCTACACGACGAGACTGCTCAAGATTTAAGTGGTTTGATCCAGGCTTTCTGGGTGGATGGTCACATATTACAGATTCTGTACACAGAAGTTCTCAAAGTCACGATATAAACATTAAATGTGATTCTATAAACAGATAAAAAACCTCTTCGAAGTGGGGTTCTTATCAAATCCAAGTGCAGATAAGAAAGGATCGCATTTTCAGTTTCATTTTCTAAACATTATTCTGCAGGGGGCTGATAAATATTCCAGCAACAATTCAAGGTCTGTAACAGCATGTGCAGTAAAATGCAAACCATGAAACTATAGGTTTACAGGCTTGCGGTCTGTTGGTGTGATTAAAGCAGACCCAAGGCTTTATTAATCTCTACCATCTTGAGAGTCTGACAGCTCCTGCTGTATTCCTGGTTGCAGCTACCAAGGGTGCCAGAACATATGAACACCCCCAGAGGCTCATGCAGCAATTCAGTTAAACCTGTCAGGAGGTCGGCTGACTAAGCAGAAACCTTGTGGACTTGGCTGGTCAATGACTCCCCCCAACAAACAAAGTTTCATTGTAACACAGATTATGTTCATAACAGAGTAAAGTCCACTGGGAAACTAATCAAGATTGTCTTTATACAGAAACTGAAAGTCAGTTTACTTCTGCCACTTGTGCTGCTCTGAGATCAGTGTAGGAGAAGTGCTTGTCTGAGTTACACTGAGCCTGTAAAACCTGTTCACATTGAGCCCCAAAGGGGAAGCGTGTCAGGGCGGAAGAGACACACACACACATAGATACATAAACACTATAAAATGCATTGAGTAACTATAAAAAATGAGACTCTCTCTTTCTACAAAGAGAAAGGTTCTGGAGAGGATTGCCCTAAGGCCTACTTACTGAACAAGGTAACCCGAGAAGGGGCCAAAACCTCCAGGGAGCATCTACCTATGCTCCTCTGACTCACTACCAGGCTGACTGCAAGGAGGAGAAAGGACTGGGCTACTTTGTCAACAGCTAATGTAATATGGAGACATATACCACATTTCTATTTAACATGTGATTTAGTTAGTATTTTGATGCATTGCAATGATGTGAGTTCCAACATAATAATATTAAATCAAAGACACATTTCAATACTGACGGGATCCATAAATTCTAACTTAAATTCTGAATCTTGAATCTGAAACTTCCCATTGTCCTCTTTGTTCTTATTCCTTTAAATCGTGGCTTGACTACCTAATCAGGACTGCGGTGGAACAGACACACCCTTTGTAAAGACAGGAATGATGCAGGAACCACACAGAGCGGGGAGGAGGAATGGAAAGGAGTAGTAGAAGGAGGATGGGTGGGGTGAAGGTTTAGATTTGAGCTTCTTCCAGGGAACTGGGTGCTAAACAGACCGGCTGGTTAGAGTCTGTAAAAACTCTTCTGCCAATAATCCCAAGGAATTACATTTGTGAAGCTCCTGTACTGTAATTAATGTATGTGTACATACTTGAATGGGGCAAAACATTTACCCGCCACTGCACAGAACTGTGCACAATCCCAGGTAGCGGTACCCCCTTGTTGCAATCCTGCCTCGGGAGGCTCGTCTATTGAAATTATCAATTTTAAATTGTAGGAAAATTATGAAAAACAATATTAAAAAGCTGTAAAGACAAGCATTGCCAATTTCTATAAGGCAAGGGGGCTACGGGAGGATAAATCTTTATTCCTAGCTGAAATGAGCTAATTGCAGAAAAACCTGTATCAGTGTTTATACCAGCTGATAAATGACAATTAAAAAAAGAAAGGGAGAGACGGGGCTCCTTTAATCATGTTATGAGTGTTGTTGTTGCAAAGTTTGTCAACCAGAGGGCACTCTGCAACAAGTCTGTAAACACAACGGTGTTAAAAAGGCAGGAAAATGCAGTGCGCTTGCGTATACAACAGGGTGTTTGAGGCACCACCATTTCTGTTGAAAAAAACATTTTGCTATGTTTTGTCAGCACTGAACTCAGCCCTGATTAAACACCACAAAACCACAGAAGTAAAGAAGAACCACTTCTGTTCAAAGTACTATTTATGACACCACTTTAGGGACAACTTCAACCTCTCCAACCACTGATGAAGACCGTGTGATATGATCAAAGCTCCGGAAAAAGCTGGTAAGTGGAACCTGAATTGGGTTTGTTGTCAAACTACAATTCAAATTAATTAAACATTTCAAGTTAATTCTTGACCTTTTAAAATAGTAGTTTGACAACATAAACCCAATTCAAGGTGCACAAGACTGTGAAAGTGCTGAAAGCTCCTGACAAAGGGTAGCAGGTGGACCCTGATTTGGAATTGTTTGGACAAAAATTCAAACAAATGGTATAAAGACCGGGTCCAGTAGAAAGTTCCGATCCTATTTTTAAATTATATTTCAATAAAATACAGAGGAAGGACAAAGATACACAGTCACAAGTCAAGTCTCTTGGCTATGAAGTCAAGACTGACAAGTCCCGAGTCAAGTCCCAAGTGAAGACCGACAAGTCTGTACCTGCTATGGTGAGATGCAAAAAATATAAACTAAAAAGTGAACTGCAAAATGTGTCAAAAGTGGTGCGTTCAATTGATCATAACATGATAAACTCTGAGTCTGAGACTCTTTGCAGCTTACCGGGGGTCTCCTTTGTTCATGCTGGTGATGGCTGGATGCAGAACTGTCTGATTCCCCTCCATCTCCACCACACATTTTGTCTTTAGGTCTTTTTCTGGATTGAGAGAGAAGTCAATGAGAAAAGGGATGTATTTTTAATGATAACATGAAAATGCAATACTATCAATGCCAGACTGCTGACAAATGAATTGGGCTAAATGTAGTCACTTTTAGACCTAAGAAATCGTAATGGACTGTTTAAATAATTTAAAGAGCACGTATGCACTTGGCATCATAATGTTAGTCACTGACACAACTCTCATCACAGAATAACAGGTGGCATACACTGCGTGTGAGCGTGCGCCAGCTCCTTGTGATCGGAACACAAACAGCTCAGCATGAAGAGGCAGGAAATAGTTTTATTAATGGTGATTCATCCAGGACTCGCCTGTGCAAACATTACTACCAGTTCACCCCTCCCTGAGCAGACAGTAAGGAAAAGTTGGGACGCAGCTTCTCTTCCTCATTCCTACATACAGCAGAAGGTTTTAAAGGCGGAGAGTGCTGGAACTTCCTGTCAGAACAGGAATTAGGGCATGCGTGTCTTGAGATTTTCCTCTGTTGCTCTTAATTTTGAAAGGCATATTTGTCGTTTCAAAAATCTTTGTAGAAAGCCAACAGGAAAGGTGATTTATTACATGAAATTAAAGGAAGTTCAAGGAATTGTTGTTGTTCAGCAAGACAAAAGCCAGTCAGCTGACACTCCAACCCTGCTCAGCTGTTATTGAAGATAATAAGGCCAGTGAAAGTGCATTGCACATGTCACTGTGCATGCATTATAGATCAGTTTTCTGCCAGGATATGATGTCACTGTCCCTTCCATATTTTTCCATCTCCGCTCCCACAGCATTCCTGCCAAAACGTCTCAAAAGAGGGACAAAACGGACCTTTTCAGAGTTTCAAAAACGAACTCAAGAATGAAGTCTTCTATTGTTTGTTGGAAAGCTACAAATAAACCCTGGCTTCGCAAACAGAAAGAGCGCTGCAGTGCTGCCCTTGGAGCTGGGCACCCTTTGTTCGACCTGTGAAAAACAGACTAATGAGTGACTGTGTGGTCCAACTCATAACTGCTGTAAGTGACAGACAGTCACAGGGTCGGTGTGAAACAGCACTCACCTCTCCTGTTCACGGGCCGCACACGAACAGCGACCTTTACATTGGAGTCACTGAGGCTGTTGTCATCCATGGTGCCACCTGACCTGTGGTACACGAATGAATGGACACAAGGAAAAAAATTTGCAATCTGTGTGTACTTTAAACGAAACGTTCGACATGTTAAAAGACCATCTTATTTTCCCGGACTACACCTGAACACATCCTTTAATTTTCCCACCGCAGCTTCATTGCACGAGACACAAGTCTCTATAAATAAAAACATAGTAAGCTACCTACTCCTGCTTACTATTATAATATTCATACTTAAAACCAGCCCCAAGAAGATTGTAAAAACTTCCTCAAAGACATAGCAAACTAAAGTACAAACTATATTGTTAAGAGCAGTGGACAGACCGTGTGAAAGGTTGCGCAGTAGTTTCCCTGTCCGACGCCCACAGGCACCTTGAAGAGTGTAGACTGTGTACAGCAGCTAGCCTGGGACGCTAACAGGAGCTGGATAACAGCAAACACACAGAGAGAGGTCACATATTTTCATAATGGCAGCTGATAAATGTTACTGACCCCAGTACACTGTGCCGTGTAACACTAATTACCATCTGTAAGTCTAAAACCACTTACAGTTCATTCCGTCGGCTCTTCCACCTGTTGCATTTCCTGAAACGTCCCGCAGAGATCAGTCAAGCCATGTCAACTCGCAGCTAAAGGGATTTGCTGTGAGATTTAGTGAGATTCCAAGTTCCCCAGTTGCGCTCTGCTCCGCACACGCTTGCACAATTGATTGGAGAGGGAATTCAGCGCCGCGGCGTGGATCCACATGCATTACAAGTCTGTGTTTTTCCTCCGAAGGAGATTTGTCCTAAATATGTTAAGAACAATTAAATAAAATATCATACGTTTATGCTAACTAGACTGATACGACAAGGGTAAAACTGTTTTACACTCGGAAACTATTAGAAATGTAAATAATTGGCAGTTTAATACGAGAAACTGCTCGTTTGCGTCATTTTACGACACTTTCAATTAACTTACGATAGAAGCCGTGTTTGGACGCAACGTGGAGTTGTTTACTATTTCAGTCAGTCCTTTCGGGTGAAAAACAGATGTAATTCTATAAACCGTTGCATATATTGTTGCATATTGGACTGTGTGCCTAAAGGAGGAAATGGGGAAGCCAAAGAAAAAGAGTGAGTGTGTGACAAAGTGTTTAAAATATCTGAAATGGCTTTCCAAACTGGTCAGGCTGGCTGTAGCTTGTTGCTAATGCTAACTGCTAGACAGCCTCTGTATCATGACATGACAGCGATATAACTGCGTATAACTGTTAGCGAATCTTTCCTACTTTGAAAGCCCTACATGCTAAAGCCTTAATGCATTCAGTTATTCACAATAGATCTTGTAAACTGTATTGTTGCTCAAGTAACTTATCTAGCTAACATTAGCTGGACCTGGAACTTGTAACGTTACACTTCAATTCAATTATTTGTCCCACTTGGGGCAGTTAGTTAAGAGCAGCATGTTCGCAACAGTACATAACTCAAAACACACAACATTCACAACATACAAGCAGCCACTATGTGCACATTTGAAACCCCATAAAGGGCCCTACGGGGAGTTTAAAATTCTGGTCGCCTAAAGCTTCTGTGCAGCTACAAATAGTAATCTCACTGTATTGATTATTGCTATTGGTCAGGTGATCTCAGCCGAGCTGAGCTGATGATGATGACTATTGCTGATGTCATCAAGCAGCTGGTTGAAGCCCACGAAGACGGCAAAGACATCAATCTCAATAAGTAAGTCTTCATCAGTATGGACATACAGCCCCTTGGAATCAGATTATTTAATTTCAAACTACACACCTCACTCCTCACAGTACAGTTATATGCAAGTTGTATAGATGGGAACCCTCGTTGTGTAGAAAAGTTTCTTTTTAACGTATTTATATAATCATTCACTTCTTCCTGTGGTTTTAATGCAGTGCTAAAGAATTATGTAAAGCCAGTCAAGTCCGATTATAGATTTGTCATCATGTAAGTCTTAAATCATAAGATATGGCGTCAGTTTTAAAAGGCCATTGTCAGTCAATTACTGCTTTTGCTGTTGATAATTGGCTAATTGAGGAGTTTGCCTTATTTTTCTGGCAGTATGTCAGTACAGCTGTTAAATTAGCCACAGAATTGCTAATACAATAAAATGGAGCTCAGTGTGCAGATCCTTATTGCATTTATACTGACTTGAATGAAAACTTGAGTGAATTTGTACTGGCCGTTGGTAAAAAAACAAAAAAAACAAAAAACTATATGTATGTATGTATGTATGTATATATGTATGTATATATATATATGTGTGTGTGTGTGTGTGTATATATGTGTATATATATGTATGTGTATATATATTATAACATTGGTATTGGCCTGCCTTGTGAAACTGCAAATCTACCATTATTGTGTAGATCAGTTTCCCTATAAACTAACATGCAACATAGTAATGCATACTCTTACATATTTTTGGCTAGTCATCTCAGTGATTAAATTCAGCTTTTGCTGTGACTACAAACTCTCTCCTTCTGCTTTTATGTACATCTACCTGTGATTTTTATCTGTTTTTAATAGAGTGAAGACTAAGACTTCAGCTAAATATGGACTTGAAGCCCAGCCTCGCTTGGTAGACATAATTGCTGCCGTTCCACCACAGTACCGTCGTGCTCTGGTACCCAAACTAAAGGCCAAACCCATCCGCACTGCCAGTGGGGTACGTAGCCCTCCAGTTCATTTCTGTCACTCTGACCCGGGGTCAGTGGTTTAATGTGTTCTGTAAGGCTGTAACCAAACAGTTGGAAAGCATCATGTGCTATTTAGCTTAGTAGTTTGAAATCATCATGCTACAAACAATTCAGTACTGTAGTACATGAAGGAACATCCCTACATGTAGCGTGATGGGCTTATACAAATAAGATAAACTTAACAACATTTCCCTAAAAAGAAGTCACAATTTCCTCGTAGTTTCTCAAAGAACTCAAATTGACATACAGTAGGACAGGATGAAAATGGATGTAGACCCAGTGATGGAGCTTCACGGTTAAACGACGACACGGTTCTCTTATCTGGCCTATTATGGAAATTTAGAGGTTGAATGTTTTGTCAGCTTCAGTTTTTGTTTTGCATGAATTTCAAATGAAGACATACTGAAATAAACAGTGACTGTTGTCATTGGTTTTGGACAGATTCTATTTAGTATGACAGTTGGAGCCACTAAAAGATACCATATTACCCATTTATCAATAAGGCATAGAAGAAAAAATATTCTTTTCTCTGATGCAGATCGCCGTTGTGGCTGTGATGTGCAAACCACATCGATGTCCACACATCAGCTTTACAGGCAACATCTGTGTGTAAGTGCTGCTTTGTTTTTGTTTATTTAAGCTCAGTTTTGTTTCAGATAATTCATTACATTTATTTAAGATTTACTCTGATATTGTTAGCTGTAGGTGTAAGCAGAATATTATTATGTTTATTTATGTACTGTACGGAAGTACAAGTTAAAGGAAAAAAACTGCAAGAGAGTAAGATATAAACCCTCAGAAGGGAATTCAGTTTTCATTGTTTGTCTAAACTAACGCCTACATCTGCTTCTTCTTCTCTGGCAGCTATTGTCCTGGTGGACCAGACTCAGACTTTGAGTACTCCACACAATCTTACACTGGCTATGAGGTAAGGTAGTTTCATTCTGCCCCAGTATCTAAGCAAGGCCCGCATTCTGTTGATGCACAGATGCACATTACTCTGCTCATAGTCATGTATTCTAGTCTAGATTGTCTCCGGAAAAGATGATGAAAAATGCGCCTACTTCTCTGTAATTTTTTTTTCTGTGTCATCAAGAGAGTCTTAATTTTCAGTTAGTAGTCCAATTTCACAGGTCAGATCCCTCTCTCTTTCTGATAGCCAACGTCCATGAGAGCAATCCGAGCACGTTACGACCCCTACCTTCAGACCAGACATCGGGTGGAGCAGGTCAGTGTAAACCTGCACTAAACCTGTCTTTTAAGTTGTTCTTCAGTTTAGGCTTGACTTTGTATTATCATGACGCCAAAAGCCTCTGTTTAGTAGCTGTGGGATTTTTTCTTCTTTTACATCGTGACAAGATGTGCATGTTGCTAAAACTGCTTATATCCCTAATTGGCTTCTGTGCAGTGATAGTCTGTGCTTGCATCCATATATAGATCATAACCATTGATTATATATTTAGTATACATTAATGAGTGTCATCAGGTTTATCCGCCTGCCAAGACCTGACTCCAATTTTGCCATTACCTGAATTTATGGCCACATTAGTCAAATGCAGCAGTGCAAAGGCATTCATTAAAATAACTATATAAAAATCTGTTACTATAATTTACTCATATTTGCCATTGAGTTTGGGCTGTTGAAAGTCAGTTTTAGGTGTAACTGCTGCTGCTTAAAGTAAAAATTTGTTGTTTGCAATATATTATGGTCAGTAATCAGTATTAACTAATTATTTAGAACATTTCACTGAACTTTATTGTACTCCCAGTTACAGCCAATAAAGTCTCAATATTGCCAAATTGCACCGTTATGGACTGTACAAAGCCCTGTTTATGTTCTGTGTGGTGGGCAGCTGAAGCAGCTGGGTCACAGCGTGGACAAGGTGGAGTTCATCGTGATGGGCGGGACATTCATGGCCCTGCCTGAGGAGTACAGAGACTACTTCATCAGGAATCTGCACGACGCCTTGTCAGGACACACCTCCAACAACGTGGCCGAGGCCGTCAGGTACTCGAGGTTTCAGCCCTTATGTCACGTGCCAAATAACATGTCACACTACAGTAGCAGTCGCTTCTATGAAGTCTTTCTTTTCAGTGGATGAGACAAGAGGTAAATATAAACAGAGAGGTCAGCGACACGAAAAAACTAAGGCACTGAATCAATAACTAGTAGGGGGTAGAGACAGAGTTAAACAGATACAGTGATGGAGTAAATTATGTAGGATTCCTGAGAAGGGGAGCAGGTGCTGGTCAGGGAAGTCTTATTATTACTCTCTGAGGAGAATTAGGCGAGGGTGTCCCTGCCGTAGCACATAGACATTTCAGACAGGGCGTATTTGCTGTGGGTTTCAGAGGATGTTTTTGATGTATTACTTTTAAATGTACTTCTAGTTTACATTTACAAAAAACATTGTAGTTAAGTACGTATTTGAGGTATTTGTAGTTTTCTTTTCATGCCACTTTCTGCTTCTACTCCACTATATTTCAGTGCGAAATTTTGAACTTTGTACTTTTCTACATTTGACTACATGATGAAAATAATCATTAGTTGTAGTCCAATACCAAATAGTCACAAATGAACTCCAGCTCAACAACAACAACAGTAAAATCCTGCTTTTATATTTATGCACGAGTAATATTAATCTAATATAGTAGTATATAACAGTCACAGGGGACACTTTTCTATATAGTGTATTTTTACTTTTAATACTTTAAAGTGCAATTTCCTGGTTGTTCTTTTACTAAAAGTCTAAATAAAATAGTATAGTATAGTAGTATAGTAAATATAAATAATAGTATAGTAAATATTTACAGTCTTCCTTGTTCCCCGGGAGGCCGGCTTCTATGAAGAGTTATTTTGGTGCTTGTGTTCTTGCTTTCTGAAACAAGTACGAGACAGCTAAAGAGTTACAGTCCCTTTGACACAGTTCTGGAGCAATATTACTGGCAATTTGTGACTTTGTAATGACAGTATTGTCATGTTTTTATAGTCATCTTCTGGATCCCCATTCAGTATTTGTAGGTCTTGCACGTACCTGAGAATATTTAACAATAATCTCCACCAGAGGGAGCTATTCTACCACTTGCAGCATTTCCCCTGTGTTCATTCATTTAGCTTTCCTCTACTGCTGGATATCTTTCCCACTGCCAATACTATGTGACAGTATAGATTTACTTGCATCAACTTGAAATAAAAAATATGGTTCAAGGTGAAGTATATTTGCAAGGCAGTGCGACTTTTTTTTCGACTTTTTTATTTCATTTTAGGGCTGTGAATAACTGCTATGAAAGTGGATTTAAGTGACTTTGAAGGTGGCATGGTTGTTGGTGCCAGATGGGCTGGTCTGATCTGAGTATGAATATGTAAATGTGTGTGTGTGTGTGTGTGTGTGTGTGTGTGTATAGAGCCTTAAACAGATTACATTGCATCACTTTCCTCCCTGTACTCACCCTCCCAACCATTCCCAGTGCAAAAAGAATGTATTATACAACATGGGAAGTATTATATTATTTATGTATGTTTATATTCACATAACCCTACCTCTCTTTAAATTTACACAACTAAATATTAAACATAGTGTAGGATGCAAAGATATGTGAATAATCTCCACAGAGCAAGCTGATGAATTAACCCATTTAGAATTCAGTTAGAAAATAAGTGAGGCCACTCTCAGTAAGTCCTCTTAAGTCACTTCCATTGATTTCTCACTGACTGAGTTAGACCAGCTGTGAATGAAATTGGTTGCGTGTGTGCTTGGTATGGATGAGTAGCAACTGTGCAGATGACTTGGGGAAGATCAAGTCACAGTAGAAATACCCATTTGTTGAAGAGTTGGAGACGTCATACAGACGATTTGACCAAATAATGGCTTTTTCACAGGACTGGGGCTGTTTGTTTGTCAGCGGTGGCTGTTTAATTCCCTAAAGTCCGATAACACCCGAGGGGCCAGTTTGCGTGAGTGTGTGTCACCTCCCATATGTGCATGTGCTCATCGCCGTGTGTACGGGCCGGTGTGTGCGTGAGTAAGCTCTGCTCTGCTATCAGCATTCTTTGTTAAGATGCTGTGATTGAGGTAATTGGGGTGGCTGCTGCTCAGTTTGAGAAGGAGGTTTGGCTGGTAACAGCCCTTATCTCAGAGAGTGTGTGTGTGTGTGTCGAAGAAAGCGTGCATGCATGATGCTCACGTCTCTCACCATGCTCACCCAGCTGCTGATCTGATCACAGCCGCAAGATACCTCGAGATAATCGCCTGAGATAATAGACTTTTTATTGATTCATCTCATACAATCTGATCATCCTCTCTGGAGCATAAACTCCTGTAATTGGTGTAAATCAGCCAACAGACTGTAAAAGATGGACATTTATTGCCAGCAGATACAGAATCAGAAGGAATATTAGCTGGCATGAGGGGAGCTAATGGTCATTGGAGCAGCTGGAGTGGAGAAAATGACAGCTGGCTGGTGTGCCGGGATGAGATGTGTCTGTTCCCTCGGTTGTTGTTGTTGTATGTGCGACTTCGATCAGTGACTCAGACAGGTTTAGATGTAGCATCGGAGTCAGATTCGTGCTAGATGAAGTTCAGAAAATATCTCTCTGGAGATTACATTTATGGAATGATACGGTATGGTACCGCATCACCCTTAGTCACTTTCTACATTTGGCTGCTTCCTTTAGACTGGCTGCTGACTGGACACACAGTAGTTTTCCAAGAGCCATGTGACCAAGGCTCTTGGAAAACTAGTTTGGTGATCCGTTACAAATAATAAAATTGAATGATTTAGAAGGGAAGGTAGAGGAAGTTCAGGAAGTGGAGGATTCTTTTGGGTGTTATCTATATGTCCAGATGATTGGACAAATGGGTTTTTTGTCAGAATATTGTGTGCTATCTATGTACAGTATGTATGGGTTGATCATTGACATAAACACAGACTTAGCATTTTATATCAGGCAACTATACAGAAGCCATTGTTTCCCATGTGTATAATTAATTTGGGTGGCTACCCATTTTATACACACACGCGCTCATACAAACAAACCAAAACTACAGGGGAGGAGGAAAAGAAGGTCAAATGCAACAACACTGTGATTCCATACGTGTCTGGAGTATCAGAGAAACTCAGGAGGATTTTCAACAAACACACAACATCCCTGTGTTTTTTAAACCCAAGAACACACTAAGACAGATGCTGGTACACCCCAAAGACCGCACACCCAAACACAAGAAAAGCAATCTAGTGTATGCGGTCCAATGCAGTGAGGAATGCACAGACCTGTATATTGGGGAGACTAAACAACCACTACACAAACGCATGGCTCAACACAGAAGGGCCAACTCCTCAGGTCAAGACTCTGCAGTCTACTTACATCTGAAGGACAGAGGACACTCGTTTGAGGACCACCAGGTGCACATTTTAGACAGAGAAGATGGATGGTTTGAAGAGGTGTCAAGGAAGCATCTACACCAGGGTTGAGAAGCCGTCATTGAACACAGGAGGGGGTCTACGCCACCACTTATCCCCCACTTACAATGCTGTCCTTTCATCACTTCCCAGGAACCTGAACAAGCATTTCCACCTGGATTCAGGTGAAGATAACAACAATGGTCATTCAGACTTGGCCACGGGTGGCTCTAACGACCATGAGGACTGTCATTACCACAGCCAGGAGCACTAACGAACCAGCGGTATTGATGATCCTAGCTAATGATCCCACGGAGGTTAAATAGCTAGCCTACCAGTCATTCAGAACTGTAAAAGTCTCTTGGATGAGGGAAGAAACGTTTTCTAAATGTCCAGTTGCCTTTGACCTCAACCTTTGTTGGATAACTATGACCTGGATGACTGAGAACCTGCACAGACACACACACACACACACACACACACACACACACACACAAAATGCATTACCTAGCCCCTAACCCTACCCTTGACCCATTTGTAACCTGAAAACCTTTAAAAAAGCATCTCTAACTGAGGGGACCTCAGTTTTTGTTCCCACGGTGACATGAGTCCATAAGTTAGTGTGCATTCGGGTTCCCACCATGATATAAAAACATGATAAATGTACACACATTTAGTACATACACACAAAGACAAATATTTATACAATAATTTTAACAACAATCATTTTTTCCTTGAAAAGTCTGTGTTAAATGGGGTTGAAAGTGGACTTTAGCAGTAATTGAAAAGTCATTAATGTTATGTTCATGTGAAATCGGTGGACAGCTTGTCAATAAATGCCATAAATGCTTACTCCTGTCGCTCAATGCTGTCTTCAGCCCCTCACCCCCTTGAGGTCAACCAGCAGAAATTATTTGATTACTTGAAAGCTACATAAACCCTTTTTCCCCCTACTTTTATAAGTATTAAACTTGCTTTTGACACAAAATAAACACATTAATGTCTCATTAAACTTTTTTTTTATTTTTACTATTATCGGTTTCCTTTATTGCATTAGTGGGTCTGGATAATGAGCTGTGCAAACTCACAGCATCTAAATTGATATTGCTAAATGACCCCAACATATAGAGCACTCCAAAACAGTCAGTAACACTAGTCAAATTAAAAAGTCTTTATAATATCAAAGCAAGACAATTATTATTATATTAAGACACAAGTTTATTATGAGCAGAACATAAATGACTGTTTCCTCCTGCAGGTACTCCGAACGCAGTAACACAAAGTGTGTGGGAATCACAATCGAGACGCGGCCTGACTACTGCCTGAAGCGACACCTCAGTGACATGCTGGGCTATGGCTGCACACGGCTGGAGATAGGAGTCCAGAGTGTGTATGAAGATGTGGCCCGCGACACCAACAGGTCAGTAGGTCAGGGCGGAATGAGCGGACGGATGTAGATAAGAAAGCAGGTCTAATGGTGTGATGGATAGATTAGTGTTTACCTTCAGGCTTTATGATTTAACAGTGTTTTTGTACATGTGTGTTTCTTCCAGAGGCCACACGGTACGAGCTGTTTGCGAGTCCTTCCACCTTTCAAAGGACGCCGGCTTCAAAGTAGTCGCCCACATGATGCCAGATCTGCCTAACGTTGGCATGGAGAGGGATGTGGAGCAGTTTATAGTAAGCATTCACAAATATGGTTGTTATTTTTAACATTTTTGACGTAACATCTTTTCTGGCTGCCAGGACTCTACTAGTAAGACCACACAGCTGTCCAACAGTCTTAGCTTAGTTAGTAATAAATTGTTGTTGTAACAGTGTTTCAGGGTGAGGGGCTGTACAAGGGAACTGTTTCTAAACAGTGATGTCATGATTGTTATGTCTTGATTTGAATTTGAAAACTACATGTTAATCCTAAGAAATAATTACTGCATACCAAATGTGACCCCACAGCAGTAGCATAGAAGACCATATAACATTGGCATTATACTCTGCATAGCATTGGGTGAAGTTGTAATACTGACCAAATGGACAGTTGTATGATCACATTTCTCATTCTTTTTATTTAGCTTGAAGGCATAAAGTGTTGATGTTTTCATTTGATCCTTTATTGCAAATTACTCTGTAGAGTCTACGTTTTGATAGTGATGAATGAGGTATCACCACTGATCATGGTGTACAGATACATGTGATGGATTAACAATAAGGGTGCAATGAATAGCCACAGCCATGCGTAATGACGGTTGCTCTTGTATAGTTGGAGAAACTCGCTGATGTGGCACAACAGGCAAAATGTCATTTCTTCTTTGCTGTTCTTTTCATTTACAGGAGTAAAGAGGGAGGAAAGTGATGGACAAGCATTTTATTTGTACATTAGATTCCAAAAAAAGTCTCCTCATTATCTTAAAAAAGGACTAGTTTGTATCCTTAATTTGCTTTACGACCCTCAGCTCCATAATGGTCATCACTGTCCTTTCTTCTCTCTTTCTTTCTCCTCTCAGACTCATCTGAAAACTGAAATATACAATAAAACTTAATTAATAGTCAAGTCCCAATATGGACATGCTACAAATCGTTAGATCGGTTAGATTCTCCACAATTCAATAGTTCTGCTCATTCAGGTGGAAACAATGAGCTAAAGTCTAATTCATATAGATTTACCGCTGATGGCACAAGAGAAAACAAGAACTCTGTTATCTTTGAAGGGCTCGTAAAGTTTGAATGTGTCTGTTCCTTGATTATTTATATTCCTTCGGTCTGTAAGGGTCCCAAATATAGGCAGGGTCAATTCAGTGATTTTAGCAAATAAAAGGCCAGGCTATTAATCAAAGTTTCACGGTAAATGAATCAGCTTGTACAGTATGTGTACAGTACAGAGTTGTACACTAGTTTAGACAAAGCTTGCACCTGATGTTCTCAACACTGGACAAGTAGGCAGTAATGTCCAATTTTTCTTCTACAAAGTCCAGTTGCCCTTGACCTCAACCTTCGTTGGACAACTATGACCTGGATGACTGAGAACCTTCACAGACACATAGGCAGTAATGACATGCAGCTTTTTACGTTACATAGCAACTAAAGAACGTACTGTTAGCTTTCCTGCTCAGCTCACAGACCAGAATCTGAAGCACAGGGCAGATGTTGGCTGGCACTAACCGTCTTTTCACTTCACTTTTCCAGCAGTTGGGGAAACAACAGACAGACTTTTCTTAACGGACACACTGTGACCTACACTGTACATTTACTGCCAGCTTACTGCTAATGTCTTCCTCTGCTCCGCAAGTTTTCATCGTCACTTTCTGCCGCTCTGTCTCTCTCATTTGCTCACCCATGCGCTCGCTACGCACACACATGACGCACTGCCCTAAAAGACCTAACTTATGCTACTCTGTCACGTAGATGTCCTTTAAATGAGGAAGCTAGCCAAGCGTTGAGTGTTACTGGGTGAGTGAAAATCAGTAGTTGCACATTGATGATGTTAAATGTCAGTAGCGGCAGTCATTTAGTCAATAAATATAAGGCAAACCTTCATATTTCTCTTTGTGTAGAGTGACTCAGGCTACAATGTCTGTATTGTAGTTTTTCTTTTTATATAGCAGAGAGCTACTGCTTTCAGAGCGAGTTTTTGGGGTCTTTTTTGTAGCTTTTGACAGTTTAATAGTGTAGATACAGACAGGAAAGAGAGAGAGAGAGGGTGAGACATGCAACAAAGTTCCTTGTCAGAAATCCACTCAGGGATATTACATGGTATATGTCATAACCACTAGATCACCAGGATACCCATCAAAACACCATCTAAAAGTTGGCTGGATTGGAAACAAGTCAGTCACTGCATAGTATGTATTCCTCTTAAAGTTGGCATGCCATCTGTAGGCGGAATACATGCATTTGTTTAAGAATAAAAGGGTAAATATACAGTATATCCTAACTGCAGTGATTAGAGCTAGAAGTCAGGTCCATTTTATATGACACAAACTAAAATCCTACTAGTAACAGTAACAAAATGAGTAAAAAACTCAAGAATAACAATAGCAGTAAAGTTATGCACCAAGTTGACGATTAAGTTTATTGTTTGTGACATTAGCAATCTTGTCGTCGTCTTTTGCTTGGCATCAGGGTGCGTCATCAGTACTTATCTCACAGTGGTATAGTAACAAGTAAGTCCTAAATGTAGCAACTTAAAATAGAAATGGAAAAGCTGTGACAGTCGACTCACAGTCGCAACTGTGATGTGACTCCAGAAAATCCTGTCAGATGTCTCTCAACAGCAGGCTCACTTTACACCTCTGATTGGAAACCGCTATAATATGAATGTGCAGAATCAGACAATGCTTCTTCCCAACGTGCCTGACTGTAGGATGTAAATGAAGGCTCAGTTTGAGGCTGTGCACAATTTCAGCTCATTTGGTTTGTTTTTACATTGATAAAACAGAAATCAAATGATTAAGACCAAAATGAAGGAAAATAATAGATATTACTAATTGGTGCAGGTGAGACACACCCCTGTGGCTCTTATCAAAATGTCACTCATTGTCTTAGAACCAGCATTAGTGACAATTTCTCTCTCCTTTTCCTGGTAATTCAACAGTTTTTTATTGCAGTTTCTGATTACTGGCAGTGTGCTGATTCACGGGGCTTTGCATTTACAATGGAGGTGAACAGTTCAAAACCCTGATTTTCCTGTAATGAGCTTTAAATGAAACAAGAAAAGACAACAAAAAAAGAGATGCAACATTCAGATGGAAAGTGGAAGCAGTTTAGTTCTGCTCAGGGGAGCTGACTGGCAAAGCGTAAGAGTATGTCAACACCAATCCTCTGCATTGTATGGTTCTCTGTTCACAATATGGAGGCTGAGCTTTTGGAAAATGAAAACGTCTGGTCGGCGACTGTGTTGCCATAAAGTTAAAAGAGTAGTGTGACATTTTCGAAAATACTCTTTTTGACTTTCTTGCTGCAAGTTAGGTGAGAAGATCAATACTCTCTCATGTTTGTGTGTGAAGGATGTGCCACATACTTAACATAGAGCCAGGAGATTGTTAGCTTAGCATAAAGCCTGAAAGCACAGGGAAGCAGCAAGCCTGTACATAGTTAAAAAACAAGACTAAGAGTCTGCAGCAGTCTACAGCCATGCTAGCAGTTTTTTGAGGCTTTTATGGGTCAGTAGAATCTGAATTTGAATTATTTAGATCTGAATTTGGATTGCTTGAATTTGAAATTGAATTTGATTTCAGACTAATAAATTACATTTCAAATTATACTATTCAAATTCAGTTTTTCAAAACAGTTAATCAAGGTATACAATACAAATTCAAAAGACGCTATTCAGAATCAGTTTTTTAAAATGCAATTGTTCAAGTTGCAAGGGGCAATTTAAATTCAGATTCTACTGACAGAAATATCAGCCCATAGGCTTAGGCACAGCAGTACTTTGAGTTTAATACTAATGCTATCATGCTCACATGCTGATACTAGCATTAGATTTGCAGGTATTTGGTCATGGACCAAAATATTAGATGAATAAAAAGTTTGACCCAATGATGTCGAGAGATAAAAGTTCAACCAGAATGTGTGTAGTTCTGGTGTAGCAATTCATGCAATAGTTTTCAAAACATTTCACTCAAAACCACAGCTCTCAACCTGCTGGTGATGGTAGAGGAAATGTAGGATGTACGATTTGTCCTCTGGGGACCATGAATGCATGTAGAAAATGTCATGGCATTCCATCTAATAGTTGCTTTAACTATGGACAAAACCAAAATGTGAAACTATTGCTGGAAGAAGACCGCTTTCCGTTGACATTACCTTTCTCGGAGATCACTGATTTTAAGTGTTGATATAGCCGATCACAGTGCACAGCTGTCTCTTTTTTACTTGTGTTTATATGGGTTTCGTCAGGTGAATTTGCGATCATAAGATCATAATTTGATCAGCTGCCCAATGCACATATATACTGTGCATGTGTACACACGCACGCACGCACACACACATTATGCTGTGGGTGATTAAAGTTGTGTGAAAGCAAAGCACTATTTCAGTCTCTCTTGGAGGTTAGTTAGTAGGGGTGGTGATGGACGATAGTGGAGAAGACACATGCCTTTGGTGTGAGAGACCCGGGTTCAATTCCTCATGTGACACATCCATCAATGTATCCCTGAGCAAGACATTTAACCCCTAGTTGCTCCAGAGGTCTGCATCCTCTGACATATATAGCAATTGTAAGCTTTGGATAAATGTAATGTAATGTTGTAGTTGACTGAGGAAAGTGGGGATGTACTCATGAAGGCTTTCAGGACACGTCCACCCTTCTGAGCATCACAGAAAAAGATTTAAAGTTGTGGAATTGAGTCTGTGTCTTCCTGCAGATTTGTTCCATTACATCTGTGTGTGTGCCTGTGTGTTTGTGTTTACTGAAGCACTTCTAGGTGTCTGTTAATGTGTGTTTGATGGTAATATGGAGGGCAGCAGCAGGTCAGCACACAGAGAGGAAGCTGATTAAATGTGTATTTGGCCCTCAGAGTACCTTTCTTTGATTTCCTGTAACACTTCCACTGTCACTTCTCCTCTCTCTACATTTAATTTCTTCCTTTGTTGCTGTCTCTCAGCCGACAGTCACAATATTTCCTCTCTCCTATTTCTTTATTTGGCTCTTTCCCTTCATGCTTTTCACTCCTCTCCGTTATCTGTCACTTTAACTTTTTCTTCTTTCCTCTCCAGTCGTAACTCTCTCTTCTGTTCTGTCAAGCAGTCTCTTTTCTTCCCATCTCTCCTGTCACTTCATCCATCTCCTCTCTCTCGTCGCTGTCCTCTTCGCCTGCCTCTCTCCCCACTCCTCTCTTATTACGCTGACACTTTCAGATGATACAACTTGTGTGTGGCTCCCCTTTGCTCCTCCTCATCATATCTAATCTTCCATTTCACACTTTGTGCTAGTGAGTGAGGAAACATATGCAGGTCCCTTAAAATCTTCACTCTGGGATCCAAACTAAGCGTCTCCAGGATTTTTTAAAAAATTCACAGCTACACTTCGAACACAGGGTGCAAATGGAAAGAAATACAGGAAGTGGAAGTGGTGGAAAATATTAGAAAAAGCTGGAAGGAATAAGGTAGAGATGAATATAGTTTTTTATTTGGACCTCAGAATCATGGGACAGATTTATGTTCTTAACAAGTTAGTGTATGCCTCAGTCCAGGATTTGGCCTCAATTAAAGGAGAATTTATTTATGCTTTTCCATATTTCATGACTCCTCAGATTTCCTCCTGTTCTGAACACTCTGTTTTCAACAGCTTTTTCTACTAAAGGCTCCGTTTGATGACACACGGAGCAGGTATTCCATGTATGGTCCAAGGTTATTATAGTTTTGGATTTTTCATTAGTTTTTATTTTTATTTTGGATTTTTGGATTATTCAGGATGCCAAGCTCAGGTCAGTCCAGTTTAGTTTTTTCACAAAACATTGAAATACAAGTACAATCATAAGAAAAAATGCAGATTTGTGAAAAGGGACACCATTTTTTAAGCTATCTAAAGCTTGTACATAGGGGCCCAAACACTAAGCAAATATTGATATTGGAAGTACTAATACATTGTTTAAATAAATACTACAAATAAATGAAGCACATGCAATCTACAGTATAATTTCTAACCTAAATACAGAAAACCATAAGCACTAACTACCCTAATCGTAGTGCCGCATGCGTGTAGTCGATATTGACTACCAGCTATATACTTTAGCCTCGAAAACCAAGCTGCATTCTAACATTAACTTAGTTCTCCTTAACTAGGCTCCTTACATGCTTGCTAATAACCTTTTTTAAAGCTGGCAGTTTTGTGTTGGACAGATTTGTGCAGCTGTGCTCAGGAAGGAGATGGAGAGAGAGTGAGAGGGACGAGCAAGAGGATGTGTTAAGTTAGCCTCCCCCTAACGTTACATGAGGCTCTCCTCGCCACAGCAGTCGCCCCCTGCTATGCTGTGACAGCCACACGGCACGCAGCGTGCCAGCTTTTCATGCTGAAGACAAAAGTATAACACACCCCTGGCTCACCAACAGGTGCCTATCGGCTAGTCACCGCGCGCACCGCTGCCGGTCCGTCCAGACCAACTGCCCCGCAACGTCAGTTCCCCCGGCTTCACATCAACTCGAAATGTTTGGCTTATGTAGATCGTATTAAATAAATAAATAAACGATAACTAAGGACGTTTACTCTTTCTTTTTAGTTAGTTTTAATTAGTTTTGCAAACCTACAATACAGTTTTAGTTAGTTATCGTTTTTTTTTTGTAAAGCTTCGTTTTTGTTTTTATTTTAGTCAACGACAATGTTTTTTCACATCTAGTTTTCATTATTTCGACCTTGGTAAGGTAATTTACACCGGTCTGTACCGCTAAGGGCAACAACGGCCTGGTGACATGCTTCAGGTCTTGGCCAATCAGAAGATTGTGGGCTTCGAGAGGGTGTGCCTTAAAGAGACAGGAGCATTTACAACTTGTTTCAGACAGAGGCTGAAATGAAGGGCCAGTATAAGATAGAAAAAGATTTTTTTGAACAAAGTTAAAACCCTGTGGGGTTTTGGCCTTTTCTTTGTTTACAAGAAAATTCAACAGTGCACCTTTAACCTAAATTTGTATTAATTTGTGTTAAATTTGTATATTAAGTTAAAACTCTTAAGGACATGTGTTTAGTAGTGTTAGTGTCCCCAAATTTTGTATGCATTTATGTGATGGCCAACTATACGTACAGTAAGTAATTGCCAATTTTTTTTTTTTTACTGTTACGGACTGGGGACATGTTTAGAGTGCAAATACAAATTTGGTGAACACCATTTAACCAAGCTTGATCAGGTGAGATATTGAGGATTTGCATGTAAAGAGTTTACTCTTGGACATCAAATATGGACAAGCCATTCACAAATAACTGACCAATCACAGGCTTTAGTTTTGATCACGCAGTGAGAAACAGCTTCTTAACATGGTCATTGTTGCAGATGAGCGTTTTCACTGCACTACATTGCCACCATCTATGTTTTCTGGATGTGGCTAAATTGTTTTGATTTGGTTGCATACTACCTTTTTTTTGTTTGTTTGTTTTTTAAGGCATCCAGAGTAAAGACTTTAAACTGCTCTAATCATTAATTTTCTACTAACAGCGGATCAAAAGTCTACATGTTGTGTGGTTGCTTGTAGTGGTGAAGCCAGAGAATAGTCACCTGGCTTTGCAGTTATCTTCAGCTCTAGGTCGCAACTGTATTGTCATTTTCAGCAGCAACTACGGGCTGCTTTCAGCAACAAAAAGATGTTACCTGTCCAGCACTAAACAGCAGACAGACAATGTTAGAGATGGCCTGATTAACATAGTGTAGCTGAAGAACATGATATTTTCTGTTTGTAGGATTTCAAAGTTGCAAGATCCAAAATGAATTTGACCCAGGGCCACTCTGCATGAATGGGAACACGTAGTAGACTGTACCAGTTTTCACCCGATTGTCAGCCATCAACATAATATTAAAGATGCTATAATCACATAGGGGCTTAAGTAAAACAATTTTGTTGACTGGATGAAAAATCTGTAAGAATATTTGTAAACTCAAGACTGAGCAAAATAATTGTGGTGATAATTTCAGCCATAATTGTGCAGCCCGTCCTACACTAAGACTCCAGCTGCCCTGTGACCCTTAAAAGGATTAAGTAGGAAACTATAATGAATGGACGGCATGAATAGATTTTATTTGCTGGCAGTATCCAGTTGAGAACGGGAAGCAAATACCGCAAATATGATGCAAATAGCAGCCAGGGTTTCAGTGGAGGGATGTTTACTTAAATATAAAACAACCAATTCCGTGAAAATTGATAATGATAAGTCCATTCAGGCCTGGAGCTCTTCGCAACTGGTTGCCAGCGTGAGGAAGCAGGGATCTCTTAATTTTCTTTTCTGTTTGCATTAATCACATTCATTCAGCATGCGTCCTTTTCAGCCCTTTTCTCTTGCTTCTGTGTGTTATCCTGAGCAGCCTGGATGACTGCAGTAGCAGAGCAGCTGCAGCAGCAGGAGAATGTTGCATCCTCCTTGCGTCTATCATGGTTGTCCTGATAAAGAAATTCGATTACAATTTCCTCTCAGCTTGAGATCTTCTCTCACTTATCTCTTGTGTACAGATGCTCTCTGTCCCGGGGGAGGCGTCCTTAACAGGGTTCTTCTCCACCGACCAACAGGAGCTCTGATATGAGATCCAAAATGGTAGCAGGTGCAAAATCCCAGAAATAGTGTCTAGTCTCCTTTTTTTTTTGTTGGTATCGAAGCATTATTTGTCGGATCTGCTCCCCCCTCCCTCCTTTTTATATTTCATGCAGGGCCATGTGGGACATGTCCTCGTGTGATTATGAGCCGTGACGAGATTATGAGATACTGATAATGCAGCCTATTTTGGAGAATGTGCCTCGATTCCAGATCTTCACGGTTCTGATCATGACAGTCAGTACAGAGGGGAAGAGAATGACTGGAAATCACACTGATTCCCTTCACTGCACTAAACCAGAAACCAGAACCTGTCTCCTTCAATTGAATAACTGAGTGCCGTTGTGCTGCCTCTGATATGTGCTTTGTACAAGCTCAGTGGATGTCTGCTTTTACCTTAGGGATACATGCTTTTGCAAAGGGACCATTTTTTATTGAATGTTCTGACGCTTTTCTTTGATGCCGTCTGGTCATGTAAGAAAAGCCATATGAATGAAAAACTCTGCAGGCATTTCTTTAGAACCACTTTTACTTCATTTCTCTTTCTTATTTCCCCCCCGTATTTTTCCTCATTTACTACTCAGAAGCTACGTACCTATCTGTTAGCATGACAGTCAGATTCAACTCTACCGATATATCGGTGTAAAATACATTTCAATCCATAAAGTGTAATAAAACGATGTCAAATAAATTGATTTGCTGTTCTTCATGTTGTAACACTTAAGTGTGTTAAATGACTTGTGTCACAAATGCCATTTCAGAAGACTAATGAGAACCAAAGTGTAATGGTCGCTGTGGCTTTGTGAGTCTGTGAATTTTTGTTCAGCCTTAACAATCCCGGGCCAGGCGTGGACACCGAGAAATGCCGTCCGATTTATGTATGACTGCGTCACATGAATTTGTGTGTTTCTTGCAGGAGTTTTTTGAGAATCCAGCGTTCAGGCCCGATGGTTTGAAGCTCTACCCAACGCTGGTGATCCGAGGTACGGGTCTGTATGAGCTGTGGAAGACGGGCCGCTACAAGAGCTATACACCCAGCGCCCTAGTGGACCTGGTGGCTCGAATCCTGGCGCTGGTGCCGCCCTGGACACGAGTCTACCGGGTGCAGAGGTGAGACAGTGAACCGGGCCTGATGGTAATGGTTGGACACGGGTGACTGTAGATTAAAGCGTCATTAAAGAGGAGCTCCACGCTGAAATGATTTCTTTTAACTGTACACATAATCACATAGATTAGTGGTGGCATGTGGGTAACTGTAGCCCCAGAGTGCCGCTCACACATAGCTGCTGGTTGTGTTAGCAAGCTTGATAACTGCTGGCAGAAAAAGACTTTTTACATGAATGAGATTTATTCTTCTTCAGTGGTAGTAGTACGTTAGCTGAAAACATTTTCTCAGAGGTAATTCTAGTGTAGTGTTCAGAAACTGATTGTTGTTCCCCAGTTTTTTTTTATTTGACTTTATCTACAGTTCAAATGAAAACAAGTCTCCTATCATCCTGCCTCCCCCCCAAATATAGATAAAAATACTGTACATCAGTGGCAAAACACAAAACGATACTGACAGAATAGACCAGGGGCCACATTAACAAATGATGATACGTTAGGAGTCCTTCAATAAAAGGTCCTAGTTAAGAGTTTCCTCTTAAGAGTTATTCACAAAGCTGCTGAGAGACACTGTTAGTAAAAAAAAAAAAACAAGCAGAACTCCCAAGCTAAGAGAAGGGATGGATGATATCATGTTTCATCAAGTGAATGTGAAATTAAATATTCATCAATACAGAACAACTTAAATTATGGATGGATAGATTTTATGAAACAAAGTTAAATATTGAAATGTTATTGTATTCGGCATCAAATACCATTTCCAGCTGACAAAACAAATTGGGGTCCGATGATTAATAATTCTGTCACACTGTTGAGGCTGAAATCGTCAGCGCTGCTAAATGTATTTTACCTCTATCAAAGTAGCATAGAACTGTGCAGCCATCTCCCGTGTTATTGGATTGGTTTGATTTGTTGGCGAGCCGACTGAATCGTTATTAAATGGCCATGGTCAAAAAAATATGGATTCAAAGTTCATTGTCATTCTGTTTTTACAAAACACTGATGTGATAAGACACAGTACCTGCAGCAGCTGACACACTGTGGGAAGGCTTTGTGACTTAGGAGTGCTCTGGATTGCCTTTAACCTCTCTCAGACTTGGGAGCTGCTTTTAAATTACTCTTATACCAAAAACGCCCGAGTGAGGACTGACACATCCCTGTTTTGGAGTTTCTCCAAACCCTGAGAGTGACTTTTGGCCCCAGGTTTTGATTTATTTTTATGTGGTTGCATATGTGATATAATATTTAAAAGCTATTGTTCCATCATTTTTAAACATCATCTGTCTCCTGCTCTTGTGCCGCCTATCAGGGACATCCCCATGCCGCTAGTGAGCTCCGGGTGGAGCACGGCAACCTGCGAGAGTTGGCACTGGCCAGGATGAAGGACATGGGCACTGAGGTGAGACTCCAAGGCCTCTCATATTAAACCAAAAGGCAACGTGTCAGCTTATTTTGAGAAGAAGGTAATAGACTTTTCAGGTGGATGCGATCCAAACCGGTACCTGGAACTCTGGTGGTGGCGGTTGCCAACAGGCAAATGGTGACTGTTAATCAGTAATACATTGCTTTGCTAGAGTAAGATGACAGATTAAAACACCTGCCAAGTATAGTTTAGAGCACACCCCTCCCCATTTATTGAATTTATGTTGAAAAGTCCATCCCGCATGAAAACACCAGGCCACGGTGCACCTAACAGGCTCACCAGCACAACACATAAGGCTGAAGACCCCTACCAACTTCCATCAAAAAAAGACTCAGGATAAAAAGACTCATACAGACTGTTCATCAGAAAACTTATATGGGGTAAAGAGCCTGCTGTAAGCAAGGCATTTATCAACCATCAGGCCCAAATAATACACAAAAATCAGTGGCAAGTGCCTTTTTCCCACCATCAACATAACCACTTGTAAAGCCTTTTGCTTGGCTTTGCTTTGTCCTTTTTAAATTGCAATATTCATTATTAAAGACAAGCATTTATGATCACTTGCAAGTCTCTTACAGAGTGGTTACTTACTGCGCTGAATTTCCACTGAACTGTTATGTTGTGTTGAGTTCAAATCATTCGACCTAGTTTCCCACTGAGGTTTCTAAAACTTTCAGTTTTTTGCAGTTTAATGCAACTCACTGTAGGTGTTGATAAACCCGCAGCGCAGAAGCTTGCCTTCTTTGTGTTAAAAATAAATCTAAATTCAAACCTCCTAAGTGCTAATCTCTCTAATCTCTGTGTTGTTGTTCAGAGCTGTAGTTCATCCATGTAACTGAAGGCCTTTAAAGTTATAACCCTTAAATTTCAGTCCTGGTTGATTTGGTGACATCCATGGTTATCGTAGTTTAATAGCGCAGGTTCCAGAGTTCTGGGGGCAGCAAACACTCATTGAAGTTTTTAAATACAACAGACAAGCAAGTGGTGTATCTGTTTACAGTGCAGCTAATCAAACTCTGAAAACTGTTGTAATAAAGATAGCCAGTCACTACCACAATCTGATTTCATGCTGCACACAGCATGAGTAGTTTTTCAAGCAACAGCAGGACACAATAAAGTCGGTCAGCTTGCTGAGTTGTGCAGCCTGTCAACTGCAGCTGTTCACCTAACAGCTCACTGTGGCTGCATCTGACTGTTCAGTGCTCCGACTCACTGACCTACCGTCTAAAAATTGCCAACATGTCTTGTTTTGTAGCCACATTTTTGATGAACGATCACAGCTAACCTCAGTAACAATCACACTGTGGTTCCTGTGACTGCTTCACAATAAAAGCCAACTGTGTATTTTGCCAGTTTAATGCTTTAAATGTGAAGCAGCGGTAGTAGGGAAAGTTGGGTTTGCATTGGCAGTTCTGACACAGACAAAGGAGAGTGAAGAGTGAGGCTGATATCACTGAGGTAAAATTAGTAACACTGGATTACATGCTGTCTTGTTTCATATGAATCCCTTATGCTTGTGAAGCCAATCTGAAACCAGTGCAGGAATGGCGGCCCCTGCCACTGCCAACAGTGAAAACAACTATATCAAGAAGTGTTTACTGAATGTAAATACACTGAATGGCTATTGCTGAAAAATTAAGACTATAAAAAGCACAAAAAATTGGGTTTGTTTTATTGAAAATCTGAAGGATTATAATTATTAAACAAATAGCATACACTTGATGCGTACATGTTTTATATTTCAAACAGCCTTTTGCAGAATTTTGAATCGATGTAAACATTAGATTATGTAGGGAGATTTTGAGTTTCTTTAACTGTTTTGACCCATTTCAGCGTTTCTCTGTTGGCAGTGTCGCGATGTGAGAACCAGAGAGGTGGGCATTCAAGAGATCCACCACAAAGTCAGACCATACCAGGTAATGGTTCATCCTGGAATCCTGGAGTCGGTGACCAACTGCTGAAATGTTGTGTAGCTGTATTGCTGTAGAGACTTGTATTAAAAAAAAAGAAGGGGAAAAAAAGGCTTCTGTTTTTTCACTAACAAAGATGATGTGTGTTCAGGTGGAGCTGGTGCGGCGGGACTATGTGGCTAACGGCGGCTGGGAGACCTTCCTCTCCTACGAGGATCCAGAGCAGGACATCCTGATTGGCCTGCTGCGTCTGCGTCGCTGCTCCCCACAGTCTTTCCGACCGGAGCTGAAAGGAGGAGTGTCCATCGTCCGCGAGCTGCACGTTTACGGCAGCGTCGTCCCCGTCAGCAGCAGAGACCCCAGCAAGTTCCAGCATCAGGTGGCTAAGTCATCACTCCTGGCCTGTATTTTCTTTGACCCATGACTCTAGAAATTGAGAAGTAACTGTCTTTATCTGTCCCTTTCCCTCCTTCTTGTTTAGGGTTTTGGCATGATGCTGATGGAGGAAGCAGGGAGAATTGCCAGAGATGAACATGGCTCTAGCAAATTAGCTGTTATCTCAGGTGAGGAACAAAACAGCACATCATTCATCTTCTCCTTAGACGTCCAAACATCTATTTAAGCCATATCATGTGTTTACCCTAACCTGCATTGACCCAGTTGTCATCAGGAAGTAATTAATCATTAGACATTTAAATGAGACTGTACAGGAGGATGTAGGATATGGATTTGTGAATTTGAAGTGTTCATAAAGTTTGCACCTCTTTTTTAAGATATTTAAGTTATTCAAGCTATTCACCGACCTGATGAACAGAATATGTGAGGATGTCAGAATATTTCTACATCATGTTCTAAAGCCACTCACAGAGCCTGGATCTGATACTGGATTTTTGAGGCTAATGCCGACATGGGTATTTTGAGTGCCCCATATATTAGCCAATATTGTTGGACCCTTTATTTCTTTATTTCTTTATTATTATTTGCATTGTGCAAGCGCAATACCAAATGCATAATGGTAGACCGTGGCCAGCGAGATGCAGATAGTGTGGGTTTTCTTCAAAAGTTAATTAGTACATCATCATAATAGAAGTAGGTGTTTTTTGTTTTTTTTTGTTTGGTGACACTGTTTATATGGTCACATTAACATTTTCCCTCTGGAAAAAGCATCTTATATAATCAATATAATGCTATTTCAGTCATCATTCTGCGGCATCTTACATTGAAAGTTGTCAAATCATAGCATATTTTACGTGATACAGTAGCATTTGCACAGGATCACTTAAATGTGGTTATTAAATAATTGTGAACAGGATATGTAGTGAGTGGTATATTTACAGTTGAAAAATGAACTTGGCAGTGATCTCTGGTGAACAAACTATGTTATGGTGACTCAAACATGTCATAATTTCTTGCGACTTATCAGCTGAAATATACACTAGTACAGATATATAATAAGCTCAGATTGACTTATATCAGTCGGGCTGTTGTTTTGTGCTAGCACGTGAAAAGAAGTCACCAAAATAACTGTAAAGCAGCAGTGTTACAGCTTTTCCAGCAGTGGCTGTTTGATTTCTGTGGGTCTTCTATACTGAGCACCTTGTCTTCTCTGGTGTGTTTTTCAGGTGTAGGAACAAGGAACTACTACAGAAAGATGGGCTATGAGTTGGAGGGACCATATATGGTAAAGGACCTGTATGGACCTGGAATGGACTGAACCTTGACAATGTTTTTATCTGGACAGTGGATATAGACGCACGTACACACACATAAATAATTGTATTTATCAAGACAATGTTCTCCACGATTGCTGCAGTAGGTTCAGTGAAATTTGTCTTGTTTTTCTAGCATTAGAGGAGATAATGGTTGGCGCTTTCTCCCAGTCCGTGCTTTTTATCTGGTGCACACCAGGCAACGCAGTAGCATATCCTCCACTTTAGATAAGGATACGCTGTGAGAGGGTGGAAGGAAGAAAGCCAGAACATCTTGTGGACGAGGTTTGAAGTTCAATCTCAGATGCAAACATTTTTTTAATGCTACAGAAAAATAATGGTTTTAAAAATAAAAAAAGGTAATTTTTAGTCAGTTTCTTTTTTCTAAACTGCTAAACACACAAACAATGGCATGCTGACATTTAGCTTTCTACATTGAAACAAATGGGTACCACTGGTGCCTTTCCGATGAACTCTGTTTCAGCAAGTAGTACTAATTAATTTTGCCAAGAAATGAGAACCATCCTGCTGCGACATTTTTTAATTCCACTTGAATGTCACATTTGTCTGTTGAATGTCTCGGTATCCCCTGAATAACTTTGGTGTGTTCGTCTAGGATGAGAAACCTGTTTAGCATCATTGTTTGAGTTAATCATGTTTATGTTGCAGTTAAATAGAAAACCCATTATGAGTCAAGCGTTGATTAATGGTTGGCAGTGGATGAATGAACAGTGGGTAGTGTCCTCGCTGGGCAGCCGTTGTGAAATTGCACAATTTCAATTTATAGGGCAGGAAATCGAATATTAGTGTTACATAAATTGCTTTTTAATGCCTCACAGTTAATCCTGTTTCTTGTTTGTTTTTTTTGGTCATGCATATTTGGGCTTCATGTATTCTGGTAAATTCCATGTTTAACACATCACTTGGCCATTTTTTTCTCAAGGAATAAAGTATGTTTCAGTTACTGTTGTGTCCTGCTTTGTGAGAGAAGTTCTTGGATGATACAGAAACTTTTGTGAGACATTTTCCATAATTAAATCTAAATGACAGAATAGCTAAAAAGGCTTTAGCCTCCAAAGATATCGTTTGTCGTGAGAGTGGCTCCTATGATGTATTCCCCAATGTCAAGGGTGCCAGCCCCGGCAGGAGACCCCTGATGATTACCCTATGAGAGTGTTTTACTGGCTCATTTGACACAGCCTTTCCAATTACATCTCCATCAGTTACCTGTCTGTTGAACATTGACTGAATGCTGTGTTCTGCCACACTGTTACTGGAAAGGTTTTGTCATTTGAAAAATATCTAGCAATAAAGTGCCAAACGCTCATGCGGCACCCTATGCCTCATATAGATTCCAACTGCACGGGGCAATTGAAGCTGAACAGCCATGCGTAATTTCCTGGATGCGGGCCCCTGTGTCGTGACTGTGCTGTGTGTCGGTGCAGTCCTGACGCATTGAGGAATAGGCCACAATCAGGCTTTCTCTCCATGCTTGCTCACTTGTGCTATCAATTGTGAAATCTGAAAGGACTTTTCCCTCCGCGCACACTCTGAGTCTGTGCCGCCAGCTGATTTGTGCTGTGGAGGAGGCCGACCCTGGACTAATCTTCACTGCAACATGAGCAGAAGTATAACAAGTTCAGTTAAACTCTGCTGAAGTGAAGGTTACAGGTCTTGTCTACAAAACTTACCAAAGAAAAAGGATCTAGGTGTGTTGACATTGTACATATTGTACTCCTCCCCATGTGTGCATTATCTGATATGAATTCATTGTTGTAAATTGTAATAAATGATCATCAGTAAGTTTACACTACTGTAGTTAAAATACTACAATGGATACTTTATTGTGGATGACAGATATCAATAGTAGTCACCACCTTTATGTAAGAAATTTAAATATAAATATGGCAAAACTAAATGCTAATACTAACAGAGGTGCAGAATCAAAATAGTGCTAAAATAATTACTCTTAATATCCATATTGGACCTGGACAAAGTGGTCCATCATAACCAGTGCATACAAGTCAGTGTGACAAAGATTAAGTTATGTGTATTTGGAATTGCATAATTTTTTAGCTACACTAGCAGCATGGCTCTAGAGATGGCAGTGTTAGTCTGTCAGATTACATGACCCTGCTGTACTGTGTGTTATTAGCTAATGTTAGAATGCCAACAAGCTGAACTAAAACAGTGAACATGGTAAACACTGGATCTACTAAGTGTCAGCATGTTAGCATTTAGCTCAAGCACCATTGTGCATCAAATGTAGCCTCACAGAGCTAGCATGGTTGTAGACCTGTGTTATTTTAAAGTTATGACATGAGGCAGACTAATTAATTTGAGAAAATCATCATGTCAAGCCTTTAAAGCACCAAGCTCTGTCCTAAGATCACAACAATTGTGAGTATGGGGTGGGAAAATTTCTTTCAAGTCAATATAATATTGACATGACAATGTGTACACTGAAAGAGTTTTTGGTCCCTGAAATCACTCTTGTCCTGCTGGCCATAAATTGGTTCCAGACTAGTGCGGTAATAGCAAGAAATGTGGGACCAAATCACCAGTACTCATTCTGTTTAAGTAAAATTCATTTACAGTGGAGAGAACAAGTATTTGATACACTGCTCATAGCTACACTTCAACGGTGAGAGATGGAATGTAAAACAAAAATCCAGAAAATCACATTGTATGATTTTTAAATAATTAATTTACATTTAATTGCATTACGTAAGTATTTGATCACCTACCAACCAGTAAGAATTCTGTTTCTCACAGATCTGTTAGTTCTTCTTTAAGAAGCCCTCCTGTTCTCCACTCATTACCTGTATTAACTGCACCTGTTTGAAGTCGTTACCTGTATAAAAGACACCTGTCCACACACTTAATCAAACAGACTCCAACCTCTCCACAATGGCCAAGACCAGAGAGCTGTGTAAGGACATCAGGGATAAAATTGTAGACCTGCACAAGGCTGGGATGGGCTACAGGACAATAGGCAAGCAGCTTGGTGAGAAGGCAGCAACTGTTGGCGCAATTATTAGAAAAGAGTTCAAGATGAGCTCCATGCAAGATCTCACCTCGTGGGGCATCAATGATCATGAGGAAGGTGAGGGATCAGCCCAGAACTACACGGCCAGACCTGGTTAATGATCTGAAGAGAGCTGGGACCACAGTCTCAAAGAAAACCATTAGTAACACACTACGCCGTCATGGATTAAAATCCTGCAGCGCACACAAGGTCCCCCTGCTCAAGCCAGCGCATGTCCAGGTCTGTCTGAAGTTTACCAGTGACCATCTGGATGATCCAGAGGAGGAATGGGAGAAGGTCATGTGGTCTGATGAAACAAAAATAGAACTTTTATGGTCTAAACTCCACTCGCTGTGTTCGAAGGAAGAAGAAGGATGAGTACAACCCCAAGAACACCATCCTAACCGTGAAGCATGGAGGTGGAAACATCATTCTTTGGGGATGCTTTTCTGCAAAGGGGACAGGATGACTGCACCGTATGCCCTCAGTAAAGGGCATTGATGACGCCCAGGGCAACTAAGGAGTGACTCCGTAAGAAGCATCTCAAGGTCCTGGAGTGGCCTAGCGTTCTCCAGACCTGAACCCAATAGGAAATCTTTGGAGGGAGCTGGAAGTCCGTATTGCCCAGCGACAGCCCCAAAACCTGAAGGATCTGGAGAAGGTCTGTAAGGAGGAGTGGGCCTAAATCCCTGCTGCAGTGTGTGCAAACCTGGTCAACAACTACAGGAAACGAATGATCTCTGTAATTGCAAACAAAGGTTTCGGTACCAAATATTAAGTTCTGCTTTTCTGATGTATCAAATACTTACGTCATGCAATAAAATACAAATTAAAAATCATACAATGTGATTTTCTGGATTTTTGTTTTAGATTCCATCTCTCACAGTTGAAGTGTACCTATGATAAAAATGACAGACCTTACCTGCTTTGTAAGTAGGAAAACCTGCAAAATCAGCAGTGTATCAAATACTTGTTCTCCCCACTGTATAAAGCACCTTTCTAAACCAGAGTTACAAGGTGCTGTACAATGAAATCCTGAAACATACAAAAAAAAACAGATGGACTAGATAGAAGGCAAACACATCAATAAAAACTACAAATGCATTAAATTCAGCTGAAGTGAATGAATAAGAGCCTTCAGCAGTGAAAGTTAGCCAAATCAAGTTTGCATCATCTAAATATATTCTTTTTAGCACAAAGCTCTGGTTTACTATCCCTCCACAGAGCTCTGAGAGAAAAATTGTAATGAAAGACCATAGGTGGAAAATACCTACTTGATTTGACTAACTTGGACTGCTGAAGCCTCACACTAACTTAAGGCATCATTTCGCCACCAGTTTGGACAGGACAAATAACTAAAGAAATTCTTGAAATGCACAACCATATCTCAACCTATATCATCTCCCCATATCAGTCATCAGATGCAAATATGCCATAAATCCATAAATAAGTATGAATCTTGAGCACTGGGGTGGTCAAAGGTTGTCTGAGTGATGTATTGTCTGGCCAGCAGAGCACAAAGAGTCACTCGCACCAGTAAAGGTCACAGACCTGTCTGAAAGACAACTTCATTGAGCTGTGATCAGAGAGGTTAGGTGAGCTAGCCTCACTTGCTTAAATCTCCACTTGGCCCTCTGACATCCGCATCACAGACACTGCTGAGCCCACTAGTCTTATCTCAAGGACAGGCTGAGAAAAAAAGGTGGGAGGATAGTTACTTTTATGTTAATGCTGAAATTCTCTTTTTTAGTATGGTCACTTTTAGCAAAGCATGGATTTTACATAACACCTGTCATGTTACTACTCATACAAGTTATAATTTCATGTTTATTTAAATGACATTACAATTAAAGGGGTTTCTGGACACAATTCATGTTATAATACATATCTATTGTTTCAGGCCTGTGAGAAAAAAAAATCTGAAATACATAGTCATCTAAGATTTGGACTGTCAATGACTAAGACTGATGACCAGTAATAAATGCTGTGGACTCAGCAAGGATATGATCAGCAACAATCCCCAATGCCCAGCTTTAATTTCCTGTTCATGAGGGGGTGGTATATTAGTTCTAGTTAGTCACCATGAGCCCCATTCTGCCATCCCTTTTAGTTTTCAGTGCAGGTATTTTACAAATGCTAACACAGCAGCTCTATACTTTAATAAAGACATCCAGAAATGTTAGCGACTCAAAGCAAACTGGTGAAATAATATTTTAAAATAAGACAGACAGAAACTCTATCAAGAAACTAATTTAAATTTACAGAAACCTGAAAAATACACCTGGATGGAGTTAGCCGTAGAACATTTTGAGGCTTTGTGGTGGTGTTACGTTAGACCGCATTATATAGACAGGTGTTCATAATAAACTGTCCACCTTAATTTATCATAATGTATCTGGAGAAAAATATACCACAAGCTATGGCATTGAATCAACACCTGCTACTGACAGTGTCAACAACAATCAATACCTATTAATTAGTGTCGCAAAGGTAGCATTTATTACGGAACTATTAAAATGGACAAATGTTTCTAGTTTTTTGTTCACTCACTTTACATATATAAAAACACCTGGGGGCCCAGTGAATCCATGCTACATCAATGCTTGGTGGAAATACTAAGATAAGCACAAAAGAATGACATAAGATATAATATATATATGATATAAGCCGTTAGTGACACACTATTCAACAAGTAAAAAGCTCATTGTCCACTAACAATGTTAAAATTAACATCTGGAATAAAAAGGAGATAATCAGGACTCACCAAGACACAGCAGACCCGCAGCAGTAGCAGCAGTAAGCCCTTGCATTTCATTTTACACACACACACACACACACACACACACTATGTCAAGCAGTCAAGACCTGGTGCTTTCATCAAATACAGCTTGAGCAAGTCCCACTCAGTCACTATAAGGACTTGTTTCCATGTTTTGTCTGCAGTGCAGTCAGGGGCCCAAATAGACCACCTCTATTTCATTCCTATTTTCCCTTTATTTGGTTTCCTGCACAGTTTTTGAAGTAAGCCTCTGTTTCTGTGTCAAAAATAGCACCCACAATCCCGCATAATCATATGTATTTCTTATAACCACTTCCCTGAGGCAGCAAAGTGGCTATTGTTTACATGTATGAAGCACTGCAGTCGGGGGGGGGGGTCAATATCTCCAAGAAGTGGCTATAGTAGTTATAGCCATTATGCTCTCTTCAGCGCACTTTTTGTGTCAGTGGGAGTCCTCTTTCAGAGCAGAGCACACTCTGGCCTCCAGCTGGTCTGCTGGGGGCCGAGCATCTGGGTTTGAGGCGAGCATGTCCAAAAGCAGGGTGCACATGGCTGGACCAGGAGGGGGTGGCAGCGGGGGCGCTCTCTTAAACTTCATAGGGATGCACAGCTGGAGGTCGGCGTTCTCCCACAATGCTTCCCCCAGAGGCATCAACCAGCCTGAGCGACCTTTACACACATAGGCACCTAAAGAGGAAACACGAGGGAAGACAATGTTATGTCATCATGCAGGACCGACGGCAACAACAGAGACTGCAGGGAGTCGCTGGATCTCAGCGATTGTGGGCCATATGTGTTTGCAAGTAGTCTGTACCCACTGGTGGGACATGTTTCCAGTAAGTGCCCATATGAAGTCAGAATGTATTTTTATTAAACAGGAATGAAAAGCATAGAACGCGCAGTGTGAAGCTGAGGCTGTAATACAGCGTATAAAAGCCAATACATGGTGTTATCTAAATAAAATCTCACTTAAATGTGACAGTTATTATGCTGACAGAATCAGATATGTTATTTGGGATAAATATTGAGTTAAAGGACACATTTTCATTATTTTGTGATAACCATGAGTCGCAATTCTGCCAGAACTGTGTTGACGTTTAATTGCATTTTTCCAGTTTTCCAAGAACAAAGAGAGCGTCTGACCCGAAAATGTTAAAGTTTCTTTAAAAAAGAAAAACACAGGAGGCATGATGCCATTTGTAGTTCTGTATCACATTCCTTCCATCTTTATATATTTAAATTAAGCTTTCTGTCATCACTACATTGTTTAATTCAGGGTTCTTGCAACATTTTAAAAGTCCTCTGGAGGTGGTCAGGCACACCATGACCACATGGATGCAAATGCGTTGTCTATCCACATACAGCAACTACTTGGGCAGAAATATGGAGCCAATCCCAGCTTACATTGCGCAAAAGGCGGGGTACACCCTGGACAAGTCACCAGTCCATCGCTGGATTATTGTGATACGATCTTCCTCAATAACAAATGTTCAATAAATTTGATTTAATTCATTTGAATCACAAACGAATCAGCACTTTCTTTTCTATTAAGATGTTTATTGTGTTGAGGAAAAGGGACTGAAAAAAGATTGTACTTTATTTTTCTCATGCATATTTGTTGTTTTGAATGTTCTACCTCAGTGAAGTGAAGTGATTCACTGTTTGATACCAGGCTGCTTTTTGGCATCAAGTGTTTGTCATGTTCTGACCATAAAGAAACATTTAAAAGCACATTTAACCATCTGGTTTCTTCAGGAGCAAAAAATAAATAAATCTGCCTTTAAACTTATAATAAAAATAATGATTGAATAATGATTTTACTATTTTTGTCCATATCGCCCAGCCCTTACTCACACACTGCTGTGTTAAACTCAATATAACTTACTAAAATAACAGAAAAGAGTAACTTACACATTATAACGAAAGGTAGCAAGAAAATGATGCCGGACCGAACTTAAGTTTCACTTTCCGGCCGTCTTAATGCATCATTGATTATACCAATGATGAATCCAGTCCATGATGATGTTGGTTAAATATTGTCAGACAGCTAATCTACTTCTGTCTTATAGCCAAACGTTGGACTGGTCTTGTGCAGTAGGTCTTGATGAATTGTGGGACACAGTTGGCTGTGAAGCTGTATTATGTGTGTATCAGTTGTCGGGTAAGAGTACTGCATGTTGATTTTTCAGAAGAGGAGCACTGGCCTGATGAAACGGATTACAAGTGAACATACACTTAAGTGCTCAAGGCCAAAAACTGCCAGCACCAGGATAGACGGGGAAGTTCCTGTCATGCCATACTAGAGTTTTTCACCAATAGCACTATGGAGCAACGTATTTATGAATGTGTTTGCCCAAACGCACATGTCCAACAATTTACATGGGGTAACGAGACACGCCTTCCTGCCAATGGTTTCACACTAATTCACTGATGTACAGTTGGCAGTAACGTACCAAGTTACACAGCAGAGTGCCTGCGAAGAGGCAGGGAAGAAGCCTACTTTCAAATAAACATGGATGTACACCATGCATGTTTAAAACCTTTTTTAAAATTAGCTTTGCAAATGTTTTATGAGTAAGGAAACACATTCAACATGTTTGTTAGGTCTCAAGGATTCACACAGTGATGTTTGGCGAGAAATGCTGAATGTAAATGGAAACATATTCATAAGAAAACACACACAGGGCACCCTACAGACCCATAGTACACACTTATTTTATCAAAGTAGACGTCTTATACTACACTCAAAACAGTCAGTACGCATAATAAAAAACTGCAATGCACAAAGGAAATGAAGGAGCTGCTCTCAGCTGGGAAAAATAAATAACAAAACAATAAATAACTATTACATTTTTGGAAATCTATGCGGCTGATTATACCAGAAGTTAACGCAAATTTAAAGTACCAAGATGAGCTTCCTATTCTGTCTTACATATCATTATTAAAAGTAATACTTCAGGGTTTTGGCTGCTGATCAAATTAATAAAGAAAGATAAAACTTTGGGCTCCAATCACTTGAATTGGTCATTTGTCTTTGACATTTTCTAGACTAAATGAGTGATCGAAAAGAATTTGTCGATTAATGAGAAACTAAATCATTAGTTGCATCCCTAAAACATAGCAAACCCCACATCTGGAGGTAGTCCACCTCGCATTGTGTTTGGATCGTAGGTAGGTGTAAACACAATCCGTACAATGTGCTGGCATCCACAACTTAATTCAGTTAACATGTGAGATTCGGCTCATGTACAGATCACGCTCGGGGTAACTAGCAGACCCCAAAAGTAAAGTGCTCCCTTTACTTTCCAGCCACAGCTCTATGCCTCTGTCTCACTCCTTGTCTGGGTGAGGACAGCTGGCTGATAGGAGTCCAAACATCAGCAGATTGATCTGTTCAGATTTTAGGCCAGTTAAATATTGAGAGATTTGGTGTTGGCATTGCACATGTTGTATGCAGTCACTAATCTCTTCGGCCGAGTCTCATTAAACATTGCTGTGCAAGTCTTCATGAGTGTCTGAGAACTTCTTCGTCGCACCTGACACCTGGCTCACTTTATTTTCACAACATAGTTTTTGTTTTTAGTCAACATAAAAGTGAGCAAGCGAGAAGGCTGAAAGAGACAACTCTCAATGACTATCCTGTGCCATGAAAGCGCCAAAACAGAACTGAATGAAAAACGAAAGCAATACGGGTGGGAAATTAATGATATACAGTAAGACACAACTGTCTGTGCATGGCACTCATCTGTGCAGCTAATCTGCTGTTAACAAGGCATATAATTTATCTACTGACAGTAGCGCACACGCCAGTACTGCAACACATCAGGATATGTATAATATTGTTATACAAAGAAACGGAGTCTGGGGCATTTCAAATTACTCACAAGCAAGTTCTGCTCTGGAGGACAGACATCTGATCTCAAAGCGGATAACAAGAACACATTAAACATACCAGGTGTGAACACAAATGCAAGATCAAATCCCTTATTATCTCAATAACAACTTCGGATACAGATCGCATTTTAATACCAGGTGTAAATGAAGGGTAAGTGTGGGACAACATTATGAAAAGGATGCCTTCCGAGACAGACCTTTTTGTTAAAGAATAGAATTTTTGTTTAACCAGAAACAGACGTCTTGCTCAAGGAGAAGTCTTACTCTGAAATATCGCGAGAGGTGAGTTGTTGCAGAAAGACAACAGTAGAAACATAAGTCAGTAAGTCATCTTACTCTTTAACAAACTATTGGATTCAATTCAAAAACTTTTTGTACCCATTAGTCATTTAGACCTCAAAATATGTAAAAATAAATAAAATAGGGCCCTTTAATCTCAAGCGTTCTTGTAGTCCTTGTTCATTGTAAATGAATTTTAATGGAGCACTGTAGGTCACACATCTGTCATGCAAGTACAAGTCTTCTTTCTCTGATGATGCTCCACACTGGACACTGATCTAAACACTGAAGTCTACAGTCAAATGCAGGACTGGCCTGGTGAAAGGCCAGCGATGATTTCCTAACCTGACTGTGCAAAAAGCCAACAAGCGCTGGGCTCCGACAAGCACAGGATGTGTCTTGCTCCTTGACTATATCTTCTCCGCTTCCCTGCCTAGTCAAATAACTGTGTGGGTCTTGAGAGAGGATAAAGTAAAATAATGGACCATTTTATCCTTCTGAGAAAAGCCTCCAGCTGCCTCTCCCCATTTTCTCACTCACAAAGAGGATTGTGATCGGAGCTGCTACATTCCATTTAGCTTTCCTTTTTTTTATTTATTTTTTTTATTTGAATCCACTGAAACCCCTCTCCCCCTCCATAACCATTTTCATTCAGCCTAATAGAGTATCAGTGACTCAGGGAGGTTCTCAGGCACTAAACTTGGGGATAATGGTTCATATCGCCCTGCCTTCAGGTCGGCTCTTGCCGGACCCATTTTTTGTGAATAAAATGAGGCATCTGTATTACAGCCATTTCATTACTCTCTGACAGTGGAACGCAGAGCAGAACCAAGCTCTGCGTCCATTAAGACACTTCCTCGTCCTATGGCCACATGGGTTTTCTGACAGGAAAATAGGACATTAAAAAAGAGATTAAAATCTCAATGCTGTTGTGCAGAGTTATACTGGAATGCTTGGCACAGTGCTTCTGCCAGATCATATTGAATTGGCCAGAACTCTGCAGGTTTTATGGCCATATTTCACCACAAGTAATTTACAGCAAAGACAAAAAATAAAATAAAATTACATATACAAAATACCAACACATCTGTATCTTTGCATTACCATCAAAATGTGTTTTGATCTTCAGCGTCAATGTAATCAATGTAGGCAACAGTATTCAGAAACTGGTATCTCACATGCTGCCAACAGCACTTAGTAGAAAAGGATGTCAGCTTGTATTATAAGAAACAGAGCTACAATAATGCATATCAAAATGTACATACAATAAATCATTCATCCTTTTTGCCATTTAGATTTATGACGATACAATCCACTGTTGATGAAGGTATGATGTATAGTAAGTGACATTTTTAATATGTGCCACGTAATTAAGTCAAACTTAATTCAGCGCGATGCGTCATCAACCTGCCTGACCACACACACTCCACCTTCCCAACCTTTCTGTGAGTGCTCTGAATGGGGAGCAGGATACAACATGACATACCAGGCATGGGCAGGCACCTTCCTCTATCTCTGAGCTTTACTCCCTCTATGAGCCGGGACGCACACCGAGATCCTCTGGTAGGATGTTGCGAGCTATTCTGAGATCCAGGCTAAAAACCAAAGGAGACAGGGCCTTTGTTGTCAGGGCCCCTACACTCTGGAATAATCTACCAGAGGAGATCAGGCTTGCAGTCTGTTCCTGTCTGTTCCCGTTTCTCATTTCTACAAAAAATACATGATTTATTTTTCGTTTAATTTTATATTGACTGGTATATATTATTTGTTGTACACCACTGTGTGTGATACTAACTTTTATTCGACTTGTCTGTTTTAAATTGATTTCTGTTTCTTTGTTAATAAAGTATAAAGCTATTATTATTATTATTATGCAAATTAGTTACCCAACATGTTAACACGGTCCCATATAGTACATGAAGATACCGACAGAATCGGGTTTTACATATTTGCAAATTGATGTGTATTGTAAGTCTATATCTGTTGACATGCTGCCTTGGTTGCTCACATGTTTTGTTTGAGTAAAAGGAGGCACCTGCTCTTCTCAGTCTCTTTCTCTCTAGTCTACTACTACTACTGACTCTCCCTCCTATACTTACCCAGTTGTTCCTGCGTGGTCCCTTCTTCTACAAAGGTGATTCTCTCCAGGACAGCCCAGAACAACACGCCCAGGGAGAAGATGTCTGCCTGGGCTGTGTAGGTCAGTCCACCCCACACCTCTGGAGCCATGTAGAAGTCAGAGCCACAGGTGGAGGAGAAGTGTTGCCTTGTCAGATGACCATCCACTAGACCTTCACTCATCTTGCTTAGACCAAAGTCTGCCACCTAAAGGTTGGACAGGGAGATTCACTGAAACAGAAATACCATATGCTTCGTGCTGGCATCAAAGTTTTTCATGTGTGACTCTAGAAACTTCTTTCTTTATGGCCTATACCTTGCCTCTTTTATCCTCAGAAAAAAGCTATGTAAACATTTGTAGAGGAAGAGATATGGGTTGCGGGCGGCTAAATAGTCTTTTGTTTTGGAAGGTTCCTAACTGAGTGAAATGACCCGGAAGTATTTAAGTGGCAGCCATGATAAGAGCTGTTCAAATTCTCTAAATGCTAAGGAAAGGTCTTTCAATGTTTACTTTCTTATCTCCGTTAGCATAGACAGGACCATTCTTTACGAGAGTAAAAGGAGATAATGCCGTCCCAAAACTCTTTGCAGTGACGCACCATTGTAATTTCCCCATGGCACCCCCACACAGATGTAGGAACAACAGAGCACCTATTTTATGCCTGTGACACAATCCAAAACATATACAAAATGGTATGCATTAATGTTTTGCTCTAAATGAATTTCTCTACTTAAATGTCAACAAACAAAATGGTCAAAAGCACCCACGCAAGGAAACTTTACATACTTATGTCTGAATATAATTTACTTTAGCCCCTAGCTCAATTTCTTATTTTTATTTCATTATTTCTTTAATGGTTCTACTTTCGTTACCTGTTTATTCCTTTTATGTTCTTATTTCAACATCTAATCTGGGTTGATTTTGAATAATTGATGGTTAACTGTACCCTACATCCTTTCTTAGGATGTCTCATTCTGCTTTGGACAGGAAACCTTACTTGAATTGTACAGCAGCAGTGTAGGCTTAGCGCAATCGGTTGTCTTTTCCTAAGTAATCTTTCCTTGACCTCATGAAATTTTCCATCAAGGTCAAGGAAAAGACATGGGGCGTAATTTTTTGACTATTCAACCGCAGCCAAGGACTCACACTACAGAGCTGAAACTATTTTATCCATAGACAGAAAAAAGCTTTTTCCCCGCTAAGAAATTAACTGACAGATTAATCAATGAAAATAATCATTATGTAGCCCAACGACACATCTTTTACGTATTTATTCTTCACAGAGGAGGAGAGCATAATTTTGTGAGTTTTCCAATAAGTTGTGTACTGACTAACAACTGTTAGCTGTTATTGTTCCATTGTTATTTTTTTTTTGTTTGTTTTTTATATTGTCAGTTGTATTATTTTTCTCTATTCTTCTGTTATTCTTATATAACTTGCATTTGTTTATTACATATTTCTACATCTATTTATGTCAGCTGTATGTCTGCGTGTAGCACCTTAACACCAAAGCAAATTCCTTGTAGGTGTAAAACACTACTTGGCAATAAAGCTCCTTCTGATTCTTCTGATTCTGACTCTATGATAATGCCAGTTAATAGGACGTAAACATTGTCATGTCTCAACAATCTGCCTACCTTGACAACAGGGCCTTTCGGTGTCACACAGACCAGCACATTGTCAGGCTTCAGGTCTCGGTGGGTGATACCCAGAGTATGCAGGAAGGCCACTGCACTGCAGAGCTGTCGCACCACGCTGTGGTTACGCTGGCCGTCTGGTGGCCTGGAGAGCAGGAATTGATTCAAGTCACCCCCGTCACAGTACTCCATCACCAGCCACAGGGCCAAGCAGCGCAGGGGTTCCGACTGCTCTTCCTCCCTCTGGGCTGGTCTCTTCCTGGCTCTGTTCTGAGGCCTTTGTGGAGTCGTAGAATCACATGCATTTGATTTAGTCTTGTCCTGAAGCTTGGCCCTGGCCTGGACATTGTTGGTCCTGTCCTGAAGTCTAGAGACAGACCTCCTTTGGGTGTTAGGCTGGGAATTATTGCTTTCCTGGCTTCGTGGTGCACCGACTACAGTGCCCTTCAGCACACTCTCAACTAGACGTAGAGGCAGTTTCCCTGGTTTTAGGGGCTTCAGGCTCCTTGTCCCTGTCTGTAGCAGGCAGCTGTGGAGTGCAATGACATTGACATGGTTCTTTGCTGTGGTCCTCATGGCCCACAGCTCTTGCAGGTAGAGTTCAATGCACTCCGGGTTGCTGCAGGGCAGTCGCTTGATAGCCACCCTCTGTCTTGTTTTGGCGATATGGCCCTCAAAGACCACACCATAGCTGCCTCGTCCTACCTCCTTCTCTAAAGTGTAGAGCTCCTCCATCTCTAACAGCAGCGGGGGCCCAATATGAGTGCTAACAAGATAAAATAACTAAGGTTAGCACGATAAAAATGACATGTAGCCTTAAATTACAGTACAACTGTGAGTAATGAGTATCTAGTATTAACAACAGTATAACTGTAAAATAACGTTAGCTGGCACTTCAGCACAGACTGTCTGCTTTTTAATTTTACATAAGCAGGGGGGCTTCATTAAACTCAGCTGGGTTTAACGCTAACGTTGCACAACTAACTTACTGTAACGTTAATAGCTGACGTTACTTAACTTAGTCCTGAAATAACTAATCTTATCTCACTAGCTGAAGTTAACGATACACATACACACTTTAGTATGCAAACAATAACTCAAACTAACGTTAACGCTTGTGTGCCTCCAGACAGCGCCATGTTAAATTCATACCTAGCTTTATATTGTCCCGAGGCCACAGCAAATTTAAAAAGGAAGCCAAACACAAAGCTCTTGCTTCAGGCGAGCCTTCGTTAGTGAAATTTCATACTCACCCACAAGACTTCAGCTTACATTACCAGCAATAAATCGACTTTCATCTGCAACATACTTTATTGACAAGCCGTCTCGCACCATATAACGTTACAAGTGATTCAGACTGTTTTGTAATTGCTGAAAAACAACTGAGCTAACATAGCGGAACAACAATAACCATGCGAAATACTTCCGTGTCTAAATTCAGAGCGTCCCGCTCTGTGTGTGCGTGCATCGCGATTGGCTATGGAAATTCAGCCGCGTGTTGTGATTGGTTGGCAGCAGAACCGTAGCGTGTAATTCAATTCGAAATGTCTGGGCCATGGTTGCAGCTGTTAAAGAGGAAGTTGTCACGTGGTATCAGCCAGGTTGAATGATTTTTAAATGTATGGGAACTGCCTATTGATTTCAGAAGGAAAATAGTCAATGAAGCATTCATTTTGAGGGATAACAAATAGTGTATGTGCGTTACATGTTTAACACAATATAGAGTTATTAGCTCAAATGCAATGTTAAATGATGCAGTTTTCAAGCAGCAATAGCTGCCAAGCTGTCTGTTAAGGTTTGCAGAAAAAAGAAGTGAGGACTATTTTGTCACTCAAACCAACCATTCAATAAACCAAGGCTGAACTTGTTAATCTTATAAACATCACATCCATAAAGCCAAATTCTCGAGGTCCCATCCATCATTTGAACCTTTAGAATTGAATTTAGAAAGTACTTTGAGTCTGTTAAATCTATAAACAATAACAAATGTGTCCATACAATTAGCATTCTACAGGAATAATTTATAGAAATGATGAATGTGATCGTATTGACTGCTTTTACCTCTGTTAAATTACTCTTTTAATTACTGTCTCATATATTTATTTGTTTTTATTACTATTATTTTAGTATTATTACTTATTTGTTTATTAGGCAGTTTTTCTTTCTTTACTGCTGCCATGTTGAATGTGTAGTCCTGTTGAAAGTGGAGCCACATTATGATATAGAAATCTATTTTCCCTGTGATGCCTTAATGTTATATATTCTTTGTCTTTATGTCTGTTTAAAATGATAATTAAGTTTATTTAAAAAAGACATGTCAGTCAATCAAAAGTGAAGAAGCCAATATTATCATCTGTGTTTTATCTTAATCACCATAGAAACATTCAATTTTCCAAGTTCATTAATGTTCTCATATTGTTTGTATTTATGGAATTTCTAATCCAAAAGGTACTAATTTTGCCAATCAATAGGATAAACAGTCATTTCTGGCAGGAAGTATTTCCGTCTATTATATAAAAGTACTGAAAACACCAAACTTCTCTCATTGCTGCAGTCTCATTTAATCACAAAAGACCTTCTGAACAAAACACACACCTATACACACACGCACAAAGAGTGGGTGCTGGATCAGTATCGACTGTTTTTTGGTGGAGGAGCAGAAACAGTGGTGATGACAGATAACAGCATGTGTGTGTGTGTGTGTGTGTGTGTGTGTGTGTGTGTGTGTGTGTGTGTTCTTCTGAGAGAATAGGAAACATGGTGATTCATTGCACAGAAGCAAACTGAAAGAAAAGAGCAGCTTTGAAGTGTATGTGTGTGATATGTGTGCGTCACGAATATTCTACATTACTTGAGGAAGATGGAGTCAGTCACCCTTGACTTATTTTTATTTTTAAGCAAATGGCCTCTATTCTATTATCATATCTCACTTGCTTTGACAGATATCTGGAAGCAGACATTGGGCATAAAATAGAGTGCATTCTGGATGGAGAATTCATTAGGAAGTATTTTGTGGGAACCACACAAAGGAGGAAGGCCAGAATTTAATTTCCCGACAAATTCAATAATGCTGGCTCCCCAAAAAGATGTTAATGAGTCCAATAAGAATTATAGTTTTAATCACCTCTGTTTTCAGACTAATTGTGTTTCTGTGGGGGCTTTGCTTGCTAATTATGGAGTCCACCAACAGGAGGAGCAACAGTAATTATTTCCTTGATTGAGGTCAAAACCCTTGCATTTAATCCTGAGGTCTATCCCGCCCTCCCCACACACAAAGAGTAAACATCTTCTTAGCATCCTGTACTCAATTTCACAGCAGTCACTCTTTTACAAATGATTGTCTTCCTCAGTAAGCCAGCTTTTCATGGGGAAGTCTGCCACATTATCTGCTGCCGCTATTGTGTAAAACCCAGTGTCTATACATTACAGTTTTATGAAAAGTAAAGTTCTGGTTGCAGATACCGCTTCATAACTGCAGCAGGCACTCAAAAAGAAAATATCTGAAGGGAGTCGAAATAAATGAATGCAATGAGATCAATCTATACAAACACATGAAATGCTGCTCTGTGTCTCACCGAATGCTTACGCGGAAATAAAACTTTTTTGGTGGTTGACACAGCAGATTTTCCCAGCAGAGGTGTAATTCTTTATCCATGCAAATGTAAGGTGGCTTTCGGGATGGAAATGTAATTCTTTTCCCAGGCAAAATTCATTTTCGGCCCTGCTGTTAATAACAGTCACTTGTGTCTTGACAGGTGAAAGCCCCGAATCGCCATAAACCCTGCGGAGACCCCCGCCCTCTTGGTTACACATCATTGGGTTTCATTGTGGAGGAGGATGGTAAAACGCCTCAGCTGAATGGGGCTGAGGAGTTCAGATTGAAATGAACAGCGGACTCGAGCCAAATAACGGTAATTTTTGGATGCAGCTGTCTGTGAGTTCCACAAACTCTTTTGGCAGGGAGCCCACCAAAACTAAATCAAGTTGTTGGTGTAGGAAGTAAAAGTTTAACTCGGCGTCACAGCCATCGAACCAAAAGAATGGAATGTACTGTATATGCAAATTTAAGGAAATACTGCCAACTGCTTATTATTGTATGTTGGAAAATAGAGTTCATTATAGGGAACTGTCTTGGGATAGATAATGCATTCATACTGATTGCATAATGAGTTCTGCTTTTATGTCAGCTATCATTCTCCAAATTCTTTAAATGGTGCATATAAAACGCCATGCAATAGTAACAGGTATTGTGTCTTTCTTATTAAAAGCATTTGATTCATCATTCTCTGATTCAAGGTAAAGGGGTAATTGATTGATAAGAATAATTAATAATTAATTAACAAATCAATACATTTTTATATTACATCAGAATAAATAAACCCTCTACAGCTTTACTGTTGTGAAACGGCTGTTTGGAAACCAATTACACATTTCTATAGAAGGTTACATGCATTTCTAATCCTTGTGGAGAACAAAAGAATGATGAAGGCTTCAGTCTCACACAGCACAGTTTCTTCATCACTGGAATGGGTTGGGCTCCACTCCATGCCAGAAATCTATCTTTTTTTTTTTTTAAAGATTACCCGTGGGAATAATATATTAATATTCTCCCTTAAAACTGATAGCTGAGTTTGTTTTACAGGTCATATGAATGACAAAAACTTCAGCAACAGCCACAATAGGGAAACCTGTGACAAAACTCTCTGAGAGAAAACAATCATACTAGCTAGACCTCACATCTCCCAATTTCTTTTTCTAAATCAGGAAAAACTATTTTGTGACTACCTCTACTTTTGAGGCAAAACGGGTGTTCATTGGATTTTAATGCCTTTATGCTCATGACACCTACAAGAAGATTTACATATCATCTATACCAAAACTGGACATATAAGGTTTTACTTTGATGTGGTGCCAGGTTAAGCATGGCCTTCTCTCTCATCAAGGTAATCACTGCTTCTTGGCCTCCAGAGGAAGCGTTTGTGAACATTGGACAGCCAGTGGATAACAGCGATATCAATGACAGACAGGCCCCCGCAACGGCTGCTTGTTCTTCTGGGCTCCTTATCTCAGTCACACCGAGGGCTCTGTCTATGTACCCAATTCATCCATCACTATCAGACCTCACACAGGTTCAGGACCAGCATTCACAGTTTTACAGGGAGCTAAAGCTAACGTCAGCTCATGATGAGGAGGCAGTTGAATTTGTAGTGTAACTTCAAGACCAAAATAGCAGGTTTTTGCTGTGACTGTTGTTATTATCAGAGACATAATCATTGTTATTTCCATCACGTGTCAATTGCTACCGCCACACTGACATAGCTCTAGGGATTGCAAAATTGGTCCAAAACCTTAGACTTGAAATATCTCAACAATTAGCAAATGATTTGCAAGGAAATTCATGTTCCTCAGAGGATGAATCACACTGACTTTGGTGATACTTGACATTTCTTTTAACGCCACCATGACTTTGACATTTTTGCTTTGTACTGAAATGTTTTGACGACTACCGGTCGAGTGCCTGAAGTTTGGTAAAAAACAATCAGGGTCTGCAGATGATGAATCCGGTGATTCCCTCACTTTTCCTCTAGCGACACCAGTGGGTCAAAGTTTTCACATCTAGTGAAACATCTCTATCATCTGTAGATGGACTGACATAACATTATTAGCATCATTGTGTCATGTAAGTAAGTAAGTAAGTAAGTAAAGTTTATTTGTATAGCACCTTTCACAGATAAAAATCACGTGCTTCACAGTAAAATGTTAGCATGCTGACATTAGCATTTAGTTCTAAGCACCTATTTGCTTAGACCTGCAATTTAGCAAAGTAGTTGCTAATTTTGTCCACAGAAAAAAGTTGTGGCATATCATTTACCTTTTAAGTTTGATGACAACTTTTTTAGCAAATAGTTGCTTATTTACACATCCAGCAGTTACGGAGCAACATTAGCACTCATTTCGTATAATGTTTCTTGCCACTTGACTAATGCTAGTCTAATATTCACTCTACTTTAGCTCTTTTTGGTCTCTACCAACTGCAGCGAAAAATAACTGGCTCTTTAGCTGCTAAATGCTCCACTATGTTTACCAGCTAGTCTCTAACTGTGCCTGTCTGCTATTTGGAGCTGTAGTGTACAGCTGAATGATTAACTGAAACTTACTTTAAAGACCTGTAAAGCTGAGGGGAGCTGCAAATTCAGGCGATAATTCTCAGTAGGTTCATCAATACGAGTGATCCCTTTGTTTTCACATAACATACATAGTTCTTATACTACCAATTATATATTAGATGTTTCTGTCTTTCTTATTTGCTTCTTCTGGTTAACATCATCATCATCACCTTAAGTGAACATGTAACATTCAGCATGTGTAACATATCATATTCTACAGAGAAAGCTCTCAGGTCTTGTTTTCCATCCCGAAATCTCCTT